TTCCCTTGCGATTTTTCAAATAAATTTCAATTTTGAACTAATGGTTCCATTTTACTTCGCACCCCCATCAATGTAGTTTACACCCCCTACGCTGTAGATAGCACCCCACCCACTGTAGATAGCACCGCACCCACTGTAGATAGCATCCCCCACCCACTGTAGATAGCACCCCCAATCACTGTAGATAGCATCCCCGCCCACTGTAGATAGCACCCCCACCCACTGTAGATCGCACCCCCACCATTGTAGTTCACACCCCCAGAAAATGAAATTTACAACCGGCACGTAAAAAGTCAAAAATTATTCATTTTTTAAATTGACCTTTACGAAATCAATGAAAATGGGTATAAAAGGCAGCAGATTTTGCAAATTCTTCATTCTGCTCCTCCTTTCACCACCCTGGCCAGTCAGTAGACCAGCACTCTCTCACGCGGCCCTCAACCTTCAACTCCGGACATTGCCGATATGGTTCGGCCAAGTCGGGTTGACCTGGAGTTGGAGATTGGGGGTTTCACTGGGGGTGCGAACTGGCCGTTGGGGGTATGAAACGGAATGGGGGGCTGTTCTGGATGAGCCCCGAACTTTCTTTACAAAACAAAAAATGGCAAGAACTTTCTTTACAAAACAAAAAATGGCAAGAACTTTCTTTACAAAACAAAAAATGGCAAGAACTTTCTTTACAAAACAAAAAATGGCAAGAACTTTCTTTACAACGCTAATATGGCAAGAACTTTCTTTACAAAACATAAAATGGCAAGAACTATATCGTTTTGCATCACCTATTTGGTATATCTCTTGACCTTTTGAAGCCTAGACCTCGTTCTACCTTAAATCGAGCTCATAAATCTCGGAGCGCCTAAGGGAGGGAAATTGTTTATGGTTTTTTAACTCAGTAAAGGAGCCGTTTCCACCTTGTAAACAAATTACAAGCAGATTTGTTGTTTTTTCCAAAAATCTTTATTCAATAGGGCTGCGTCAAGTTTGTGGGCTGGTTCAAAACCCCTAGAGGCATGAAATTTCAAAGTCCTTAAGAATTTTAAAATTCAATTTTAAAAGATCTTTGAAAATTTTAAAATTTCACCCTCGAGAGTAAAAGAAGGTTATCTTTGAAATTTATTGAATGGAAAGAAAGTTATTGCGGTTTTTTTGTAAAAACCGAATTTCGATGGCTACTTTATAAAAATGTTCTTACCTTGCGTTTTGTAAAGAAATTTTTTGTCATTTTATGGTTTGTAAAGAAAGTTTCTGCCCTTTTATGCCTTGTAAAGAAAGTTCTTGCCATTTTGAAGTTTGTAAAGAAAGTTCTTGCTATTTTTTGTTTTATAAAGAAAGTTCTTGTCATTCTTTTTATTTTGTAAAGAAAGTTCTTGCCATTCTATGTTTTGTAAACAAAGTTCTTGCAATTTTATTTTGTAAAGAAAGTTCTTGCCATTTTTGGTTTTGTAAAGAAAGTTATTGTGATTTTGCTTTTACAATGCAAAGTAGTAAACATTGAACATTTTTTTCAATGGCTAGTAAATGTAAAAGTATTTCTTTATATTATAAAGTAATGTCATGTTTAGAAGTAATTATGAATATAATTACTCTAGCATAGTTTTCATTTCCTGGTTATTTTGAAAATTTTTTGTTTAACTTTTGTTTTGCTATGCTCTACCCTCTTCTATTTTGCTTTGCCTTGCCGTGCTCTGCCCTACCGTATCATAATCTACTTTGCATTGAAATGCTCTTCTCTATGCTGGTCTAATTTATCATGCTTTTTCTTGTCATGCTCTGTCTTACCCTGCCCTACCATACCTTACTTTGCCTTACCCTGCTTTGTCTGACCATGCTCTGATCTGCCCTGCGCTACTCTACTTTTTTTGGCCTTGCTGTGCTCTGTTCTACAGGGTTCTTCTCTGCCTCGCCTGCCCAATTCTGCTTTATCTTGCCAGTTTTTGCCCTACCCTGCTTTACCCTACCCTGCTTTGTCTTTTCATTCTCTGCTCCACTTGCTCTACTCTGCTCTGCCTTACCCTTCTTTTTCTTGCTATCCTAACCTACTTTATTTTACTCTAACCTACTCTCTTTTTTATTTTTTTAAAATTTTTAAAGCAATTTTAATTTCGAACTTCTAAAACCTTCTTTTGAGGACATTTGGGTGCAATTTTGAGATCAAATTCGAAAGTTTTAAAAACCTAAAATCTTGTTTTGAATTCGAAATAAAACTGTGAACTTTTGGTGTGCAAACACAAAGTACGTCTAATTTTGAATGTTTTTAAATTTTAAAAAGTTTCAAGAATATCACGTTTTTTAGTTTCTTTTGGTTATGAGGAGTTATGAATAGAAAGGTAATGAGGATCTATGTTGATGTGTTAAAGTATTTATAGGTGGAGTTGGGTATGCAATAATAATATATGTGGATGTTGGTTTATATAAGTTAGTATTGGAGGTTATATTATTTTATTTTGCCTTATCTTGTCCTACTCTACCTTGCCTTGCACTACTGTACTTGACCTACCTTGCTCTAGGGTAGGGTCAAGTCTGTTTCACTATATCCTTCTCTACTCTATCCTACCCTACTGTACCTTCTCTTAATCTACTCTATCTTGCTTTACCTTGCTTTACTTTACTCCATCTTACTTAACATGCATTACTCCACTCAACCCCATTTCAACCTACCTGACTTTACTATGTGCTTCTATTAGGGTAGGGTTGGTTAAGGTAAAGTAGGGTAGGGTAGGGCAAAATAAGACAAGATGGTTAGAACATAGTATTATCCGCTCATTGCTTGTCGTAATAATTAATTTTTCAAAAATAATTTGCTCCAAAACTTAATTTTAAATGTTCTTTCTGAAAATCAAATTAGAAAAACGTTTTAAATTAGCGTTCCGAACGTTTCCACGAGAAACTTTTGAGCACGCAAAATTAGTTTAGAGCAAGTTTAAATGAGTTCCAGGACATAGAACAGAATGCCAAAACTCGCGGGTAATATGACGTTTGAATTTTTGTTTCAACTATGGGTTTTTGTTTTGTAGGGAGGTTAAAATTGTAGGTAAAATACGGTATTCCTCTCTGGTTTGTAAAAAATGAAATTCGGATTAAGTGCGACATTAAGAGCCATTTGGCGGGAAAACTCAAATTTAAATTTTCGGTTTGATTTAATGACGTTTTTGTCCTACTTTAAAAATAGGTTTAAAAAGATATTTTACTAAACTTTTACTTTGTTTTTCTTTAATATTATTGGTTGAAACAGAATGCCAAATTTGGCGGGAAAAATTATATTTTAATTTTTAGCCTTGTTGATGTGTTAGGACAGTTTATATACGCTTTTACACTCATATTAGTTATTTTTGTCTAGTTTGAAGGCTTGAAACTAAATGCCAAAATTGGCGGGAAATTTTAATTTCAAATTATTTTTTAAAATATTTTGAAAAACGTCGTTAGATGTATCATCTAAAACAGGACTCTAGTTGAGTGAAAATGCTAAAATTGCCTGTTGTTTTTTAGAAAACAATATAAATTTCTTTAAATTTTGAAAAAATGTTGTCATAGCTGAGAATAACCGAACGGATTAACAGTGACATAACGTATGCTTGATAAGGTAATTGCTCTCTTAAGACAATGAACATTGGAATTTTTGAGTGGGTTTGCTCAATCTGGGGATATATTAATGTATTCGACCGGATTTCGCTTAATTTTTAATGAGTTTAAAAGGGTTTTCTTAAGGTATTTTCATTGATTTTGGCAGACATTTGATGATTTTTGGGTGTAAACAAACTTTTTGTGGTTTTTAGGCTCAAATTTTTTAATTTTTATAGTGTTTTGGGTACGATAAATGATCTGGAAACAAAATTTTTGTAGATTTCAAAAAACGTTTTTTTTTTGGAAACAAAGTTGTTGCGCTTCATAAAATTTTTTGTGTTTTTCTTGAATTTGAACTTGTAAACAAAGTTTCTGCTATTTTAAACTAATTTTATGACAAAATATATTTCACAAATTATAATTTTTATTGCGATGTGTTAATGACCTTATTATACAAAAGAAACCACCGAAACCCCTCGATTATTCCCTCCTCAAGCCGCCGGCCCAAGTAGTATAGTGGTTAGTACTCCACGTTGTGGCCGTGGCGACATCGGTTCGATTCCGGTCTTGGGCAGCTTTCTTTTGGAATTTTTCGCGGGGAAAATGGATCTTTTTTTGATGTTTTGGGTCTTGTATGAAGTTTTAAATTTGTTCTGTTATCTATTTTTAATATTATACTACAACCTACAATTAATATTGGCAGTAATTTTAAAAATATAATGTTTTTTAGGTGTTTCGGCTAGAAAATTGCTTGTTTTCTCAAGTTTTTTTAATACTTTAAATTGTTTTGACTGTTTTCAAATGGATGCAACGTATAGTTACAAGTATTTTCTGTCATGCTAGGTTTTTATTGACTATTTATCTTCTCGTACGCGTATGCTTTTTTTGTTTTTACTTAAAATTTCGGGACAAAACGAGGTTATTTGTTTTTAAGTTAGTTATAATGACATTTTTAATTAATATTCTTTTAGTTTTTGTACTCTAACAATAGCTGGTACTTTGTGGAAGAGTTGCACATCAGTTTTGGTATCAATTGCTATCAACATTTAGGCTTAAATTGCGAAAAACTTTGGTCAACTGGTTATATTGAGGTAGGTGGAAGGTTTGGTCGATTATTGGCCAATTTTTCAAGAAAATCGAAAATTATTGTTATTATTAGACCTAGCATACCTTGGTTTATACTGACTCGAATTTTAAGCTTAAAAATCGACCGGTCAATATTGGAATCGAAGCTTTGAATTTAGACACTTTTGAGCCTGTTGGAACTGCCAAAATATACATCATACTGACTGGATTAGTAGCCTCAAGGAAAGAATTTTGTTTCTACAGAATCTTCTGGTCACAATCAACAAATTTTTCAAAAATTTGGCAGTTTTATCGACCAAGATTTTGAAGAATTATCGACCAAACTCCAAGATTTGTGGCCACAAAATCGAACGATGGCCGGATGTGCCGAACTATTTCACAACGCCTGGGACATGGACAGTCTGATACGACTGTTGAAGAGGCCGGACTGTCAACAACTCGCTGCTGTTCTATTGGCTCATGCCGGACCCACACCAACTCCAACCGAACTTTATGTGCCTCGAGGCAGAATGAACTATGGAGACTTTAATTCAGAGTTTGGAGCTAAGTCGAGGTGGGTGGAAACAAATTTTATTTTTTAGCGTTTTTTAATGATTTTTAAATGATTTTTTGATAGTCAAAAAAAAGTAAAAGATGATTTTATGTTTTAAAGTTTTAAACAGAATGCCAAAGTTGGCGGTAAAATTGATATTTGAATTTTTTCCGAAATTTTTTTGGTGAAAAATGGGTTTTAAGATTTAGAAACGTCTTAAATTTACTTTTTAGCTAATAATTCAATTTTTTGTGTGATTGTTTTAGCCATTTGAAACATAATGCCAAAGTCGGCGGGAAAACAGTTTTAAAATTTTTCAGTTTTTTGTAGTAATACAGTTTAGTATGTCTTAAAATTGATCTGACAATACTTTTTATTACTATTATTAACTTTTTCGGTAGTTTTAGCTTCTTGAAACATAATGCCAAAGTTGGCGGGAAATTAAAAATTTGAATTTTTTTGTAAAATACGTATATTATTATAAAAATCAAGTTTATATACTTACTGCTGTTTGAAAAACCGTATTTTAGTGGTCGTTTATCAGCATTCAACTCGGCAAATGGCTACGCGAATCGACGGGTCGATATTCTCCACAACGTCGCCGATCCCACAATGCACACATGGAGCGACGAGAACTTTACCATGGTCGATATACTGGCCGAGATGGACTCATTCGTGGATTCTGGGTTCTATCCGCTGTATGTGAGGGTTGGGATGACATTCATCTTTACATTACTGGCTGTCATGGGCATTGTGGGTAATATCATGGTGATTACTGTGGTATTGAAGGTGCCTGGCATGGTAAGTTTGTTTAAATCGATGTTATTTTTGCTTTGTAAGCAATGTTTTTGACATTTACACAAGTTGCTTGATATTGTTGAATTTAATGGGGTCATCGTATAACTTGTCACCCGCAGCCTGCACGGACCTCAAAAGCTCATAGAGCACTTAGAAATGAACAAAAATAAGCAAACAACAATTTTTATGCCATTTCTAGTTGTACAAAAAAAAATTTTTTTATTTTTGATTTTGTAAACAAAGTTCTTGCAGATAACCCCCACCAACTGTTACCTAACCTCTCTGGCAGCTTCGGATTGCCTATTCTTTATGGCGTCACTGCCGCAGGAGCTGAACAATCTGCACGGCACGTCGAAACAATACATATTCGGATCGATGGGATGCTCGTTACTATCGTATCTTCCATACCTCGCCATCAACACGTCCAGTTTGTCAATCACTGCCTTTACCATTGAAAGTAGGTTGCTTTGAAATTGGAAACAAAGTTTTTGCAATTTTTGGGGTTTGTGAAGATAGTTTGTGAGATTCTTATTAAGACTTTAAGTTTTTGTTTTTTATATCGTTTTAAACGTGTTTTTGTCTGATTCGGCAAGATAAGCAACGGTGCGCTTGATTACAAATCCACGAGGGTTCGATTCTGCTTGGATGCAAGAGACATTTTTGAGCTTTAAAACTTGTTTTCAATGCAAAATTTAGTTCGATTCATAACGAATATGAAAGAAAATATCAACTACAATATTATTGATAAAATTTTTTTAAATTATGTTTGTAAAGAAAGTTTTTGCAAGGCATTAAAAGATGCAAAGCTAAGTTTTGGTGGGTTTTTCGGACATTTTTTGATGTTTTTATAAACTCCGAGGTGATTTAGAAAGGAATATTGTCGAAAACAAAGTTCTTGCATTTTAAAATGTTTTTGTTATATGGTTTGGCTAGTTTGTAGATATTAGAGGACGTTTTGACAGTTAAAAGGGGAAAATAAGGCCAAATGTAGAGCTTTTAGGCAAACATTTTGGATTTTCTTGGTATTTTAGGTATCAAACTTGTCGTAAATTAATGTTTTTGAGTAGTACAGTATTATGTGTTCCTCGAATTGTCAATTTAGTGCTTTTTGAACGACGTTATATTACCTAAAACATCAAATTTTTGCTGAAATCTTCTTTTTTTCGCAAAATTTTTATTTTTTTCGTAATTTAGGTAACAAAACTTCAATAAAATGACTAACTTTACATCCTTTTAGGATTTATAGGCATTTGCCATCCCCTAAAAGCCCGCTACATCTGCACGGTCTCCCGTGCCAAGCTGATAATCACCTTGATCTGGATCATAGGTATCGCCTACAACTCTCCATGGCTCTACCTAGCCACCGTAATGACGGATTCGGAAGGAGATTACTGTAGTTTTAAGTTGGAACGATCGAATTGGACTTACAAGTTGATATACGTCATTGATTTCTTGTCGTGTTATCTAATTCCAATGATATTGTACATATTAATATACGCCAAGATCACCTACACTTTGATGAAATGCACTGTCAATTCGAATCAACAGCAGCACAATAATCAGAAAATGCGTGAGTTTTTGGTTTTTTAAATGTTGATTTTGGCATTTATTGGGGTTCAAAATTGATTTTTGATAAAAATTATAAAATGTGATTTTTTTTCAAATTTTTTTCAAAAATGTTTAAATGGATCTAAAAAATTGTTAAAATTGATGTTTTGGTAACAAAAACCTATTTTAAAAACGTTTTTTATTAAGTTTTTATTATTTTTTAGTAAAAAAAGCAAACACGACGCTTGCAACTAAATGTCAAAAATGGCCCAAAAATTGAATTTTAAATTTTTATTTTGGGGTTGAAATCTTCAAAATATGATGGTAGAGTAGTTAAAACTATTTTTAAGCGGTTTTCGGAGTTTTTTTTTGATAAAATTGAAAATTTTAAATTTGAATTTTTGGGGCCAATGAAGAATCGTTACCCAGTGCATTATAGTTCCCAACGGTGCATAACCGTTCCCCCAATTATTTATTTTTATATTTTAACATCTTCAATTTAGAAATAAAATTTGAGCGGTGGTGCGTTGGGGAGAGATACATAGTAAAGCGTTGGGGAATGATAGTAAAGCGTTAGGGAATGATAGTAAAGCGTTAGGGAATGATAGTAAAGCGTTGGGGAATGATAGTAAAGCGTTAGGGAATGATAGTAAAGCGTTGGGGAATGATAGTAAAGCGTTAGGGAATGATAGTAAAGCGTTGGGGAACGGTAGTAAAGCGTTAGGGGAATGATAGTAAAGCGTTGGGGAATGATAGTAAAGCGTTAGGGAATGATAGTAAAGCGTTGGGGAATGATAGTAAAGCGTTAGGGAATGATAGTAAAGCGTTAGGGAATGATAGTAAAGCGTTAGGGAATGATAGTAAAGCGTTAGGGAATGATAGTAAAGCGTTGGGGAATGATAGTAAAGCGTTAGGGAATGATAGTAAAGCGTTGGGGAATGATAGTAAAGCGTTAGGGAATGATAGTAAAGCGTTAGGGAATGATAGTAAAGCGTTGGGGAACGGTAGTAAAGCGTTAGGGGAATGATAGTAAAGCGTTAGGGAATGATAGTAAAGCGTTGGGGAACGGTAGTAAAGCGTTAGGGGAATGATAGTAAAGCGTTGGGGAATGATAGTAAAGCGTTAGGGAATGATAGTAAAGCGTTAGGGAATGATAGTAAAGCGTTGGGGAACGGTAGTAAAGCGTTGGGGAACGGTAGTAAAGCGTTAGGGGAATGATAGTAAAGCGTTAGGGAATGATAGTAAAGCGTTGGGGAACGGTAGTAAAGCGTTGGGGAACGGTAGTAAAGCGTTGGGGAACGGTAGTAAAGCGTTGGGGAACGGTAGTAAAGCGTTAGGGGAATGATAGTAAAGCGTTGGGGAACGGTAGTAAAGCGTTGGGGAACGGTAGTAAAGCGTTAGGGGAATGATAGTAAAGCGTTGGGGAACGGTAGTAAAGCGTTGGGGAACGGTAGTAAAGCGTTAGGGGAATGATAGTAAAGCGTTGGGGAACGGTAGTAAAGCGTTAGGGGAATGATAGTAAAGCGTTGGGGAACGGTAGTAAAGCGTTAGGGGAATGATAGTAAAGCGTTGGGGAACGGTAGTAAAGTGTTTGCGAATAATAGTAAATTAGAATACGTAGTCAATTACCTCAAATACTGTGTTTTATGGCGTAAAGTCCGGTGGCCAAAACCAGGATCCTTGAGCCCATTGTACGCCATCTGTGTCGAGACCGAAAGGTTAGAGTTCGAAAAGTAGGTACCATGACGAGTAGAGCGGGTTCAGCAATCAGTACATCCGTTTCGACATCTCCACTAAAACAACATATGATAAATATAAACAACTAACTTACCATGTATTTATCGGCCAGTTCAGACTTTTTTTACAACTTCATAATCGACGAACATTGCTGGCACGAATAAGCCGGTGGGAGAAGAGAGTTGTCTATTATGATCTGAATAGCAGTGGTATATGCTTGCTCCTCTTGCACCGTGTTCCATTTTTCGACCATCCAAGACCAAATAGAAAGAAAGAATGAAAAGCCATAATGAAAATGAAAAAATATGTGAAGCAAAAATTTGCATAGTTTTATTTATTCTCACCGTGGGGAACGATTATGCCTTTATGAGTGGGGAACGATTCTTCGATTTTGTGGGAACGATTTTGCATGAGCGCCGAATTTTTTAAAATTTTGTAAAGAATGGTAACAAAAATCTATTTTAAAAACGTTGTTTGTTTATTATTGATGATATTTTACCTAAAAAAGGAAAAATTGACACTTGCTGAATCTAAAATTTCAAAAATTTCAATGTTTTTAAATTATAAAATTTTTATAAAAATTGATGTTTTAGATAACAAAAACCTATTTTAAAAACGTTTTTTGTTAAATTTTTATGATTATTTAGCCAGCAAAGGCAAAAACGACACTTGCAACAGAATGCCAAAAATAGCGCGAAAATTGAATTTTAAATTTTTATTTTAATTTTGACTTTTTCAGCAATACACCAAGACTCAATGTCCCAAAACGGCACGGAACGTTCCCATTCAATCACGTTTTCCCCTCCAATATTACAGCAAAAGCACAGTAACCCCATCCAACCCGACCGTAACTCGACTCAAAGTAATTCACTCAAACTGACACTTTCAATGAGTAATAACATGGCCACGACCATTGCCACGAAGCGACAAACCCCCAGAAGTCGGATGCAGGTTCAGGTGATTAAGATGTTGGCGGTGGTTGTTATCATCTTTGCGGTTTGTTGGCTACCGTACCGAGCTATGGTCATGTATAATAGTTTTGTTGATGAGGAAAAGGTTTTTACTAAGGCGTGGTAAGTTGGAGGGGTGGGGATTAGAAGGTATGGTAGGGTAGAGCAAGGGTGGGGAGGGTTAGTAGGGTAGGGTAGAGTAGGCCAAAGTAGGGTAGAGTATGGTAGGTCAAGGTAGGGTAACATTCTGTAAGTGAGACAAATTTGATTTTCAAATTGTAACTTCAGGTACCTCTTCTTTGCCAAAACCCTGATTTTCTTTAACTGTGCCATCAACCCCATCCTCTACAATGTAATGTCGGCTCGTTTCCGAAACGCCTTCAAGAGATGTTTCTGTGGAGCCAGCGACAAATCAAAGCCAACCAAGAAGTTTAACTCAGAAACCAAATATACATCACGCGATGAGAAGAGTCTATTTCTGCCAAACAACTATCATCGTGAGTCTATCTACTCGGCCGTCAAGCCTGACAATCTACATCAAGTTGTTTAAGATTATATACACCATGGGAAACGTGCGATTTAGGTAGTCTAACAATCGATTTTAAATGTTTGATGATTGACTATTGTTAAGGAGATCTTGGATGACATGTTGATAACAATTTTTGGGGTTTAAATTTTAATATGAGGGCGTAACGATAAGTTTTGGCAGCTCAAGCTTGAAAGATAGTCCTAGGTGAATATAAATGCTAAAATTTTGGTAAAATACGGTAATTGGAGAGAACATTTGAATGGTAGATGAAAGATATTATACTAACTGGTGTTTTAAAAAATTTTTGATGGGGTTTACATGAGAGTATTGTTATAAAATGACACTTTTTTCAAAAAGTGAGCTGAAAGATCGGGGACCTAGGTGTATATAATGCATGATAACTTTAAAATTTTAAGATTTAGAAGGTCAATTGGTAGGTCAATGTAAAGAGAAGATACTAAGGATTATTTAATAGTAATTTTGAATTTTTACTGTAGTAAAACTTCGTATTGTTTATCAATTTTAGCAGATAACATTACATTTTTACCAAAGTTTAAGGGTTACTGAATCAAAACTAGGCCTAAAATACGGTCAAGTGTACACAAACATGCCCAAGATGCCCTACTAACAATAGTCTATTTATTTTTTATTACAAAGTCTACCATGGTATGTTAGTATCTACTACAATGTAAATAGAATTCATCGTCTTCCGAACGGGTTAAATTGTTTTAAAACGCTTTAAAATGTATTTTATATTGTCAAGAATTTGTAAATTTTATGATTGTTATCTAAACTCTCGTATTTTGTTATCTTTATCAGTATTTCGCGCAAATCATCGCTATTTCACAATGTACAGGGAATTATTGTTGAATAAACTAATAAAAATCGAAAAAATTTAAGGATTTGTTTGAGGAATTATGTAAATTTTGCATTTTTTTACTTTTTATACTTATAATCTATGTACTTTTGCTTCAAGAAGAGCAGTGTTTTGCCGGACCGGTCCGGATGAGAATTTTTTCGGTCCGGTCCGGAAAATTTTCGGTCCGGTCCGGCTCTATTTTCTTTTGGTCCGGTCCGGACCGGACGGGTCCGGCAAAACACTGAAGAAGAGTAATTTACAATTTTATTCTATTCTATCGTATAACTTGATTTCGCAGGCTGCACCGAACCTACAAAACAAGGACGCAGTGGTTTTCGAACTGATCTGGATTTCGCTTCGAGGAAATGATTTGATTACTGATTCTCTCCCGTGAGCTCTTGTTTTTTCACGAAATTTCTTTTTAAAATTAGGCCTAATATTCAATTTTAGGCTTAATTTGAACAGTTTTGAACGTTTTTTTGGCAAATTATTGGGTTAATCTGGTATGGTCTCTAAAATAACGTTTAATGGGGTGTTGCGCTGAATAGACAACTCGAGGACTTGTATAACCTTTATTTTGATGTAGTTGCTTATTTTCAATTCTTTAGAGTAAAGAAGATGCACTGGAAACGGAAGAACGAAATGTTATGGTCGAAAGAACATCTTCAACCAGCAGGATTCTGGAGGAGCTAGAAGAAAGTGGATGGAACAAGGAGGATGAGTGTGTAGACCTTATGTTACGCGATGCAGCAGATGGATTACAAGGTGTTTCACGTGTAAGTTATATTTTTGTTACGTATTTTCTGTTTTTAGGTTAGTTTTGAGGATATTCATCTGATATGGACATTAGTACTAGATGGAAGTGGACAGAGCAAGCCAGCGGTGTATGACTAGAAGGAGAACAAGTTGTTTTACATGTATGTTACGTGCTTGCTTTATTTTTTTCGGTTTTAGATTGCTTTGGAGGATTTTCTTCCGATTTTGGCATTAGAACCATGGATAACATGCTTTTGTTTAATTTTTTTGTTTTTCAGAGGAACTAGACGGATAATTTGTTGGAAAGAGCTCTGTTAGGCCTTGGGCAATATGGTGAGCTATAAATTGAGCCCAGTGAGCACGGCGGAATTCGGAATGAACGTTTGTAGTGTTGATGTTGGTGGTGTAGATGGATTAATGGATAATGAACGTCAATTGGATTCTATGGATAGTGTAAGTTGATTTTATTATGGATTTTATAGTTATTATGGTTCAGAAGTTAAAAGATTTAAAAAGATAAGCTCAAATTTATGGTTTTATTAAACTAGACATCAGGTGGGTATAGATAATATATCCCTTGAATTATATACATTCAAGAAAAAGTCGGAACGAACGAGACGTTTTCCTGTCCACACCTTTTGGTGGCCCAATTTACCGTTAAAAAGGAAAGCGACCTTAAAAAAAAAGTGGGAATTCCTGTCCGCCAAACCATTTGCGGGACAGAAAATACGTAAAAAATTCTACGAAAATATTGGTGGACAAGTTTTATTATAATCTCGTCCACGAAAATTTGCGATCATAAAATTATAAAAATTTTGTCCACGAAAAAAATATTTGGTGGACCAAAACCTCAAATTTAGTCCACCAAAATCTAACAATATTATTACTTTTTAACCTTAATATTATTGTAAATATTACAATGTTATAACGTATCTTCAACTTCCGAATACTTTTGGACGGTAACAAGTTTATTTGTCGCTATAAATAAAGTAATATAAAAAAGTAAAACCGCATTAAGTAAAACAACAATGAGAACAGTAACATAATCTAAAACAAACAGAAAAAAATGTGGAATAAACCGTAACATTATTGTAACAGTAATGATAACAACGAGAAATAGTAACAACGTAGTTAGTGAGTAAAAAGAGTAAGAATCTTAGTGCAAGAAACAATCTTAGTCAACAAAAAGCGGAATAAGTAAAACACATCAATGTAATTAAGCGGGATCTTCGGGATTCAGATCGTCATCCAACACACGTTCCATGTCGAAGTATTGTGACTTCGTGTACAGGCTGGTCTCCTTGTGGGCGGCGCGCAAATCCTCGATGTAGCGGTAAACAATAACATTGTTTTCTGTCTTGGGGACGGTGTGGCGGCCAACGAAACGACCTGTAGTAGAAAATATGTACATTGAAATTGAATAAAGTTCAAAAATAAAGGTTGAAACTTACAATCACGGTTTCCAACAAAGTAGACACCTCCGCAATTTGTAGGATACATCGCGCTGATCTGGTTCATAACAACGGATCTTTCAGCACGGGCGGTGATCATGAAACTTTCGTCTTTTCTGAAATGTAAAAGGCGACCGTGGCGGAGCGGTGAGCCAAACTGAACATCAGAGTGCAAGACATCCCAAGCGGTATCGTAAAACCACCCCTGTATGAACTGTTTCAGCGACAGCCAGAATTCATCTTCGAGGTCCTCCAGATTGCTTGGAGCTAATATGAGCACGGAGCGGATTGAATCTTCCATTTTTATCAATTCTCTCATGACGGTTGTTGAGCAATTGGCAAACTTAAAACAAAATGTAATAATTTAAACATTTAACTTACATAATGTGTGTCAATAACGGTGTAAAAGCAATGATTAACTAGCAATTCACTACCCCAATCACGTGTGCAAAGATCATTCAATGTGGTAATTAGCGGATTCTCTTCTTTTCCAACACCCAAAAACAAAGCTGCGGCTTTTAACATCCGTAGATGACACGGCTTTTGATGCTTAGCAATCAATTCGTCAAGGCGGAACGTTGTTTTACTGCAAATAATGCAATTGTTTCATTAAACATTTTGATACAAACATAAAAACTATAAAATATGTGATAAAAATACCATTAAAACATACCAATATCTCATCAAGTTGAAGCAATCTGATAACAAAAAACGGTCGCTCCTGTAAAGGCTGCAAGACGTTGGCAATTCACGATAGTACTTGTACAAGAACATTGACATTTCGGAGCGGTTGTGGCGAAGAGTCTAAACATAAATGTTTAAAATATATATAACTCACTTCTAACAGTTCCGCAGCATTTCCGCTTTGTCGCTCTGACATGTCCAGGTATCTTTCTAGTTCGACCAGGCATTGCTTATGTCCATTTTCGAGAAGCGGAATTAAAGTTCTCCAGAATGTTGTTTTGTCCGCATTTTTCTCGTTATTGCAAATTTTCCTCGTCTCAACAGCTCGTGCTAATCTCAACAACAGCGGACGTTCTTTATCTGTGCGGAACGCTATGTACACGTGGTGCTCAGCCAGTTTACAGGTTAATGCGGAAGCAAGGCGGCTTCTGATCTTGCCGCTGAGTGTTCTCGAGGCCGTTGTGTTTGGTGTAGTATCCGGAAAGAGAAGGCTTTTCATGCTGATGAGATCCATTACCTAAAATGTGAAAAAATTATAAAACATGAAGTGCAACTTACATTTTTTTGTGCGGTACGTATAGTTTGATGTGCAGTTTCCGATTTTCCGTGATTTAGCCACCCACACAACACTTTCTCACCCTTGTTGAGAACCGTAACAATGCAGCGAGCGGAAAGCAGGTCGAACTCAGCGTTGACAATTTTTCTTGTTCCATAAGTTTTGACGAACCAAGCGCGAAATGCTTCTACTCGATGTCTTCCATCCAAAAACTCTATGACTTTACCTTCAGCGGAATCCGAAATGTAGACCAAGATCGGGTTGTCTGCCAAATCAATTATTCCTTCTCTTTGGTACTGCTCCAGCAAGTGCAAACATTTTTCATCTAGTTTGTCTTCAATATCTTGGCGGGGAATATCAAAAATTGATATTTTTCTAGGTTCGGCATTTTTGATACATTCTGTAACGTTAAGAATGAAATACCTATTTTAAACATACTAAAATTCATAAAAAAGATAATAAACTTTTAAACTCACTGAACATGTTGCTTTTAATAGAATCCAAATTTGGATTTACATCTATAAAATTCCTAACGTAATGTTGGCGGGAACGGCTTCCACGTCGTACATTCCATGCGGGAGGTGTCGCGGGAGAATCCGGTTGAGAACGTCCAAACTCTCCAGCTCCAGAGTCTGATGTGGTAGTTCTGCGCGAAGACGAGCTTGATTGGCTTATGGGCGGTGATCGTACTGGTGTAGTCCCATTGTTGGTTCTCACGTCTCGATGAGCGGGAATGGGCGGCGAGTTTAATGGCGGTGTTGAGTTAATGTCTGGTACGGGCCCTTGAGCGGGAGTTGGCGGTATCTCCATTTCTAAAATCAGTTTAATAAAAAACAAAATACATAAATTTACCCGCCAAAATTATCTAAAAAACACGGTTATGCATAAAAAAAAGTAAAATATTTAAATCTAAAACAAAATCAGAAGTAAAAACATATAAAAAAAACAGTAGGTCACTTTGCCAGTTCCAATCGTTTCGAGACAAAAAAAAGCGCGCGCGTTCGTTTCTTTTCCAATAAAAATTTGTTTTATTTATTTTCCTTTTCCGCCAAAAAAAGAAGAAATGCTTCCGCACGGGGATGAAGATTCTGAATTTGATGTTGTTGATTGTGTCCGCCGAATGGGAATGGAGCTACCGGTGAACTGGGCTGGAAATGCCGTGCTATATAGCGATATCAGAAGCGGAAATTCGAGGAAGATTTTTTTTAAATTTTTTTCAAGTTTTTATTCCTTTAATATTATTTTTAGTAATTGCTTCCGTGTTAGAAGACTACCGCAAAGCAATCGAACCAAATTTACCCTCTCATCCGATCAGTACATTGCTCAACACCAACTATTATTGCTGCCACCGCTACTGTTCTTCGTTCTACACAATTCTGGATGTTATCAATGAACGTAACACAATGCCGCTCAACATAGAAGACCGCAAAACGTACATTACTCACAAAATAGCGTTTGGGAACAGCCGCCATGTTTTGAAGATAGCTAACGAAACAGTATGCCGAGTGTTTTACAGCGATGTATATTGTCTACCGAAGTCATTGTAAGTTTATATTGTTGGTTTAGTGATGTTTTTAGTGTTTACCAAAGCCAGAAAGCAATCAAGAATGGAGAAACTGTACCAAATGTAGACCTAAGAACGGTGTCGAAAGCGAAACTTCACACCATAACCGCCAGAAGAGTCGAAGCCATTACAAAGTTCATTAAACTTCGACTTGAACCATCACCGATGTGTGGCAAATACATGGTTCCTCCGCAGTTTTCCCGAAGAACATTTGTCATGGAGGCATTACAAGACACCAATGATTCTACATTAATGCCGCTGTCTGGAAATGCTTTGGGAGATGCTGTTGTAGATTACGCACTTGACTTGGTAGAGAAGCATGGTTTTCCGCTTTCGTTCAAAAAAACGTCTTTACTACCGCGGTGTAACATTTGTTGCGAACTGACTAAAGTAAGTATAACTTTTTATAAAGTTTATTTTGCTTTTAGAATGTCAAAGAAATCCGTTTTATTGATGGTACTCCGTATAATGGCCGCCAACTTCTTGAAGCACATTATCAAAACACGAGTAATGACCGCAATGTAATAGACGCTTTTATGAACCAATCTATCAATTTTCCTCACGAACTTTTACTTTTGAAGTATGACGGTATGTCTGGACACAAAACATCGCTACCGTTCTTAGGAGACAGAATACCGAAGGCATTGAGTAATTGTAACAAAATTGTACCATTTCAACTAAAGTTTTGTTTGGTGATTTACAATTACTTTCATTTTTTAGGGCATCTAAGCGCCACAAGTCAATCATTCCGCGGATATGTCATTGGATTCTTTCATCCCGCTTCCGCTTGCAGTAGCTCTGTTTATTCTAATATTTTGTCCGTCTTATCAGAACTCGATGTACTTCCGCCAGTTATTGTTATCAACACAGACAACGCTCGTAGCAACAAGTCTAAATCAACAATACATTTTGCTCGGCTTTTGCTGAAATTTTGTCCGAAAATATCCAAGATCATATTCGCGTTTCATGAAGCAGGCCACACTCATAATAATGTGTCTACATTTTAACTTTAAGTTTGTATTTTTGTTTGGTTTTTATTATAACAACTATTTTATTATAACTTAACCATTGTTATTTAGGTAGACGCTTTCTTTGGCTGTCTAGCGGAAAAAATGATTGGCCACCGCTTAGAAATCCCCTCAGAAATGACTGAATTTGTCCGCAACGTTCGAGGAGTCAAAAGTATTTATGATTCTTATTGTTTATGGGATTTGTACATTGCTCCGGAAACCGCATTACTTGATGGAGTTTATAACTATCACTATTTTGAGATCTACCAAGCTGAAGATGGAATCCGCGCTAAATTCAAGCAATTTATTCGGTGCAATGACTACTTGAATTTGAACAAAATAAGACCATTGTATCCTGAAGACGCCGACCAATTTAGCCGCTTAATCCTAAAGGTAAGTCATCATAATAAGATACAATTGTAAAATTTTAGAAAGACGAGGAAATTGGAGAAGTTGGCTGTGAAACATACGTCATGAATAAGCAACAGCTCCGCCTCCAAAAAGTTCAAAAAGGATATCATAAAATATTTGTCTGAAGACACATTCAAGTCACTGCAAGATCACTTGGAAGCCGTTACCAATATGCCAGTTGAAAGTTTTTCCGAAACTTGTCGCAAAATTAATGAAAAAGTTGTTACTTTACCCGCCCCCATTGTTAAAGCATCCGACGAATGCAACGTCACGATTGAGAAGTTCAGGAAGTTGACAACCGCAAACAACGCAGAATCCGCAGAAGTAGAGGAACAACAGCTAGGCAATGAAGTAAAAGTTTTTTTCTCTTAATAATTTATGTTTTTTACCTCATTATCTAATTAGTAATAACTAATTTTTAGGAAAACCTCATGCCTCCGCCAGCTGACGAACAAGAACTCGAACAATTACTAGATGAAGCACCAACGTTGCAAACTGTTCGCCGCACTACTACACTGTCCGCCGTTCCCGCTACATCGCAAGCTACTTCAGTATCTTCCCGTGGTCGCCGAATTGTTAAGCGCACGCGATTTTCACCTTCGAGATAACGCAAGTACTAACATTTTTGGTTTGTTGAATATTAGAATTTTGTTATTTGTACTCACCATCCATATATTAGTCTAGGTTTCGTATAAATTTTTGTAGAAAATATTGAATTTCGGCATTTTATATATTATTATAAGTATCGTAAACTTATCTGTACCTAAACTCCGCGAAAAAAAAATTTTTTTTTAATTCCAATTTGGGGGACAGAATTTTGCGGTTTTTGTCCACGAAATCGTCACTCGAAAAAAGTGAGCAAATTCTGTCCACCAAATTGGAAATTTGGTTTTTTTTTTTATTTCTTGTCCGCGAAATATTTCGGGGCCCGACCTCTTGTACGTTTGTCCCCGAAAAAATTTGATTTTCAAATTTGTTGATTCTTGTCCTCGCAAAGACAACAATCCACGATTCTTGCCCCAATTGGGCTCGAGACAGGAAAACGTCTCGTTCGTTCCGACTTTTTCTTGAATGTATATAATTCAAGGGATATATTTTGGGGCTTGAATAAGTTTGTTATTGATGATTTTTATTTGGAAATTAGTTTTTATTTGTTCTTTGTTATCTTTACGATATTTTCTATATCAGATGTAAAAGATATTGTTTTATTTACTTTGAGAAAGAGCTGATATTAACATAGACATTAAGTGTGTCATGGATAATATCAGTTAATTTGAATGAGATCGTATATAGCTATTGTTTCTATGTTTTATTAATGACTGTAAATGTTTCAGCTGTGACCATAATCAACTGCTAAGTTCAAGAAGCCTCAAAGATCCTTCAAGTTTAAGCTAGAGATCAGGAGACGAGCCAAACCATAGACAACATCGGATGACAAAGACACATGAAGTCCCAGATGAAACCAGTCCGTAATCTAAAGGGCATGAGGAAAGAATCACGTAATCTATGCTAATATTTGTATTATTCATTTTATTTTGCGCGTTATTACCTAGTTGTCGCGTTGTTGACCTTGGTTTCTGAATCGTGCTGAATTTTACTTGTTCTTTTTCAAAGTTTTATTTTGTATTATTTATTGTATTGTGCGAGTTATTACCTATTTGTCGCGTTGTTTGGTGCGTCTCTGTACCGTGCTGCCTACTGATGGCTCCGGTTCCTAGCTAGGTTAGGAGGAGGTTCAAGAGCAGGGTGGGCTGGCAGGGTCTGATGCCAAGTTATAGATGGTCATTAATTTTCGAATTTTAAATCTTTTGACCTGACTAAATTTGAATTCGGCAAAAGCTCGATTTTTAAAAGTTTTGTTGAATTACCGAATTAAAATGGTTAAAAAACTTGTTTCTGGATTCTAAGTTACTGGTTAATTAAAATTTTAATGAATTTTTGGTAGTAAAATGCATTTTTGAAGGGTAATTTGGCTTCAGATCCTGTTAGACGTCCTTGCACAGTGCCTGGTATACTCTGACTGGCACTGTCGGCCCGAACCGGTCGAAAATTGGAGTGACAGTTGGATTTGAAACATTTTTGGCCGAGATTTTATTTTTAAAATCTAAAAAACGGTAATGCTTTTTGTCATAAAATTTTTTCTAAAAAATGTGTAAAATTAAATTTTTCTATCAAAATTTCATTTTCTACTTATCAAAACTGTATTTTTTTCAATACCAAAGTTTGATTTTTGTGATTCGAAGTGCTTTTTCGCTCAAACTAACTTTCTATCCACTTTTTGACCGTTTTTGGTTGAATTTGCTTGATCTTTGTCCCTGTCAGGTGCGCCTTGGATGTTGTCCTAACTGTTCGCAAAGACTGAGAAGTCAGAAGTAGCTCGGTGGTCAGGGACTTCACCTCGGGGAAGGGGATTCATTCATTCCCATCTCCGTGGGGGTAGGGCCGATACCCCGCTTGGTCCCAACAAGTAGGAGGACTCGGTATCCACCCCCAGAAACACGGGGCCATGCCCAATTTTACTATGCCTGCGTATTTTTTATTCGAATAATCTCCCCCTTATTTTTCTTGGAGGGCGAGGTGATGAAGTCCCCCTCCAAGCGGGGAAGGAGGTAGGGGTACCTGCTCCCCCAAGGTGAAGTCTCTGACAACCGAGCTACTTCTGACTTCTCAGTCTTCGCGAACAGTTAGGACAACATCCAAGGCGCACCTGACAGGGACAAAGATCAAGCAAATTCAACCAAAAACCGGTCAAAAAATGGGCAGAAAGTTGAAGTTTGGGCGAAAAAGAGATTTAAAATGACAAAAATCAAAATTTAGTATCGAAAATTACAAGTTTTTAATGAAAAAAACTGCAGAAAAGCGTTCTTTCAAAAAATCAATTTTTTTTCGGCCAAAAGTTAAATTTCTAAAATTAGAACAAAGTTTTATAAAAAAAACGCTTTTTTTTGGAACTTTGAAGATAAAAATTTCGTTTTTGTAAAAAAATCTTGTAAAATCAACTTTTCATCCTATTTTCGACCGGTCTTTGGCCGAAAGTGCCAGTCAGAGTATACCAGACACTATGCATGGAGGTCAAACAAGTCTGAAGCTAGAATTCAAAAACAGTCCTTTAGCATTTTAAAATGGCAATTCAACAAAACATTCGAAAAAATCAAGTTTCGGCCAAAAAATTCGAATTTAGTCAGGTCAAAACCTTTAAAATTCAAGAAGTAGTGACCATCTATAACTTGCCAGCAGACCTGTCGTTCCCACCTTGCTCTTGGACCTCCTCCTAACCTAGCTAGGAACCGAAGCCGCCAAAAGGGTTGAAAAGAAAAAAAAATTCAGCACAATACCGAAACCCACCCCAACAATGTGAAAAATAGGTAATAACGCGCAAAATACAATAAATCAAACAAACATTATCATAGATTAGCATTCTTTCTTCAAGCTCTTTAGATTACGAGCTGATCTTTCTGACTTCAGATGCCATTTTGGTCCCTTGTCCAATATTGGTATGGTTTCTCCGATATCTATGTTGTCCAACAACAACTTGATCGATGTTTGAGCATTTCTGAACGTTCCACCAGATCAATATCAACATCTAAAACATTTGCATACATTATTAAAATATAGAAATTTACAAAAATCAACCAAAAATTATCATATTCAAACCAGATTCTTATATTATCTATGACACACCTGATGTCTATGTTAATAACCGTTCTTTCTCAAAGTAATAATAACAACACACTTCACATCTATTATAGAAAAATCGTGAAAATTGTAGAACAAACAAAAACTACTTTTCAAACAAAAATCATCAATATCAAAATTGTTCAAGCTCTCAAAAAGTTATCCGTGACCACCTGAAGCCTATGTTACTAATTCAGTCACAAAAAAAATGTAAAATTAGAAAGTTTGCATTTAAAACTTAAACAATTCAACAAAGAATATAAATAAATCATCAAATTTACAATACAGATTTTTTTTGTAAAAATTTCATATTACCAATAACATCAGAGCACCATAGATAATATCAATCAAAACCCCGTAATTTTATCCTATCTTATTAATTGTTTTATTTTCAAAACCATAATAACTACAACATACGTAATAAAACCAACTTACATCAGCCACAAATGCCAATTGACGTTCATTATTTTTTCATACATCTACAGCACCATCATCAATGTTTCAAACGTTCATTCCGAGCTCCACCGTGGTCTCCATACCTTGATTTGCAACTCAACACAAGGCCCAGAATCTGGCTCACATCATTCCAACGTACAATCCATCAAATCCATCTGAAAAGCATAAACTTTATTAAAAGCATGTTATCCATAATTACTGATGCCAAGAATAAGATAAAACCCTCGAAATCAATCTAAAAACAAAAAAACCAAAGCAAACACAATACTTACATTGCCAAACAACTTGTTCTTCTTCAAATAAATCGTATGACATCAAATTTGAGCTGTCATTTAGCCAGTTCTGTTGGTTTTCATCCAGCTGACCAGAAATTGGAAAATTGAAGATGTTCTTCTGCTCGTAACCCCTGTATTCTTCATTTATCAAACACTATAAGTCCCCTAAAACATAGAAAACATAACATTACATCAAAAGAAACAATATTTACACGTAAAACCCGTTCATTCAGCCCAAAATAACCTCGAACACCTGACTTTAACTTCAAAAAAACGTGTAAAACGTCAAAAAATTAACAATTTTTCTACAGAAAGCACTCAAAAAGGCAATTTTGTTGTATATTGAACAATTTTATCAAATTTCAAACCAAGAGCTCAAAGAAAACAAGAAGAAAAGGCAATCAAAGCAATTCCTCAAAGCAAATACAACTTTGTCACTAAACGACTGCGGCCGAACAATTGCGCCCTGCAAGCGACATGTTATACGATAAAACATGTCCTTGTAAAAATAAGATTCTCTGGACCGTACACAACAATTTTCAAGCATTTTAAAACATGTTCAATCGTAAACCTCTTCAAAAACAGTTTATTGGCCCTATGTATAATTTAAATTATCCATTCATTCCAGTAGACGGAGCGCCAGTCGTCTGATTGGTAGACTGATTTCGAGTTTGTGCCATACTATCCGGTTTTTGCTGCTCGCTGTCAACCACTTGCATATGAGTTAGCAACTGTGGTTCGTACTTGTTCGCATCGAAGCCAATGTCCTGTAGAAGGCCGAGGATCTCGTCAGAGAGGGCACGTTCGAACAGAATCCGTTCTGCCACTTCTAGCTTGTGTCTTACCATTTGGAGCATTTGGAGATGCTGAAAACAAAGTCCTATGTTAAAAATTGGCCCGCTTCTTCGTTGTAACAAAAGCTTTTGTTATTTTAAGTTTTGTAAAGAAAGTTCTTGCCATTTTATCAAAAAATAACGAAACTTGGTGTTCTGCAGCCTGCGGGTGACAAGTTATACGATGGAAAACTTTTCTACATTGTAAAAAAAAGTTCTTGCAATTTTATGTTTTGTAAAGAAAGTTCTTGCCATTTTGTTTTGTAAAAAAGTTCTTGTCATTTTCTGTTTTGTAAACAAAGTTCTTGCCATTATTTGTCTTGCAAAGAAAGTTCTTGCCGTTTTACCTTTAAATGAAACTCCACCACCAGTAGCCAAGCCATAACCAAATTCGTAGCCCCAAGCAATGTCCCAACGATAAACAGTCCTAGTACCAGCCCATGATGCAATTCAGCATCGTACACAAGAGCTGTTGGTACTGGTGGAAGTGTCCAGTTTGGACTTATCGAATGTTCCGAACTGGTACGATAGGGCTCTTCGGTGGTACTGTAGGGCTCTTCAGTGGTACTATAGGGCTCTTTGGTGGTACTGTGGGGCTCTTCAGTGGTACTTGGGGTTACTGTAGTAATCTCCGTGGTAGTAGAAATCTCCGTAGTATTAGTGGATACTGTAGTGGTATTACTGTCTGAAGTGGTAGTGTTATCGACTGGTACAGTGGTATTACCTGTATATGTTGTTGTATCATCGGTAACACTAGTTGTCTCATCAGTAGTCGTGGAGTCGCCTTAAAATTGAATTTTTAAACTTCAAATTTCAAAATATTGAAATTTCAAAAAATTTTAAATTTTAAAAATTCGCGTTTCAAAAGTAATGAGAACCCACCACCATCTTGACCAAAAACACTTCCAAACCCAAGAATCGTTGTCGTTAAGCCGGCTGGCAGATAAACGCCTCGAGGCCATGCAAATATAACAATAGGTAACAATAATAACCAACCGACCGGTCGCATCGTAAAAAATATAAATGAAACTTGATTTTCATTTGAAAATTCAAAAAAATTAATTTTTTAATTTTTTTTTTAATTTTCATTTACGAGAGTGTTCGCCCTGCGGTGACCTGCCGGCAGCTGCCCCACTCTGATTGAATTCAAACTTTTATATTCAAATTTTGATTTGAAATATGCTAAAATTGACTATAAAGACCCGCGTTAAATTTTTAGGTATTTGCACTTTCATAATCGACCGGTCGGATTACGATAGGTTACGGTACTTTTAGAAAAAAAATTTTAATTACGAAGTTGTTCAGCATGGTCAAGAACATAACTATGCAAATTTTTAGAGCTTTTGGTACATGTTTGACTTTTTTTTAATTTTTAGTTCAGTTTAACAAAAAATGGCATAAAATTGCCAAAATGACATTTTGTCCACAATCGCTTTATCATATGTCTTATAACAACCTATCTCATCGATTTAGCACATAAAAACAGGGGGTAAATATTTAATGCACATGCCTGTGGCGCTTCACTGTCCCAGAAAGACTCTTTTACACGTTGTGCTTATACGTTGATTGCCGACGTCGTATTTTAACCAACATGAGTTTTAAAAAATTTATTATAATAATTAGTTAAGTTCTTCATAAGAAAGCTTCTATAATTTTTCCACAGTAATCAAAACTGTTACAGTACTATTGATAGGAAATTAAAGAAAATTAAATCTTAGACTTGGATTCTGTTATTCTTGGGTTATCTGTAGTAAAATACATAGTAATTCTTACGTTATCTATAGTAAAATATATATTCATGTTATCCATAGTAATCTATTGAAAACAACTATAAGTCGATGATAGCCTATCTTTACCTCAACAAAAGTCATTTTTAACCCAAAAAATGTCAATTTTAACTCAACAAAAGCTCATTTTTAAGTAAAAAAGGTCATTTTTAACCAAAAAAAGACATTTTTTAACTAAAAAAGACCGTTTTTAGCTCACAGAAGGTCATTCTTAACTCATAAAAGATCAATACAATGCAAAACCAAGACTTACAAAGCCATTACCTACAAAAAACAAGCTCTAGCTTCTCACAAACCATAGTATTCGCCCCTCAATATCTCCAAAACTGCATTATCCACTCCTCAAAATCTCAAAAACGATATTATTCACCCCTAAAAACCTCAAAAAACCCAATATCAAGCCCCAAAACCTCTAAACCAACAGTAAAACACCCCCAGACCCCTAAAAATAGCAGTATCCAAGTCTTTTTCAACTTAAAATCTACAAAAACTAGCTTCTTCCTTAACCAGTACTGTAACAATTTATCACTGTAAACCCGAAACTACAAAAGTGCACAAAATACAATGCGAAAGAGAGAGAGTGGGACAGAGAAAAACACGAATTTCGATGAGAAAGAGCATGGGAACGAGAGAGAGGAACAGAAAAGAGAAAGAACATAATTTAAATTTTTTTAAATAAAGAACATAATTCAGTTTTTAAAAGAAAGAACGAGAGACAATACAAAGGAGAGAGAATGCAGAGAAAAACATTAAAAACTTGATTATTAGCCAAAGGAATAATATTAGGCCAAGATACGATGGAACAAAAATGCAATCTTGTTTTACATGACATACTTTAGCATTTTCAACTGTTTTGAAAAAGTTCTTCACATCAAAAATTTTAAAAATTCAAAAAAATAAATTATTATGTTTTTCAAATAACTTTGAGCCACTCCCAAAGAAAACTTTCAGGGTTAGGTAGCTCAGAATTATATGAACAACTAATTATTATAAATTTTTATGTTTTTTATAAGTTTCTGGTTGAAATAAGTATCCAGCCAACACAACTAGAAACAGTACCACCAAAAACAGCTCAAAAATGCTTTCAGCAAACTTCGTCATGTTGACATCAATAAAAAGACGATTAATAATAATATAATACGTGAGAAAATAGATAGAAATGTGTTTGAATATCCACACAAATTTAAAGTTAAAATGTTTTTTAGCTTTTTTAAAAGGTTTGCACTGTATTTACAATAAGAAAAACAAATTTCTCATTCAATGCCCTTATGAGCACTGTTTCACTACTTTGAATCCTTTCAACAAGTCCCTCCAACAAAACGCAACAACTTCCTTTAATTTTTAAAAAATAAAAATTTTGGTGTCTTTATGAACAGCAGTACCAGGCATTACCACTATAAAAATACTTTCCGAATTTATCAACTGTAAACAAAGTTATTGCATTTTTTCAAACCTCTTCGAAATCCGAAAAATTTTGAAGAAAATATCAGAAAAATAGCAGTAACTTTCTTTCCAAAATTTCAAAATTAAATTTTTTTAAATCGTGCCCTTCCTGACAATTATTTTCTTTCTAATTCAAAACTCTGCTTTATTTTAAAATTTTAAACTTCAAAACCTTTATTATATTAAACTTTTCTATTATAAAAGGTAACTTTTACCCATAAAAGCCAAACCAGTGCCATTCTTAGTAAAATTAAAGTAAAATCAGTTCAAACCCTTCAACATAAACACAACTAAAGGTCGACAAGTCCAAACTAAACTTTTCGACAAAACAGAAAATAAATTTAAAATTTTAGAAATTAGAGCGATTTCCGAAGATTCTAAAATACGATCCAGAGATTTGATTAGATATTGTTCATTACATGGGGGGGGTTACATGAGCTCGTCGTAGAGCTCCTCCTCGTCGTCGAACGGGTTGAAGGCGGCCGAATTATGGGGGTCGTCCTCTTCGCCCTCGTTGTGCGCGATCGGTTTTAGGCGTGGTCGTCGCGCTATGGCGAATTCGGCCGGCAACTGTTCGGCGGCGACACGCTTCCTGGGGCCGGTGGTGCGTTCAACGCGGTGGCGGAGGGAGCAGCGGAACTCCTGCACGATGGGGTAGATCATTTGGATGGCACGCATCACGCCTTCGGCTGATGTTGCTGAAAGGGGGAAAAGTTATATTATTATAGGTAATATCAAGAGAAGTCTAGCTGGCAATAAAGTATAGTTAAGTAAGCAGGAGTTCAACTGTATTAGATTTTCTATTGTTTTTATTTTAAATAGCCCTAAAAAAGAAAAAAATTTTGAAAACTTTCCTCCTCCACCCCCAAAACAAAAAAATTATATTTCAGAAAAGAAATACCCTACCCAACCCTACCATCCAAAACCCCCTACCTCCAGTTATCGTTATGCTACCGGTCGTGTGAATCCGTAGCGACGCCTTCGGGTCCACGTACTTCCACACCAATCCCACCGAAAGCTCGGGTTCGTATTGGGCTTCCTTGTATTTGGCCGCCATTTCCTCAATCTTCACTCCGAATGGCAGACGGCATGTGGCGAGCACGTTGCATATCTTGTAGTCGCGCAGACGAAGTTTGGCGTTCAGAAGGCCCATCGAACGTTGGATCATGCGACCCACGGAACGGGCAGCACGGCGACAGTCTTCTTCGCTGAAATTTTAAAATTAGTTTTCGCTATCAAAAAAGTGAGTTTAAGACCTTCATGCGCTCTATTAACCTTAACATATACCTAAAGTTGAAAAAACACAAAAAATCTTAACTTACCTTCGACATCCCACAATGTAGACATTGCCACTACTGTAGACCTTGACGTGACATTGTGGATTCCGTTTCTGTTTGTAGAGAACGCCACGATCACGGTCGAATGTCACGTTCCCGCTGTTCAACGCTACCTTCCGCAAATCAATGTGTAATGGCAACGAATAGTTGCACACCACGTTTCTGATCTAAAACAACATAAATTTGAAATTTTAAAACAAAATTGTTATCTAAAAGCATGAAGTATAAAAAATACTTCTTCAAAAACAATAGTCCAGCTGTTAAATCACAAAAAATGCTATTAATCTTGTTTTTTATATCAATATCTATCAAAATCACATATTCTCCATGCCCAACAGAGCTTTTTACGTCAGAATCAGTATTCAAAAAACAATTTAGCCCTCTTTCTTTACGGCCTACACAAAACACATGTTATTTATGTTTTCATGCCCATGGCCTTGAATTTCAAAAAACCTTTCGTAATTCAGCTCGAATTTTGAAAAGTTTAGATAAAGCTATGTTGACATAGAAAACAGATGAAAACAAAACATTAAAGTGATTTTTATGTGAAATCTATTGATGTATACGCTATTTAGTAAGTTATCATACTATCAAAAAGTGTTTTAACGGTTTCCGAGGTCATTCAATATTATTTTTTTTAAAAACCATTTAATAAAACCAATTTAACCATAGACTTTCAGTTTTCAGCTCAAACTATACTACAACATCAAAATTTTAGCCATACACAACAACATTAAACTTTTTGTGTCAAAAAACGCAATTTTTAAATCCACTTTCATTCAATTCTTACTTTCTAACCAAATCTAAACATTCAACAACAAAAAGATCTAAAAACATACCTGAATATCGATTTCATCGTTCTCATGTTTGACATTATCTTGACTTGTGGAAGGATTGCCGGGAGCAGGTTCGGCATGAGGCGGGTGACTCTGAGTCTGTGGAGCCAAACAGTACATTACTATAACCAACGTATTCAGTTTTCAACTCATTAACTATATTACATTTTAGCGGCATTTCAAATTTAATTTTTTCAACAATAAACATATTTTATAATGTTGTTCAAAGTATTGATAAAATAAGTATGCCAAAGTCAATAGAAACCTATGAAAACGATGCAAAAGACGTAAAAAAGACGGAAGAGTACATTGTGTTTACAAAAACATTAACTTTCATAAGAAGAAACGATTACAGCCTTGTTTTCGACACTTTTCGGCCTAGTGCAATATGAGAGGTCCACATGAATCATGCCAAAACTAATCGACAAACAAAGGTCGAAACTAATTTTTAGATTTAAATAGTGTTAAAACATCTACTTTCAGTTAATAATCAAAATCAACTAATAATAATTGCTATTTTCTGATTAAAAACTTATTCAAATCTTACCCAAATGTCGACCCATTGTAGCGACAGAAAGTTAACATATGAGAAAACTAACGAGAAAAGCTATATTTATACAAAAAACCTGCACAAATTTATGCGAGTTCAGTTAACTAATACGTTGATATAAATTTCTACCGAAAACAGGGTAAAGTTTATATTATCCCGCGAGACCTAAAGCATTGAAAATGGATTTCGTCATAACTAATCGAAGAGGACGTGAATAATGCTAAAATTGTTGTCAAAGCAGCACTAAAATGTCTAAATACCTTCATATTTCAATCTTAACCTTTTATATACTAAAAACAGACTATTACCATGCCGAAGCGGTGCCACACAAGACATTTGCCGACAACCCGAACGAGCGACAACCGATTTTCGCGTGAAACGTCGATTTATCGGCCAAAATTTGCGAAATCCAAGTGTTTTATATGTCAAAACCCGACGAAACCCTTATCAAACCGGCACCGACCCCAACCCAAATCCTAATCCAGACAGCGACTCGAAAAAGTTGAAGACGAGTTCAACACGGAGCAGTTATTCATTGTATTTTCGGTTCAACATCACCACCTTTGTCTCCTTTTTAACCTCAAAAGCAGCAAGACCGGCGGCTGGTCCGTGTGTTGAGAAGTTGGTGTGGGAAGTGGAGGCGAGGAGAGAAAAGTGTAGCCGAAAGAGTGTAGTCAAGGCCGAGAGGCTGGTAGTGCTTTTCGGGCGAAAAGAAAATCTTTTTTGAAGCGGAGCGCGAGCTGCCGCCGCTCTTGTTATTTGGAACGTTTGTGCAGGCTGCAAAATGAAGGCGCTGGATGGATCGGGAAACGGCAAGAACTTTGTTTCAAATGAGCGAAAAAACGAAATTAGCCATCTTGAAATGTTAAAATTAGATTTTTCGAGAATTTATGCAAATTTTTCAAAAAAAATTTTTTATTTTTGGAAATCCTTATGGAAAAAGCCAGAAACTCCGTTTCAATTGGCCAAAATGATTGAAATCTTGGCATTATCTTATCATGAGCAACATCAGCTAATGTATAAATCTGTGTAAACATTAAAAACCTTATATTTCTCAAATTCAACTGGCATTTCCCCAAAATAAGACTTTATTTTTAGCGTTTTCCAATGTTTTCTTGGCCAAAAAGCCGGTTTTTTATTCGAATTCACTTATTCTTTAGGGTTTTCCACTGTCTTCGCTTCGTTTGGCCATGAAATCGCGGTAAAATTGACGTTATCTTTTTGTGTTTAATATTGGAATTGACGTGTAAACAAATTATAAACAAAAAACCATGCAAAACTGTATTTATAAGGCCAAAAGTGTGGCCAATTCAGCTGAAAAAGACATTTTTTTTAGTTTTTCGGAGTTTTTAACCATTTGTTTGTCAATGTCATTGTATAATAGGAGTGATAATAGCTTTTCGGGTTGATAAACATTTTTTAAAGGTTCGGAGAACAAATATTTGCAAGAGGACATCAAATAGCAAAAAGCGATATTATCATAGATGATCATATAACTTGGGTTTTTGATAATATTTTTTGGTCGCGTTTGGGAGACAATTGAAAGATTGGTTAACAATGTATGTTCCGTATAGTCTTTTACATTTTTTTGTAATTTTTTTTTACACTCTGAGGTCTTTTCACAAAGTTACATTTAAAATATTTGGGACAATGCATCTGTTGATGCGCAGTGTAATATTTATTAAAATTCTGGTTTGGAAACAATATTTTTAGGACTCTTATATATTTTAAAATCTAGTATTGCATCTAAAGGAATTATTGAATGTACTTTTTGCTATCTTTTCGTTTTTTCTATATACTTTTTGAACGCCCTAAACTCGTAGTTACAATTTTTCAAAATTAACATAAATGAATATAAAATCCTCAATTTCAGTATAAAGCCATGTCAGCCTTTGACCGTGAAGAGGAATACTTTCAATTTGCTTTGGAAGTGACCAAAAAAGCTGGTCATTTGGTCAAGACCGCGTTTGCCAAGCATGAGAGCGCAGTTACCACGAAAGCATCGGCCACGGATTTGGTGACCGAAACTGATAAGGCGGTGGAAGAGCTGTTGATCAAGAGTATCTCCGAGAAATATCCTGATCATCAGTAAGGAGATTTGTTACCTAAAGTTTCATTATAAAATCTAATATCTGTTATATTGACTATAGCGAGAGTTTATTCAAATTTTTTGTTGATTATGACGATTTTTTAAATGATATAAGATTTTACATTATCTATTCATTTTCCAGATTTATTGGTGAGGAATCCGTTGCCGCGGGCAAAAGATCCCCCTGGACCGACGCCCCAACCTGGATCATCGACCCAATCGATGGTACCACCAACTTTGTGCACCGAATCCCGTTTGTGGCCATTTGTGTTGGCCTTACCATTAACAAAGAGTTAAGGGCGGGTATAGTGTACAACCCCATCACCGAAGAGCTTTTCACCGCCCTCAGAGGACGTGGAGCTCTGAAGAATGGATTCCCAATTCATGTTAGCAAGACTTCAGGTAGGATAAGGCTAGCTTGACTACAAGACGCTATAACTTTCCTTACAGACAATATTGCAAACTGAATTTTTGGTAGAAGCAGTACCATACTATGGTACTTAAAATAGTATAAAAATTTTTTCTTTTTGTTGTTTGTAATGAAAGTTATTTCGTTTTTAGTAGCAACGTCCCAGAAATGGCAATAACTTTCTCTACAAAATCAAAAAATGGAAATTTTTTGTGACAATACAAACGTTATGGTTTTTTAAAATAAAAAAAAAGTTTATCACCTTTATATACCTAAAATGACCATCCAAATTTAGAATTTAACAAGTCGGTTATTTGCACCAGTTTGGGGATACACAACATCGTTGAGAAGGGTCAACAATGGCTTGACATTGCACTCGACAATCACCGCCGATCGGTGGCCGCCGGAGTTCGAGGGTGTGTTTTCGTATTTTACGTTGGCTTAATGTCCAATAACTATAAGTTGGTTTCTCGTCAAAATACTAGGCTTTACCATAGTAAAATGAGAAGCCCAAAAAGTTAAGTGGAAACAAAGTTATTGCGGATTTATAGCCTAAAATGAAGGAAAAACAGTGAAAATGTTGATAAATGAGCGATGCGTATCCCCAAAATGGTTGGAAATGGCTGCAAATTTAATATGATGCCAAAATTAATGTTATCTTTCGATTGTCAAGTTTAAACTTGTGTTGTAGTACTTTCTGACGCCGTGGTACTAGCTCAATTGGGTGCGGACAGATGTCCCGAACAGCTTCGCTCATTTGTCAACAATTTCACCGCTTTAATGGTCGATAAAAACTGTCATGGGTAGGATTGTTATTGTAGATATATTGTAGTAGGTCTATTGTAGTCGGTTATCATAGCATAGCGTTTTGAGTTTTGAACTACAGTATTTGTGTTTGGAATGAAAAAATGGGGTTTTAGCTAAAAATTTAGATTCATGTTAAGGGTTGTTACAAAAAGCGCGATAACTTTGTTTCCAGCTGGGCTTTTTGAAAAATTTTAAAAGATATCTTACAAGGAAAGTGCCCGACCTGCCCCACTCTTATTGACTTCAAACTTTTTATAAAGAAAGATCATGTAAATATAAGATCTTCAGCAAAGTACTAAATCGCGCTTTTCAGGAAATCTCGAGAAAATCGAGATTAAAAAATGACTTTTTGAATTTCCTTTCAAATTGGCATTGTGTTTCAAGCTTGTAACTTTGTCATTTTTTGGCTTTTAAGAATTTTTCTTTGATATACTAGTAGAAAACCGTTAAATGAACCTACATTTTTAAATTTGTAAGCGTATCTTGTCTGGAAAGCGGAAAAAAGTGCTTGGAACACAATGCCAAAGTTGCCAAATTGGCGGGAAACAGGGACGTCGTTTGGGGGGGGGGAGGGGGGCAGGGGGGGGTACCCCCCCTCCAGAGCCGATCCAAAAAAAATTCCACAGGTAGGTACCTGTACGCGGAAAAACGAAAAAAAAAATTTTTGAAAAATCGGTCCACAGGTAGCTAGCTACCTGTGGACCAAAAAAAATTTTTTCGACCTCCCCCCCCCCAGAGAAAAACCGTAGCGACGTCCCTGGCGGGAAACCCAAATAATTTAAATTTAAAACTCAAAAGCGCGAGCTAAAATTTCTTATGGGTACTATTGGTGGTACAAGGAATTCACATAAAAATTTTGAGCTGAATCTGAGCGGGGCAGGTAGGGTACTTTCCTTGTTAGCTAGTTGCATACTGTTTGATATTTGCTGTAATTTGTGCATTTTCAATTTTTGTAAACAAAGTAATTGCGTTTTTCCTACACCCTGCCTTGGATATGCGCAAATCTCCTGGAAAAACGCAGTAACTTTCTTTCCACGAGCCCATTTCAGAAAATATTCAAAAGTCTAATTTACCATGCCTTTCTAACTCTAAAAACCTCATTTCAGCCACCGCGCCTTCGGCTCGGCCGCCATCAACATGGTGTATGTTGCTCAAGGTTCAGTAGACGCGTATGTTGAATATGGTATTCATTCATGGGACATTGCCGCGGCCGCGATTATCGTGCAGGAAGCGGGCGGTGTTGTGATTGACCCGACTGGTAGTGAGTTCAATTTGATGGCTAGAAAGGTGTTGTGTGGCGCTTCGAAGCCGTTGGTGCAGGAAATGAGCAAGATCTTGACTCATGTTGAGTTTGAGCCTGAGCTTTAAGTTTTCAGTAATTTAAAGCCATTTTGGTCGTTTTAAAGTCATTTCTACGTAATTTAAGATCGATTGTATACCTAATTTCAATAAATTTAAGCCCTTAAGTAAAGTTTCTTCTTATATGTCTTTAAATTTTTTATGTCATCTTGTTAAAAATGGCAGTTTTGTCCGAAATCAAAATAAAAGTTTAATTCAACTACCTTGAACACAATAAATATTCGATTTGTAAACTATTGAAAAGTGTTTGTATTTGAGACATTGCAACTTATTCTTGTATCACAAAGTTAGAGCGTTGGTTTTAGTCTAAAATAATATTAGAAGACTGGTCTTGATAAAACAAAATATCATGGGAATTGAAGAGAAGCGGGTGGATAAAGACAAATTTTAAAAGATTTCTTCAAAAAAGTTTAAATTTTCAAAAAAAGCAAATTAAAATTTAAAAATTTTTAAAAAATATTGAAATTTCAAAATTTTCATGAACTTTCTCTCCCCCCCCCCATTGCCAGAAACACATTAAATATCGGTCAAAAATTTCGTAGAAAAATCGAAAAACCAAAGCTAACGATCCTAAACCCAATTTTCCTTAAACTTTTTGACCGAACTGACAAATTTTCAGTCGAATTTTAAAAATTTTCAAAAAATATTGAAATTATAAAACTACTAGATTGTTCAATTAATTCTGTGCCCCTCTCAAAGCAAATTTTCGGGATTAGGAGGCACAGAATTTTATGAACAACATAATATTGAGAAAAATAAAAAAATTAGACAAAGTAAGCGTTAAGATTATCACCGTGACCTGTCATTACACACACACTGGTTCTACCCTCAAATGGCCTCAAGAGATGAGACAAAATTCGAAAAAAAGTGGGATGGCAAGTGTTACTATGAGATTGGGAATACGATTAACGGCTACAAAATCCGGAAAATAAATTAGGTTTTTCTACTGGACAGTAGTTTAGTTTAGTCATGGGGCTCTGTGTTATTACAGTATTGGGGCGTACTGTCAATATTGGAACGTGCTGTCGATATTAGAGCGGACTGTCTATATATTATGACAGTATCAAAAAGTATGATCACTAGAAGCTATATTAAGCTAAAAAGGTCTACTATAATATCGAAACACAATCTTAGACCTTTAAAAACTATCAAAAACGAAGAAAAAACTGAAAGGGCCTATAATAAAGAGACAAACCATTGCCAAATCCTCAAATTTAAAAATAAACTTGAACCCAACCCTTAATTTAAAAAAAAATCAACTTCAACCCTCAAAATTTTTAAAAAGTCGACTTCAACAGTCTTGGAATCACATCAAATGGCATTAACGGCACCGTGGAATCGATTGAAGCCGCTGTTTGGAAACATTCATTGGCTTCGTCAAAGGATTGTTGTTCGGCCATAACACGGCCCAAAGCTTGCCATACGTCTTCACGTAGAGGGTCAATGTTCACAGCATCACGGAGCATCTTCTCCGCCATCTTCTGGTTATTTTCGATTCGATAAATGTTGGCCAATTGGATGATAGATGGGATGTGGGTTGGGTTCACAGTGACTGAGGCCAAGAACGAAGCTCTGGCTTCCGAATGAAGAGTGGGCTTTAGTTCGTCCGCCACTTTTTCGGCTTGATTTAGGAAGACACGGCCCTGAAGAGGCGAAAGTTGGTTGGGGTAAGGGGAATTTTGATAGAAAAATCGATGTTTTTAAGTTTGAAATTCATTTTTTGGACTTTAAAAATAAAAATCAACAAAAATTTTAAAATTAAAAAAATTTCAAATTTTCAAAAATAAAAACTGGATTTTAAAAATTTCAAAAACAAAAGTCAAATTTCAAAACTTAAAAACCCACCTTCAAGTAGGTAGCCTGATAGCTGTTGGGAAATTGAGCACACGCTTCTTCAACACAAATTTGAATATCCGACATCCGATTGGCATCGATCAGTAGTTCAGCTAGTTCTACCCAGATATTGGCCTGAAAATGTACTTTTTACTAGTCTAACCTTGACTTCGTATCATGTAAAGATTCTTTGTTACAAATTTTTCAAATTTAAAGACTTTACGTTTCCAAAATGAGCTTTAGCTCAAAGGAAATTCCCCCCCCGTCATTAAAAAATATTCGTATTCTACCCCGGCCTACTAGTGTGTTGTCCAAATATGGATAAGCCTTTTAAAAGTCAAATTTTTATTTAAAGCTGAAAAAATTTTTGACTCATTCATAGTTGGCCACATATAAAATTCAAAAATGAATTTACTCCAACCCCCCCCCTTTTTTTTTAAATTAACCAACTCACTTTCGATCTAAACGTGTTGGTAGCCGACCATGCCAAACTTGAACTCGTACCCATTCCCAATGATTCGGATACTGTAGATGTCGCGGCTCCAAACTCTGACATTCTCGTGCCGATCGTATTCGATGCGGCTTCAGAAATGTCATTCACACTAGCACTTATACTATGAACTGGAAGGTTGCTAATGCCAAGTGGTGCTGCTAAGAATGGGGCTACTGGTGCTAGACCGTCTTTGGTTAGTTGGGCTGTTGACTGAAAATTTTTTTATATTAATTTTTTAAATGTAAAACAAAGTTTTTGAATGTAAAGAAAGTTTTTGGCAGTTTATGTTTTGTAAAGGAAGTTCCTGCCATTTTTTGCAATGTAAAGAAAGTTCTTGTCATTTTTTGTTCTGTAAGGAAAGTTTTTGTCATTACTTCAAAATATGACAAAAGCTGATATTCTGCAACCTGCGGGTAACAAGTTATAAATACTTTAGATCTTACCTTGCTATCCTGTGTTCCTCCTCTGCCCAAAGTTCCCGTATCCGCAGTCCCATTCGTCGCAAAAGCACCATTTTGTGACTCATCCTCGTATACAAACTCAGGTACCCGTTGCCAAAACCTCAGTAGATTTCTGGTCGTTTTGAAAGCCCTATCAACTCGCCCAAACTTGCTCTCGAGCTTCAGTCGCAGTACCATTAGACCATAATGGCTAGGGAAATTGGCCATGGCTTTGAGTACCAACCGCATCGCGCTTTTGTAGTCGTGTTTGGCGGTGAATAGGAGTGCCAGTAGCATTTGTGCCGACACGTTATATGGGTTTCGGTCAATGGCTTCTTCGCACACTTCGCGCGCCTTCTGCATGTTTCTGGCTTCGGCGTACTCGAGAGCGCAGAACATGTGGACGAGGTCGTCGGCCGGGTCTGAGTTGCGCGCTTGTTCAAAGTTTTCGATCGAAATTTTCAGCATTTGGCGACGTTTCTCGAAGAAGGGCTCGGTTCGCACTTTTAGGCTGAAATAATGAAAATATAAAACCTTATAGACTGAAATGTTAGATATACAGCCGTTGTAAAAAAATAGTAAACTTTTTTATTTTTGCCATAACTTTGTTCTTAATTGTCCGATTAGTAAGAAACAAAGTTTGTTTTGATAGTTGTTATACATACTATCAGACCCAAATGACGGATTTTATAAACTATTTCATCGTGACTCATTATATAAAATCAAAAAATTAAGAGTGGACAAAAAATAGTAAACTTTTCTGAATACTATCCCGAACTTTATTAAAAAGGTAAGATTTAAGTTCTTCTTGCTATTACATATTGTTTTAGTTACGAATGAATGGAAAACAACAAAAATCGTTAAGTTTAGAAGTCAATAAGATGATCTTTCAACGCATAGAATAAGGCGACCTCATGTGCAACATCACAGAAGATTGTTCGATAAATAAGACTATTATTTCGTCTTAAATGCTCCTAAATATGCTTAGTCGGGTTGAGATATGGAGTTTGTAAATCCAAAGCAAAATAAAAAACTTTTTGTCTACTGAACATAGAATTTGCTTGTTGTGGTATGTGCCTTGGGTCATGGTCTTGTTGAAAAAATCCGCATTTATGGAACTTTTATCTTAGCAAACGGAAGCATATGCTTCTCAATACTGTCAGTGTAAGTTCTACTATCCATCCAACCATCAGTAAAGACTACCGGACTAACTTGAGACGAAGTAAAGCACCGCCACACCACGATACTGCCCCCTTGATGTTTCATGGTTGGTACCTGGTGCTCTAGGGCAAATCTTGTGCCTTCTTTTGTCTTACATACGCTCCACGTTGATATCCAAACAAACCAAACTTGCTTTTGTCGGTCCACAACACTTTATCCCGCACCTTCTCAGTCCACCTCTTATGTTCACCTACCCATTTCAATAGGATCGTCCGGTTCTTCTTCCTGCTCAACGGTTGTTTTGCCGGACCACGAACATTGAGCTTGCCTTTGATTAGAATTCATGCTACAATTTGAGCAGGAACTTTAAATTCGTAGAACTGCACCATTTCAGCGTTTATTTTAGGTGCATCCGCCATCGGGTCTTTTAGAAACAACTTTGGAATCAAATTATCTTGATATTTGGTCGATTTTCTTGGTCTTTTGTTGTTTAAAACGGTTTTTAGATGCCATTTTTCTTATAACCCTTCCAAATTAAAGAAACTTTAGCTTTGTTTATCGAACAATCTTCTGTGATGTTGCACATGAGGTCGCCTTATTCTATGCGTTGAAAGATCACCTTATTGACTTCTAAACTTAACGATTTTTGTTGTTTTCCATTCATTCGTAACTAAAACAATATGTAATAGCAAGAAGAACTTAAATCTTACCTTTTTAATAAAGTTCGGGATAGGATTCAGAAAAGTTTACTATTTTTTGTCCACTCTTAATTTTTGATTCTATATAATGAGTCACGATGACATATTTTATAAAATCCGTCATTTGGTTATGATAGTATGTATAACAACTATCAAAAGAAACTTTGTTTCATACTAATCGGACAATTAAGAAAAAAGTTATGGCAAAAATAAAAAAGTTTACTATTTTTTGACAACGGCTGTATGACCTTTTAGGCTGAAATAAGGAATATTCTGAAGGTAAACAAAGTCTTTGCCATTTGCAAGAAAAAAGTGAAATTTTAGTCAGTTTTAAAAAAGATCATGTAAAACTTTCTTTCACAAAAAAAATTTAATCTTTATCATTTTTGAACCAATTAAAACCTAATAAAAATAAAATATAATTCACCCCTCCTTCAAGAAGCCAAAGCAAAATTAGGAGTGAAAAACAGGCCGGGCCCATTTTTGAGGTCGGGCCCAGACCCAGAACCTAACTTTTAGATCCGCACCGTCTTTCTTTTTTTTCTCAGGCCGGTCCAACGATTAGGCCCGGCCCGATCAAAAAAATTTTAAGCCCTGCTCATTTTAAAATTTCTTAAAACTTTAAATCATAAAAGACAAAAAATTGAATTTGCATTGTTTTTTAGATCATTTATAGAATGTAATCCTCAAAATTAAAAAAGTTTTTAAAAAATTTTTGAGCTTTTAAATTCTAGCACGTTTAAAATTTAGCTCTAGTCTGGCCCAGCCCGATCGTAAGACGGGGCTTTGGCTTTGCATTGATCTTTAGATGATTTACCGATTAAAATACCAAAACAAATCGAAAAAAATTAATAAAAATGTTATTTAGACCCGGGTCTACTTTCAAGCCCAGCCCGCAAACGGGGCCAAATTTTTAGACCCAGCCTGTTTCCACTTTAGCTCAAGGTCAGCCCGGCCCGATCGTAAGGCTGAGCCTACACGGAAAATTTCTCATCCCTAACCAATCACACCACCCCCAAACTGCCTAAAATTTCGTTGCGCACTGCCTAAATTATCACTCGCTTCATAAAAACCTCATTTGTCGTATTATATTACATATAAAACTTACCTATACCCCAACGCATACAACAATTTACACCTGCCAGCCAGGGAGTCGGTCGTGCACAAGCTCAAGGCTTCTTTTGCCACTTTCATTACGGTATCCGCTTCTCCGTTCTGTTCGATTTCCATTTTGGCTATTTGCATCAACTCGACCACTTTGTTCTCGGTTGATGAGTCATCCGAACTTAGGTTTGTCGCATGTTCCAGGATTTTAATTGCCCTTGGGATTCGACCAGTACAACTGAGAGCTAGACCAAACTGACGCCAAATGTACCTAAAATGAAGTTTTTTTGATAGTAATTATAAACCACCACTCTCAAATGTTTAACATCCTAAAAAAATAATTTGACCCACCCAAACTTAATTCTCAACCCTTACCTATCAGATCCGGCGTACTGCACAGCATTGTCCAGCAATGCCGACAATAAAGAATGTTGTCGTATGTGTGACAAAACCACCGACAACAAGTTGTGGACCTGTTTTAGGTTGTGGAACAGTCGATATTGTTGTACACCTTCTCCATCGTATGTTACGGCTTTCACCGCGCGACTGGCTATCATTTCGCTTATCAGTAAAAGGAGGATGATTTCTTCGATACGACTGTTTGGAGAGTAGTAGTTCTTGGTTGAGCCTTTGTAGAAACTGAAAGGAAAACTAAATTTAGCAAAAAAATTTAAAAAAGTTTTGAAAATATGGAGGTAAGGTAAAAGTACTGTTACTCTTAAAAGAGCGTAAAGTTTAAGACCGTTTTTAGTGAATACAATTACAAATAAATGAGCTACAATCACGTAAAATCAATTTCTAACTTCTATTTAAAAAAAAGTTGTGAATAAAAAGGTATAACCAAAATGTTTCTTTCAAAAATAAACCTTACTTTAGCAAATTACTCTTCTCACTAATCGCCTTGCTTCCATTCCTCATGCTCAAAGAGCTTTCCATCGACCCTCTCAACAAGATTTCAGCCAGCTGTCTACATAACCTTTGTTGTGTTTCGGCCACAACACTTTTGTCACTCAGTTCTGTCATAATCTTCCTGTACAATTCAATACCTTCTTCATCCGACTTCCTTTCCAAAACTGATCTTCTTAACAATAAGAATGGTGCTCGTTCCATCGCGGCCTCCAGTAGATCACCAAGCTGACTTGAGCCACTTCTCGAGTTGGCCAAAGCCAAAGCTCTGCCATTTTGACCTACAGACTTTTCGAACTCCGTTATGTAAGATATTGTCAGTTCGACCGCGGACTCGAAATAACTCATCAGACGTTTCCTGGAGACTTCGTGCGACTTTTCTGTCGAATTCATCAATCTTTCGGTAGCAAATCCTTTGATCGCGTAGCCTTCTGCTGCCAATTTCAATGACCTCAAGGTTACGAATTGAGTTTTTGCCATGTCAAGTTGAGATTTCTCCAAGTCCTCTAAAGCCTTTTGAAAAGACGCTGAGAAATAATGCACTTTCGACAATAACAAGTAACATTCCATTATTACCTAAAGTAATTGTATCTTTAAAAACAACCTCAAATAGAAAAATAAAACTTAAAAACCTCATTCTACGTAAAAAATAAAGCTTATGTGACCTAAAAATCTCTATAACATCCTCTTTTGCTATCATTTATTATTACTCAAACAAACCTTCAAAATGTTGTCCTTCAACTCTAAACTCATAAAATACAAAAAAGTAAAAGCTTACAGTTGGTTTCTCTCGATTTGAAGCTATAGCCGTCTTCAATAGTCCTTCTGTGGTTCGTAGAAAGTCTCCAATATGGGGTTTTGGCTTGACATAACCTAAACGCATTTAATTTTTAAAGGCACATAAAATATTTTAAAAACCTAAAACATAGCTTTCTAAAACAATATATTTCAATAACTCTGCTTTAATGTTCCACTTCCAAAAGCTCTTAATAATCAAATAACCAAAAACATTCGAAAAATAAAACAACACTTTGGAAGTAACTTTGTAAAATATTCCAAAATAACTACACTATTCTTAATAGAAAAAATGAGCTAGACCTTATTTCAGCTATGTAAAACAATATTAGCTCAATAAGTCACGTAATCTTCAAAATAAAAACCAAGAAAATCAAATTCATCCATGTTAATTCAACTAAAACAACGTTTTTCTCAAATTTTTTAAAACTATTGCCAGCAACCAAAGAATTTAAATATTAAAAAATGCTACACATCTTATTCCAGCTAAAGCACTTCCTCCCTCTTCAATTCACCTTCACCTAAACCAAGAAAAACTGTAAACCAAATCCTTACCATTCGTTTGTTTCTGTCGATCCAAAAAGTTCTCCAACGACAGTTCGCCTTCCACCAAACCGGTCAATTTCTCGACGCCTGAGTTCTTCGTTCGCACCAATGGCAATAAATCCGCCAACCGAGCCCAGTTACATTCTCCACGACACTTGTCCAGCTCGGCCTCGAGCCGTGAGCCTCGCAGCTTTGCCATTTCTAATCCAAAACTATTTCGAATGAAGCATAATCAGCATAAATTCGAAACGACAGGCTAATCGGCTCAACAAACTGCACTATCACTCCAAATTTGTTTTTCCGTTAAAAAATTTTCCAATTTTTTCGTTTATATCGCAAAGCCAAAAGCCAAGCGTTTTCGTGATGGGATGCACGCAATTGTTAACGTCTTGAAATAAAAAAAATTTGAAGTAAGAAATGCATAACTTTTTCCATCGCAAAAAATTTACATCACCAAAGCCAAATTTGATAAGTTATTTCTATGACTTTTAACTCACTGGCCTTTCCGGCCCGTACAAACACTACTAGCGTTACACACCCGTTTATTCACATTATATCGCTATAGGATGTTTTCTAGAGATTTCAAATTCCTTTTTTTTGGAAATGGAACGATTTGAATCGGTTTTTTCCGGCTTCTTTGAAACCTTCTCGCTCTTTGCGTTCAGCGTATCAGTAACCAATGTGTCACTTGGCGATTCCAATCTTGGCGGAGGGTTGTTCTTGCCTTTCTTCTTGAGGTACCAGTAAACTCCAGCTAGGACTAGAACTACCATTGCGGCAATAATACCACCAATCAAGCCCATTTGCCAAGGGGGAAGCGAACTGCTGAAATGTAAAACTGTAAGTCAAAAAATTTAATTACTAGCTTTATTTTCAAATTTTTAAAGTTTAAAAAATAATATTAATCATCGAGAGATGACAAAAAATTTACGACAAAACGAAAATTTTAGTCAAAATATTATACTAAAAAACTAACTCAGGTTCGGGCTCTTTGTCGGTCACCTTAGAAACTTCTTTAACAGTAGTGGTGATGGTTGTTTCCTCAGTAGTTGCAGTCGGTGGCTTTTCTCTAAAATTAGAAAAACATAACGTCGGCACAATAACCATTTCAATTTCATCAGATTTAAAGAAGAATTTTTAAAATATAAAAAGTTTTAAAAAATGCAAAAAAAATTTTTAAAAGTACAAAATCGTAATGTTCATAAGCCTGCTGTAAAATATTCAAAAGCCAAAGCCAAGACAAATAGATAAAGTTAAAATAACCATAAACTTACTGTAGATACAAGAGTGCCAAGGTTGTGTCGACTTGAGCGTCAGATAGATCGCCTTGGGTCAAGGGTTTCAGTTTTTCAAAGCCGTCTGAAATTCAAATTTTTAAATTCCACACAAAAATTAATCCTCCCCTTATTCTATCAAGGTCAAATCATAACCTCTATCAATTACAAATTATAAGCTCTATCAAGTACAAATTAAAATTGGTTCCTTACCTAAAAATAAAAAAAAATTGCTTACCATGGTAAACATGACTTTGTCCACGTTCGGGCAGGGCTCTGCCTTCATACTACCAACATATTGTTCGTCAACAACCAACTTCAGACATTGGTCCTTATCTTCCCAAATCAGACCTTCTGAAGTCTGTCCGAATGTCAAACCACAAATCTTCAGTGAGCCAAAATTCAGCTTCCTCCTCATACAGTCCGAAATTTCACAGTACTGGGATTCCAGAGTGCGGCAATTCTGGTAGAACATATAACCAGGAGAAAAACCGGCTTGAAATACGTCAGACTCATGCTGATTAAATTGGAATTCAACATTCAAAAACTGCGGGTCACGTCCGCTGGATACCAAAGTGAATGTTTCTATTGGTGTACCCCTAAAATATTAGATTGTTTCAAAAAGAATGGCCGATTTTAACCGTAAACATCATCAAAATAAAGCAAAAATAAAAATTTTGAAAACTTGTTTTGAAAAGTATTCACGCAACTATACTTAACTTTCATTCACGCACTCCCCAACGTGAATGACTGTGTCAACATTCGTACTTTGAGGCACAGTCATATGCTTCATAAAATTAATTTTTGCTTCCAGTTTGTACTTGCTGAAAAATCAAAGTGACTAACAAAAAATATGCGAAATTAAAATTGACCCACAAAAAAACTATGGCAAATATAAACGTCCTCCTACTACAAAACCAGACCACAACAACTTACGCGAAATCAGCCTCGACGGTGGAATTGCCCGGACAGTTGACGTACTTCGAAGCGATGGCAGTTTCGCCCTCGAACCTGAATGTGTAGAAGTCTACGCATAACTGGGTTCTATCGTCTACTGCCAGGATGGACAACGTGCTGATTGCCGTGTACGCCTTCAAGAAGCCCATGATCACCAAAATCAACAACTCGAAACCAAAGAAATGAGCCAAAACTCTTAAAAACCCGCGTCTTTTATAGAACTGGCTTATTCAAATTTCAAAGTTGAAAAAATGAGAAATTCCATTCGAATTTTAAAAAATTTTCAAAATTTATTTAATTTTCACCGTTCTTATTAGGCTGCCCAAAAATTAATGGTCATTTTTTATAGCCTAATTTTAAAAAATTGCATAAAATTTAGTTTGTTTGTTGATTCTGAATGGGGCAGGTTGAGTACTTTCCTTGTAAGCTCATCAATCTACAATAATCATAGTTGCAAAGTATAAGATTACACAGACATATTGATGTTTCAACTTTTTGTTACCTTTTGCTCGTTTTTCCACTGTTCTAAAGCAAACTTGTATTGTAATATGATTTTTGCACATATGAATTACACTGATTTCCTTACTATGCTTCACTGAATTAATTAATAAATAAATCAGTTCGCGAGACAGCTCCGCCCCCTTTTCGAGGTCGTATTTAAGGTAATGTTGTAACAGTAAGATTTCCAGTTTTTCGACAAAATTTTTGAATTTTGATTTTAAATTTTGAAATTTTGAACAAATGAGTAGATTTTTTGAAAAGTTACTACAAACATTTGAGCAACATGTTGTACATGTTTTATACTCAGACTACTGATATGCTTGCATTACGTGACTTCATCTTCAAGAAAGACAAAAAACATGTAAGTTAAAGTTATTGTATAGATATATTCGTATGTTAAGTTAACGTTAGGGTCTCAGTTTGGGCACAGGCCTTCAGGCCTACTTGTACCCAGCCCTTTTCAAATTTGATTCGGCATTGCTCAGTTTCAAATTAGGTAAGGGCTTTTAGGATATCTTTGCAATAGGTCTAGTACTACAAATTTAAAAAAGTCTTGGCGTCAAAATGTATTAATTTGCTTACTGAAAAGCGCCAAGGTTTTTTTCACTGACTGAGGTAAGGTAGAGTAGAGTAGGGTAGAATATGATAAGGTAGGGTAAGGTAGGGCAAGTTAAGATGAAAGATAGGGTAAAACCAGGTAGAATAGGGTATAGTAAGGTAAGGTACAATACGGTAGGGTAGGGTGGGGTAAGGCAACGTAAGATAAGGTAGAGTAGGTTAAAGAAGCCAAGGAACAACTTTTAAATTCTGTCTACAGTGTTTGGCGTGGACCCGATTTGAAAAAGATTTGAACCGGGCTGGGTCGGACCGAACATAAAAAATAGCCGGACCGGACCTGAAAAAATGGCTGCCGGACAGTCCAGGCAAAACACTGTCCGTCTATCCCTACGCAGTGAATTTAAAACTTTTTTATACCGAAACTCCTGTATAACGTACAAATTTAAAGCTTTCGAACAATTCGTTATAAAAGAGTTTGTCTTGAATACTATCAAAACTTGAAGCATAGTTAATTACAATGACTTTTATGACATTATAATTGGGCGACAGACTTGAAAACTGCACTAAATTGTTTCTTCAAAAATTAGTTTTTGGTATTATATAATAGTACAATATAACTCTTGTATAACGAAACGCAAAAATTTTTAAAATTTCTTTGTTATGAAAGAGTTTTGGTATAGAGAAGTTCTAAATGCACACTGTAGAGTTAAAGATTTAAAAGCTGTTCGTTAGGCAAAATTTTCGTTATGAATGAGTTAGTTTTACATAAGTTCTACTGTATTATATAAACCTTTATATAAACCTTCAAAATCCTAAATTTTAAAGTGTTCGACACAAAAACTAATAAAAAATATGTTTTCAGTTGGCAGTGTTCTTGATCTCAGTGGCATATACCGTCACTGCCGCATTGGGCTGTTTTGCTTTGGGCTTTACATCAAACTACAATATGAACATTGCCAATTATTCGTGGATGCTGATCGATTCCTCCTGTTTCACCTTGTTTGTCAGCTTCCTGCTTTGCTTTATTGGGAACATTGGAATGATTAAAATGTTGTATATTCCTGCCATTTTGTGCTCTGTAAGTTTTTTTAAAATTTTTTGTTAGAAAATAGTATCGTACTATACTGATTTATCTGATAACTTGTGTAACAGTAAACAGATAGTAGTACAAGCTCTGCATGATATGAATAGATTAAGTAAGGAGAGGTAATGAAGATTACAGTCAATGTTTAAGATGAAATAGCTCTTGTCCTTGGCTCATGGCTTTACATATTAAAGTTTATTTTAGTATCTTTTGCAAATGTAGCAGTTTCTCTTACTTTACACCAAAAAAAGTGTAAACCTTGAATTACATTTGCACAGAGATGTCGGTTGTAAAGTGGATCACAAACCGTTCCCTTTTCTGTTCAATTTCCCACTCACTTCCGGTCATTTGTCAACGAATTTTGTCGACGGAAATCGAAAAAAATGTTCTTTTTTGAAAAGATTACACTCCTCTTTTTTAAAATCTAGACTTTTTTAAATCTAGGCTTCTTTAAAAAGAATCTTTATAATATGCTTTTGGCTTCCAGGTTTTAGTACTGTTTATACAGTGAAACGAACTCTTCTATAACGAAACTCCTGTATAACGAACAACTTTTCAATCTCCGTCTACCACTACAAAGTGCATTAAAAACTCCTCTATAACGAAACTCCTGTATAAAGAAAAAATTTCAAGTCCCCGGGCGATTCGTTATACAGGAGTTCCACTGTATTATATTAGGTTGTATAAAAAGTATAATAAGCTATGTTCCTTATAGCAATATAAATTTCAGTAGATCATTACTTTCATTACAAATCTCTTATATAATAAACTTTTCTATAACGAAATCCTATAACAAAGTTCTTTTTAACAAGCTACTCTAGAACAATCTCTTCTATAGCGAACTTCTTTATAACAAACTTTTCTGTAAAAAACTCCTCTATACCAAACTCCTCTAAAACGAGCAAATTTTAATTCCCCGTCTACCACTACATAATGCATTAAAAACTCTTGTATACCAAAACTCCGTTATAACGAAGAAATTTTAAATCACCGAGCGATTTGTCATACATATGATTCACTGTATTCCTATGTTATAGTCAGTGTTTTGCCGGACCGGTCCGGTTGAGAATTTTTTCGGTCCGGTCCAGTATTTTGATAAATAAAATTATTAAAAGTTTATCAAATACGAATTTAAAAATATTTCCATAATATTTATGAAAACATGCGCTTTAGTCATGAACTTGTATTAATCTTGTTTGTGTTAACATTAATGTAATAATAAGCCATTAAAGGTTAGAAAACATACCGAACTAAATTAAAAAATTATATATAAGGGACGAGCTAAATACATCGGATGGAAAGTATCAGACAAAAAATGCAATTCCTTGTCTGATATTTTTTTCAACGATCTTTTTTTTCTCTAACTGCCGTCGGCAACGAGAGGAAAAAAAAGATAGCGGGAAAATGATAGACGAAAATATCAGACAAGAAATCGCATTTTTTGTCTGATACTTTCCATCCGATGTATTTAGCTCGTCCCTTATATAGTGGAGATTGTTATAGAAGAGTTGATTATACAAAAATTCGTCGTAGGAGTTCGTGCTACAAGAGCTCCTTGTAAAAAAGGTTCCACTCTACATATAATTTTGTAAATTTAAATTTCTATTTTTTATACTTTCAGGCCATTCTTTTCATTGTTACTGTAGCCACAGTAATCTCATCCTTGGCGTTGTTCACCATCTTTGCCAGTCACATTACTACCAGTGCCGTTCCTAATGGTTTCGAAGTTTTATCACGAAATGCGACCACAATCACTGCTTACATTCTATTCCAGTTGTTGTGCGCTATTTGTGGCCATTTGTATTACAAACAGTTGATGTTGCTTATCAATGACTATCACTTCATTGGCGAGTTTGTTGAACGCTATCAAAAGGATGGCATTGAGCAAATTGTAAATGAAAGTTTGGATGAAGAAGAATCGATTGGTCAGGTTGATAATATTTATAAAATCAGCTATGGTAGTATGGTTTAAATAGCGTGTTTGTAAAACTATTTTTTTAATTTTCATCTGAAAATTTTTCAAATATTTTTTCATTTTGTTTGTCAGTGCCATTTTCATACTTACTAGATTTAAAAACAATATTTTAAAATTTGCACAACTCGTAAAGTTTTGCACTGTGCAAACCTTATTTAATCGGTTGCACGGGCATTTTGGATTGCGGAAAGGTCTTGCACTTTTTCCCTCTTTTTGGGCCTTTTTCTCTCGTTTTTTTGAGAAAATTTTCGGCGATTTTTTGGCTCTCTTCGTTTTTCACTGCATCCATCGTGCAGCTTCTTTATTCTTCATTTATTTTGCACCGTGCAACTCTTATTTAATTGATTGCACCGTGCAAACCGGCTTGCGAAAATGTCTTGCACGGTGCAATCACTTTTTCCTCTTTTGCGCCTTTTTCTCTCGTTTTTTTCGGAAAAATTTTTGACGATTTTTGGCTCTCTTCGTTTTTCGCTGCACCGTGCAGCTTCTTTATTTATTTTGCACCTTGCAAATTGTATTCTCCACTATTTTTTAACCTTTTTTAACTGTATTTTCTTATTTTAAACTTTTAAAACTGTTTTTTTTGAAAAAGTAGCAATTTTCACACCTCATAAATGTTAGTCAAGCTTTAATATCATTCAATCAACTATTTGTAATAATGTTTGTAATAATGTATTTTTTACTTTTATATATTGTTTGTTTATTTTACGTAGTATTTTGAATAAAGAACAATTAAATAAATTTATTTTGAATAATTATATTCATAAATAACAGTAAGAGGATAGTGTTTATGATATGGCAAAAGAATAATAGGTTGAGGTCAAGTTTGGTTTGTTTAAAATTAGTTTTAAAAATTATAAACAATACTTTGCGTTAAACAATTACTTTTTAAGCTTCAGAATGAAGACAGGTAGAAGATATGCACTAGAGCTCTTGTATATCGAATTTCTTTGTAACAAACTCAACTATGTTAAAACTCCTTTATAAAGAACAAATTTTTAGTCCCCCAGCAATTAGTTATACAGAAGTTCTGTACTTTGAGAATTTTACCAAGAGATAGTCCGCTTTTAGTCTACTACATCATCATTTATTGTACTGATTCTGCTGCTTTTTGCTCAATCTTTGGTTCCAATGCCTAGCACAGGCTGCACTATAATCGTGAAACATCTTCCTCAATGTAAACCATTTAGCCACACATAAAACGGCCACAACTACTTCAAAAATCAACGCTTTTTTCCAAAAATCATCCGTCTTCACTACCACCCCAAGCTCATCGTACGGTTCACCGTGAGTTAGTAGCATGAAATCCATAAAGATACAGCTGACTAGTACAAATGACAACATGATCAATGTCATCGATGTGTACATGTAAGCAAACACATATAAGTGTGGGAGGCGGATTCTGTTGCCAATTATCAATATGACATAACAGATGAAGCCGAAGAGGAAGTAGGACATTATGACGTAGTGAGAAGTATCGTATATTGTTATGTAGACAGCAAGGGCTAGATGTACGAAGCACCAGAATATGGCTAGGAGGAGGTTTAGAAGCTGAAAAATAACTTTTTAAATTTATTTTTAACCCGACCCTTAACATAGCCTACCTTCCCTACTCATCGTACTTAATAAAAAGCTTACCGCAGTAGGAACGCAATGTTTCTTAGCCTTTGGCGGACTGTAGTCACTGTCAGCACTATCACTGCTATTCTGATAACGTATCTTTTTCGGAGTTTTGTGAGCAGATGAAATTGAGGATGTTTTAGTTGAGGTTGATGTTACACTGCCACTTTGTCGTTGCATTCCCTTCAATTTCTTATTATTTGATGCTGAAAACGAAGATTCAGCTTGATCGTCGATCACAATAACTTCATCTGCATGTTTTCGACCAAACTTGGGGGCGGTCGAGTCTGACACCTTCATTTTTGGCTGAAATTGTGAATTTTGAAGATTGGTTTTAATTTAAATTTTTTTTTAAATTAAAAAAAATAAACACGGCTTATGAGGAAAGTACCCAATTTGCCCCGCACAGAATCAGCTCAAAATCTTTTAATTTAAAAGTTTCGAAAATAGAGTAGATACAATTTGCACGGTGCAAAATAAATAAAGAAGAAAGAGGCTGCACAGTGCACCGAAAAACGAAGAGAGATAAAAAATCGCCGAAAATTTTCCCAAAAAAATCGAGAGAAAAGGCCCGAAAAAGGAAAAAGTGATTGCACCGTGCAAGTCCTTTTCGCAAGCCAAACTGCACAGTGCAATCAATTAAATAGGGTTTGCACGGTGCAAAACATTTTTGAAAGCCAAAATAAACTGCACTTTGCAAACAATTAACAAGGCAAGTAACCAACCCGCTCAGAACCAGCCGAAAGTTTTTATATGAGATCCTTGTACCACCAATAGTACCCACAAAAAATTGTAGCTTTTGCTTTTGAGTTTTTGTATTTAATTTTTTCGTCAATTAGACAACTTTGGCATTTGGGTTCCGGATAAGGTAAATTTGGCATTGTATTTCAAGCACTTTTTTTAACTTTCCAGACAAGCAAGGCTTACAAATAAACTAAACTTGGTTCAGTGAAGATTAAAATACCAATTTAAAAAAATTTTTCTTCTTCCCCTCTCACCCTCCTTCCCCCCCCGATTTAAAAGAAACGAGATATTAACACCCACCTCCTCGAAGCTCATCCATTACCTAAAACAATTTTGTATGTAACGACAAAAGTCAATTACTGTGAAGAATTAGATGAGAAGCTATTTGAAAAACAAATTTTTCGAAAAATAAAGGGAGCTACGACGAACAAGAAGCTCGCTCGTTGTTAGAAACAACAACGACCTTTTTGTTTTCGGCTAACGGCGATGACATTATGACAAAGTAAAATATAAATTTCATAACGTTCTGTGTTTGTTTTACAACAAAAAAACTTGGTTTTGAATTTTGGGGTTTTTCGGGAATACAGGAGAAGAAGAAGAGAGACGTAGACCTGTAAAGGAGCCGGATCGGGTTTTGGTATAGGCCCCGGGACCACATGCGCCGGCCCAATCCCTTTCAAATTTGCTTCAGCACGGCATAGGACTAGCCTAATGTGCCTCTTTCGAAGTCTAAAGAGGCAATTAAAGAAAAAGATAATATAATACAAAAAGCGCACTGTGCAAAAAAATTAAATTTAATGAAAAAATGTCACATAATTTTTAAAAATCTTTTAAAAGTAAACAATACAAACACTCAGAGATAGCACTTTTTAAAACTTAAAAATACTTTATTAATTTTGTATAAATTCATGTGCAACAACCGTCAAAAGATTATCTGCACCGTACAACAGAATCACATTGTACGCTGCAAGCACTAATTAGACAAAAAACTGTTTTTTAAACATTAAATCACTTTACAAATAAAAAAGTACAAAAAAACAATCATGACGTGATGTTAAAGTATAAAGTGATCTTTAAAAGTATATGTTATATCAACATGTTTAAGGTACGGCGGAAGTGAGTCTGCACGGTGCAAATTATGCATGAACTTTTAAAAATTGCCAGTTAGTCAAAACTGAAAAAACAGTAAACACACTTTCCTGGAAGCAGACTTTTTATTTTTCAAAATGAGGATGAGAAAATTGATAATTGTATTTTGAACTTTTAGCTATTTTTAACTTCAAAATAAACTTTTGAGTTAAAACACTTATTTGGCATAAAAAATTATTATACTTAATAATTATAACTTAATTTTAGATGTCCTTTTTTTCTATTCATATTCCTTTCAATTCGGCGCTAGGACAAATGCGGTTTTTGGACATTTGCGGATCTGCGGTTTTTAGACAATTGCGGATCTTCGGTTTTTGGACACTTGCGGATTTTGGACATTTGCGGATTTTTTAAAGGAGTTTTTTTTATTTTTTATTTAATTTAGTTGTAGTATGGTACTAAATGGTACTAAAGTTTAAATTGGCACTGTCTGAATATTTCTTTATGTTAAATAGTACTAAATTTTTAATTGGTATTGTTTTTATATTTTTGGTACTAAATAGTACTAAAAGCCCAAAATGGTACTATTATGTTAAAACTGTACCAATTTAAACTTTAGTACAATTTAGTACCATAATGCAACTAAATTAACTAAAAAATAAAAAAAAACCTTTAAAAAATCCGCAAATGTCCAAAATCCGCAAGTGTCCAAAAACCGAAGATCCGCAATTGTCTAAAACCGCAGATCCGCAAATGTCCAAAAACCGCATTTGTCCTAGCGCCTTCAATTCATTCACTTCTGCCACTTCCGATAATTTCCGTGACACTTCGTCTCTCTTTTGACACTTCGTTTTATTAAAATGATTTTTTCACAAATTTTACGGAAAATTTTTGGGGATCGAAGTCGGGACAAGGCTCTAATGACAGAATGTTGAGGATACCTCGCATTACATCCTCTGTATATCGAGTAGTTCCACGACGAAAACCAAACGTTCTAGTTTCGGTCAGATGTATCACAGTAGGCGATGTGTTTGGAAAAGTTGATGTTTCTGTAAGTTTCTCGACGTTGTTTGTTTGATTTTTAGGGTTGGTAGAAGCTTCAGAGTGTTGTTGTGTTGTGGAATTTATTTTTGAGCAGTCCAAGATATTTATGGGCAATAAAACAAGGTTTTAGTTGAGTAATATAGCAGTTTTTTGGTTTGAAAACAGATTGAAATGTATAATTTCAGAAATTGCCTGACATTCCGCCAGTCCCACAACCTCCAGCGCCGGGACCATCAATAACAGAGCTATTAGAAGCAAAACAAAGTATTCTTAATGAATTGGGCTTGTTTTCGTGGTATACGCCGTCTAGTTACTTTAGATATGCATTAGAGTCTATGCACATGCATCTTGATATTCCGTGGTGGGCCGCGTTGATGATGAGTAAGTTAGATATGCATTTATTTGTTAAATAAACATATAAACTGGCGTTTTTAACGGTTTTTGTGTTTTTTTATAAGTTATTTAAATTTCAGCGACACTTGCTTTGAGGTTATTATTGGTGAAAGTTGTGGTTTTGTCGCAAAAGAACGTCGCGATTCAAAGTCATCATCGAAAAGAACTTGCCGCGTTTCAAGAAAGAATGAATGAGGCTAAAGGTGAAGGGAATAATATGCTGAGTAAGTTAATTTGCTTGTTTTTAGGGGTTAGGTAACAACAACAAGGGAATTATTTTTATTTTGAATGTAAAGTACGATAGTTGGATAAGTCTAAACATAATTTTTTAGTGCAACAAATCTTGATAGAACAACGTGACTTTTTCCGTGCCAAAGACATCAAAATCGGCCGGCAGATAGTGATCTTGATGGGAAATGCCAGTGTTTTCATGACCCAATTCTTCGCCGTTCGAAAAATGGCAAATCTTCCGTATCCGGGCTTCGACAAAGGCGGTACTTTGTGGTTCCAAGACCTGACTGCTTGTGACCCATATTACGCTTTGCCTTTGATTTCGGCCGTTACCATGTTCGCCGTGCTAAGGGTGGGAATTGAGGCTGGTCAATCGTCGGACACAATGACACCGGCCATGAAATACGGAATGCAAATTGGATTACCTCTTGTTGTGTTAGTTTCCAGCAGTCAGTTCCCAGCAGCGTTGTGTGTCTACTGGTGCACATCAAACATTATCTCGTTGGCTTATGCTGGTTTGTTCAGGATCGAGCCGATTAGAAAAGTTTTCGGCATCCCCAAGTTTATCCCACCACCGAAGAAGCAGGAAAAAGGAATTAAGGGCGCTTGGCAGGATTATAAAAGTGAGTTATGGTTAGCTTGTTGTTGTTATAGTTAATTTAATTTTTGATGTACATACTTTATTGTAAATCAATAGTTCCTTATCTTGTAAGACAACGTTTTAATAATATTTTAGTAGAAAAGGGCTTATATTATAAATATCAGAATTAAAAATCTTTTTAATAAAGTTCAAGTTCTCACATGCCTTGGTTTAAAAAATAAAGAAAAACTTATTCCAGAAGCAAAAGCTGCTCCCCCAACGCTAGAAGAACTAAAGAAGAGAGATCAAGCCAATTTTAAACAAGCCGGCCGTGCCAAACCGATTGAACGATCGGAAAACCAATAGAAATTCGTTGTTTGTACTTGTTGTTAGGTTCATTTCTTGTTACTTTATTAAACTTATTTTACGTTTTTAATATTTTAGGTAACAAAAGCTGTTGGTGAACAAAATTTTTATTTTTGTGGCTTTATGGGGTAAATACTTTGACGTCAGTTTGAGTACGATATATGTATATTAATATCTTGTATAATTAAAAAATATTTAAAAATGTTTTTCAGAAAAAAGATCAAATTAATCCGGTAAAAGATCATCCGCCCCCAGATCGCCAAGATCAAACGGATCTGAAGGCTTTTGATTGTAGCCGGTACGAGGACGTTCGGCCGGCGGAGCTACCGGGTCTTCGTAAGCAACGTCCTCGTCCGTTATGTCGCGTTTATTCGGTCGATATGGACCGTCAACCTCCAGCAATGCTTTAGCACTTTGTTGTCGGGAAGGCATTGATAGGGAACTTGAGTTGCCTGAAATTAGGTTTAGCTTGGGTTAGCTATAATTTTATTATTTATACCTTTTTAAATGAAAAGTTATTTAAAAGGGGGCTTATAAAGTTAACATAGGCTTATGTATAGGGTATAACATCGACTAAAACATTTGGTTTATTAAGGAAGAGGATATAACATTATAGTATAGTAAAGTAAATCAAAACCTACGACTAGGCGGTGGCAACGTGTTAGGCGAACTAACAGCCAATCGTTTGCTTTGACTGGAATCGGTTTCTCGCTGAAATCGTCGCTGCAGCCCTTGATCTAAACGTCGCAGTTTCTTTTCGTATTCAGCTTGATCTTCGACCATTCTCAAATCGCGGCTTAGCTGGACTAAAAATTTGAGGCATTCCACGTTTTGTGGGAACAAAGTGTGGGTTCTTTTATATAATTCGAGGGACTTTTGAAGCTGACCGGCACGGCGTTGACAACCTGCCATTAAAAGGTACCATTCAACATTGTGGGGTCTGAAATAAGGTCAAAGGTTACCTTTAAGTCTAAAAAATGAAAAGTAATTTAAAATCTACCTAGTTTTTATATTAACCATGATGATTAGACTTATTTTAAGATTTAAGGCTTGATCAGAAAAAAAATCGAAATTTCATTTTTTTTGTTTTTCAAATTTAAAATCAAAATTATCACTTACTCCATAATAGAAGCCTTCTCAAAGTACCGTATCGCACTTTCAGAGATCTGACTATCAATATAGTAGTTGCCCAACCATTTGATTACTTCAATATTAGCCGGGAACAGTCTATACGATTCGTTCATACAGTTGAAGGCAGCTGACTTGTCCCCCATGCTATCATAAAGCTGACCAAGCTTATACAAAATGGCAGGGTCATTTGGAGCCAAGCTGGAGGCATCGGCGTAGAAGTGTAGTGCTTGCTGCTTGTCTGAGCCTTCGTATCTGAAATTTTTTAACGTACAATCGTATAAAGGCTCACGGACGTAGCTGAACATGTCTTGAGATCAGGGAGTAGCTGAACATATGTTGGGCTCAGGAAGGTAGCTAGGGAGGAAGTAAACGGCGGCTGATCTACTCCCTCCCCATCCGCCAAAAACTAATGTGTATCTCTTCAAACTTACAATGAAGCCAACTGTAGTAGAACTTGAATATTGTTAGGTAAGATACTATTAAGTTTGTAAAAGCTATTGATAGCTGTCTCCAAATCATTCGTTTCTTTTCCGATTAATCCCAAGTTGAAAATGGCTTGGATGCAAGCAGGTTCTACTTGCAGGGCTTCTCTAGAAATATTTTTACCTTAATAACTAAAACCAAGGTAAAGTAAGGTAAGAGTATGATATGAAAACGTGATAAAATGAAGAAAAAGTGAAATACTGTGGAATTCCTCTATAACAAACAAAGTTAAAATCTCCGTGAGACTTGTTATACAGGAGTTCATGTAGTTTAGTGTTAATCCTTTTTACCTATAGCACTGTATGGCCGACTTGTGATTTCCTTGTAAATAATAGACATTTCCGCGATTCACTAATGCATTTGCATTATACCGGTCGAGAGACAGAGATTGTTCCGCAAATTGGGCAGCTTCGTTCAGTTTTTCTTTCCCTTGCTGAAAAACGTTATAGGGTAACATTGTAGGTAAAAATGTAATATAGTGTAGGGTAAAGCAGGTTAATGTAAGGGGTAGGGTAGGGTAGAGTAAGGTAGGGTGGGGTAGGGTAGGGTAAAGTCTTGTAAGGTAGGGTAGAGTAAGATAGGACTGGGTCAAAAAACAATAAAATAACCAAATAACTTTGTAAAAACCCACCATCATGGTTAACATAGCCAAATTATTCGCCGAAGCACTAGCAACCTTGCTCTCTTTGTTATTGAAAGCCAACAACGCTTCTGTAGCCGCATCCAAATCACCTCGTTTCAACATTTCCACAGCTTTATTCATTTCCAAGTCCGTTGCCAATCCAGCATAAATCGACTGTTTTATAATCGACAGGCACCACTCGTACCCTTCGTGAAAGTCCTTGCCGATCCCACTTGCAATCACTTTGGCTGCTGTCATTATGGCATGTTCGGCCGTTTGTTTGCGGCGGCGTTCCCATCTGAAGTTTTGTTTTAGTTAGGCATGTTGTTTTAAAAAAAATTTTTGGTTTAGAAACAATACCTAATTGGTCATCAAAACTCAAAACTTCTCCTTACTTTTTAAGCATATCAGTATTCATAGCCTCCTGCTGCAAAATGTCCGCATCCCCACTCTTCCCACTATCATCGACCATAGTGGGGATATCGACCAGTCGTTGGAACGCGTCCTTCATGCTCTCCACATCAGCCAGACAATAACAGGCCAATACCAAGTTCAAACCAGCCGTATAGTCCGCCTCGACCTTCAAACATTCGCTGAAATTGTCGCGGCCGCTTTCGTATTTGCCACGTTTTATCTGAGCAACACCAATATTATTCAGGATCAGGCTTTGCATCCGACGTTGGGTTTGTGGTACACGGTCCAGGGCTTTCTGGTAGTATTTTAGAGCTGTTGGATAGTCACGACGACGGAAGTATAAGTTTCCGAGGTTGACGTTGAGACGTTTTACATTGGCAAAGCTTTCATCAGCTAATATTACCTAAACTTTGGTTTTTTGTTACCTAAATTTAAAGTTTTTTCATTTTTGATCTAGCTTTATTAATTTTAGACAAAAAAGGCTCGTTTTATATTTTTCAAATTAAAATCTGTCAAAATCCTTTATTTCAACCCACCTCATAAGTATTGATTGCCTCACTGATCATGTTGTTGTTGACATGTTGACACGCCAATGTTAATTGAGCTGACAATGCCAAATCAATGTTTTCTTGTTGTGGGCGCATCTTTTTGACTTGTTGTTCGACTCGATTCGCTTCTTTGGCTTTGTCCAATGCCAACTTCATTTCATTTCGATCGCTGGCCAAAACACTTTCCACCAGCAGCTCTTTACATCTGTTTTCCAACTCTTTTATCTTCTTGGCTTGTCTGAAATGTTTATTTTTTAATAAGGAAAGTATCCGGCCTGTTTCGCTCAGAATCAGCTCAAAATTTTGATATGAATTATTTGTATTATGCTACCAATAGTACTCATAAAAACCTTTAGCGCTCACTTTTTGAATTTTAAATTTAAATATTTTGTTTTCTGAAAATTTGGCATTGTGTTTCAAGCACCTTTTTTCAACTTTCCAGACCAGTTACGCTTGTAAGTTTAAAAATGTAGGTTCATTTAAAGGTTTTCTACTAGTATATCAAAGAAAAATGATTAAAAGCCGAAAAAAGACAAAGTTATAAGCTTGAAACACAATGCCAATTGGACGGGAAATTCAAAACGTATTTTATGATCTCACTTTTCTCGAGATTGGCTGGAAAGTGCGAATTAGTACCTTACTGAAGATCTTGTATTTACATGATCTTTCTATTAAAAAAATTTTAAGTTTAGCAGCGCGGGGCAGGTCGGGCAGTTCCTTTGTAAATGAAACATCATCAGAAATTTATTTATATTACAAAATGTCGTAAATCATCATTTCTAATGAAAGATATTACTTATTATTTTTCTTGTAAAATCATTCTACTTCTATTGTAAACTTACGTATCTTCAGCGCTTTCCAAGGTTTTTGCTGGTGCTTTTACTCCCTCGAATGTTGATTCTGAAAAATATGGTTATTGGCTTAAACAGGGGTTTTTATAGCTTAAATTAATGACAACTTGCTCCTCATGCCGCAACTTAACTAAAAAAGTTTTGTTAACAAAATTGCACTTTTTTAAAAAATTAAAATTTTTAAAATTAAAAATAGAAGAGACTCACTTCGACCAGCCGATGTAAACCCAGCACCCCTAACCGCCGTCATTGGTCTAGAAACTTCGTTCCCTGTTTTTCTAGAAGCCAATGAGCTTCTTAACGCTGAAGCAGTTGGCAATCGATTACCACCGTTTAATGAGCCCGTGCCCAGCCGGCTACCTATTGCTTGACGAGACATTGTTGGCTGGAATTTTTTTATATTGTGTAAATGAAAATAGACATAGGACTATTAATATCATATAAATAAGTAAGTAACTGACTAATATTGTGTTAGTTCATAAAAAAATTTTGAAAAAATTCAAACTTACCGGCCGTCTAGAATGGCTTGATCTGGCTGCTGCTCGAACAAAGTCTTTGTCTTGAATAAGAGCCTAAAATCATTTTCAAAATTTTTATTAAAACTCCATTTCTATATAAAACCGACTTTATGTACATTTTTTTATTTTTCGTTTCTAAAAATCAAATTATTTACTTTACCTTACCTCGGTATCATAGGCATGATCGTAGTCATTGAATCCACTATACGGATCTTCACCATTTTCAGTAGTCATAATTTAAAACAAAAGTTTCAGTTACAAAACTAAAATTTTTCTTTATTTTTCTTTATTTCCTACGAATTTTTTGAAAATTGTTTACGTTTCTATAGTAACTCTTGTTGTTATGGAACTGCATTTTATAATAAATGTGTGAAACGTAAAATGCAGTTCTTTTGTTATTTTATACATTGTTAAGGTAATCGGCTAATTTTTTCATTAAAAAGATATCTTAAATGCGGCAGGAAACAAGTTTTTTCTTCTTCGATAACCTGCCGCCGAGTACTCTACGAAAAGAAGAGAACGGAACATCGCGGCTCAGTGGTCTAGTGGTATGATTCTCGCTTTGGGTGCGAGAGGCCCCGGTTTCGATCACCGGCTGAGCCCAAAATTTTTTGCGCATTTGGAAGAATATAAAAGTAAAAGTTGATTCATAAATTAGTTAAAAGTATTTTTAAAAATAGTTTTATTAGCAATTTGCGTTGTTATTGTATTAATTTTATTAGTTTTTCAGCAACAAAGTAGAAATAATTATCTTCTGACAGGAAAACAAGTGCGACTAAAACAGAAAGCCATAAAATAAATAAAAAATGTTCCAACAAGACAAAATTTTGAAGTAAATCAATTATTCTAAAGTTGATTATTAGCTTTAAGGCTTAAATTAGTATTATTTTACTTTTAACAAATTAATTTCCAGGTTAAAAATGTCTGAAGACAGCTTGGTGAATCGTGCGAAGGAAGTCCAGAAGCAACTTCAAGGTTTAAATCAAAAAGTTCAAGATGAGACGGCTAAACTAGGACAGGTAAAGGTTTTTTTTCTTTATTGTTCTTGGTTTTTTAGGGGTGATTTTGGTTACTGGAAGATGATTTCGGCCGTATTCTAATGAAGAACATTAAAATTTGACGTGGTTTTGCCCTTGTTATAGACTTTTGGCCAAAAACAAAACTTACCGCCAAATTTTCAGTCCGAAACAGCTCCAACAGCTTCAGATGCATCTTCAGCACGTGCCGAACCAGTTGGCCGACAAAAGATTGCTGAGATGTCTGATGAAGTTGTGGATTCAAACCCATACAGTCGATTGATGGCATTGAAGAGGATGGGCGTTGTGAAGAACTATGAGAACATTCGAAAGAAGTCGATTGCTGTGGTTGGAGTAGGTGGTGTTGGGTCTGTCGTGGCTGAGATGTTAACTCGTTGTGGTATTGGAAAGTTGATTTTGTTTGATTATGATAAGGTAGAGTTGGCCAACATGAACAGGTTGTTCTACAAGCCAGATCAAAGTGGGTTGAGCAAAGTCGAGGCGGCCAAGGAGACATTAATGTGAGTGGTTTTGTTATTTAAAAAAACATCAATTGCAATGACAAAAGTTGTTTTAAAAGTGCGATTTGATACCTACTTCCAATGTTTTTTGAACTTCAAAGAAATCCTAAAATGAAATTTAAATATTCAGTAAGATCAACCCAGATGTAGAATTCGAGACCCATAACATGAATATTACGACTATGGCCAACTTCAAGGTGCTAATGGAGAGGATTCAGCACGGTTCACTAACTGATGGTCCAGTTGATCTTGTGTTGAGCTGTGTGGACAACTTTGAAGCCCGAATGACCATAAACACAGCTTGTAACGAAATTGGCCAAACATGGATTGAATCTGGAGTTAGTGAGAATGCCGTCAGTGGTCATATTCAGTACATTCAGCCTGGTAAAACACCTTGCTTTGCGGTAAGTGAGCTATGATATGATTAGCAAAACGAAAAAAGTGAAATTTAAAGTTTATTATCACTATGATTGGATACAAAAAATGTTTTTTTTTGTTTAAAAGCTTGTGCTCGATTAAAAAATTATATTTTAAATATTTCAGTGTTCTCCGCCACTAATCGTAGCGTCAGGCATTGATGAAAAGACACTGAAGAAAGACGGTGTATGTGCAGCGTCACTACCAACTACCATGGCCATTATTGCCGGTCTTCTAGTACAAAACGCCCTCAAATACCTACTAGAATTTGGAGAAGTGTCAGTATTTCTTTGTTATTCAGCTATAGAAGATTTCTTCCCCAGAACCGACCTAAAACCCAATCCACATTGCACGGAGAATCATTGTCGACAACAACAGAAAAAGTACCAGGAATGGCTGGCTACACAAGCCCCAAAAGAAGTGGAACAGAAGGTCGAAGAGGTTGTACATGAAGAAGATTGGGGAATCGAAGTCGTCGAGGAGTTTGCTCCAGAAGACAAACGGACAGAAGTTGCGACGGGCATCAGGCTACAATACGAAGCTGGAGATCATCAAGAACCGGAATTTGTGGAAGAAGAAGAGCAGGAAGATCCAGAAGAAGCCAAAGCCAACTTGGCCAAGTTGATGGCACAGCTAAAGGCTTCGAAAAAGGATTAGATTTAGGGAGGTCCGATGATGGTTAATATAGCTTTCGAGAAAAATATGATTTTTCGTTGATTACTGTAGTCTTTGGTCGAAAAAGTTCATGTAAAGTAGTATTATGTAGTCATTAGAGCTCGAGCTAGTCAGTTATTACCAAAGTTTGTACCAATATTCCAATTATCATGATATATCAAGCCTGATCATATTCTAGTAGTTAATGGCTTCTAGTTATACTATGCTTGCTACCATTGGCTAGCTATTTGATTCTTAGCTAGAAATTTTCGCAAGATAATTTATTCTGTCAAATTCTATATGATGTTATCTTTAGCTAATTTATGGATTTCTAATTAACTTTTGTACAATAAATTATTTAAAATATACCATGTACAATCGTTTTTGATAATTTATAAGAATATTATGGTATATATTACAATAAATTGTATAGGTATTAAATCTGGCACAAATTTGCAAAGTGCTGATAATCTTGAAAAGCACCGGAATATAAAGGAATACAAAATATTTGGAAAAAGATTAAGGTAACGCAGAATTAAAGAATTGCGGTACAAGACATTTCAAAGAGCATTATCTCGTCCTATCACAATGAAATTACTTCAAAATCATCAACAAGGTCCAAAAATTAAAAAAAAAGGTAGCATAATTTAACATTTTTCGATGAATTATATACATACACATCACAAAAATCGTTTTAAACGTAATATTACTATAAAAACATGTTTTCCTTATAAACATGAAACGTCCTTACAATAATATGACTAAAAAACAGCTAAAACGGCAACTTATTTGTTCGGATTCGTAGAAGATGTCGTTGTCAATGGAATCTCAAGCTGTTCGTTCCTGAAGCAAAAGTACTCGCCCACAACTGTACATATCGTCACACTGATTAACTGCAACAACCACCACGTTAGTTGGGTCGGTATCGTGGCGTTGTATATCACAACCATCACAAAATGCCAAAAGTGCACGGTGCACGCGAAATCCAGGCAGTTCTTGGCTCGCTGAACAACCAAAGAGAAGGCATAGCCCAGCAATGCGGCTGAGATTATCTGTACTATACTTATTGGCCGTGCTGTCTGAAAGAAAATATCATTAACACTTAAAGATTGATAATTTCGGCGTCTTTCCAATATTATCCAAGATCCAAAGGTTGGACCGCCTAAAACCAAATAAAAAAAAGAAAAAACTTACGATTGGGCTAAAAATATGATCAATTGTTGGCTTATAAGGTGTGAAAAATGACCAGCCCAACATTAACAAGCATTGCGAAGCATAAAACATGGATTGATTGCATCCAATCTGACCAATGATCAATAACGGATCCCAAACGGCTGGACGGAATCCATTCATCTTAACCTAAAGCAGTACTTTAATATTAATGTAAATGTAAATACAACACAGTAATAAAGCAAATACGGTCAGTAAAACAATTTATCCACGAGATTTTGTCAAAAGATAATTTTTCTACGTTGGCGTACGACTTGACTCATTCTTTAAAAGCGTCAAGTTTATTTTTTGAAAAATATTATCGACGAATCCGGCCGATTTGATACTGTTTTGTATGAATATCTAGTCAAAACATTATTTATTTTGAAAAGTTTTTACGTATTTACATGAACAATGGGTTTTTTTATGGAAGCAATATCGGAAGCCAGTGAAGCCAAAGTCAGAAAATGGATAGATCAACGTTACAAGCTCACTTTCTTGATGGTTTTCGTTCCAGTTGCTTATTTAGCATTCATGGCAAGTCCGGAATATGCTGTGCCGACGAGAATGAGTGAATCTGCAACGTTAGTGGCTATTGCAAACGACGATTTTAATGGATTCAATAAATTGACTCAATTTTCCAAAGATATTCAAGCGTTCCAAGGCTCTAGGTAAGGGTTTTGGTTACATTTGTTTGAGTTTAGGTAACAGTTTTGAAGTGTTAGCTTTTTTTGAAAGCTTAAGTTGTTAGTATGTTAAAGAAAAAAGTTTGGACACGTTTCCTGATGTGTGTTTGAAATAAGAGTGATTTAATCTTATGGCACACAGCAAGTATAATATTGTAAAAAAGCTTTGTTACCTTTAGCTAAAGTAGTTTTTCAAAATTTATTTTAAAGAATAAGATGACTTTTTGCTAGCAACATAGTTTTTTCATGTTTATAGTTATTGTTTGATGTTAAAGCTTTGCAACTATTCATCTAGTGTAACATAAGTAATTAAGCTAAAATTTATTATTCTTTTTATTTTAGTTCATGATTATAATTGTTATTTAGAAATTTGACAAGTAAATACATTCAAAAAACCTTCAAAGAGAATGAAATCGAAGTGTACGAGCAAAATTTCTACAACAAGATAACAGTAAGTCTACTATCACACAAATGTATCTCTTTTTAGAAAAAGACGGGTATAAACACATTTTCTGTGATAAGAGCGTACAGATCAGTACCAGAAGAAGCTATTTTAGTCGTTGTTCAAAATTCAAAGAAACAAACGCATGCCGTATCAGTTGCTTTGGCTTATGCCCTTTATGCCAGAAGTAAGTGGTACATAAATTAATTTTTTGTAATTGTTTGACAAACTAACTGGTATTTTTTGTTGTTTTATGAGTTGATATTGAATGTTGAAAGTTTTTAAGTTTATTTTGCTTTTTTCAGCCAAACATTATTGGGCACGAGACCTAATCTTCTTGTTTGTGGATGGTCGTGAACCTTTAACTGGAGTAAAATCATTCTTAGCCGCTTATAATGGAGAATCTCTATCCATGGTTGATTTTGCTTCTCTAGAAACTAATTCAGGATTTCTTATTGGAGGTATTTGCTTAGATATCAGTACCAAACTGTTCACTCACATGTTGGTACAGTACGTTGGAGTTAATGGAATACTGCCAAATTTGGATACAATCAACTCGGTTAATCGCATGGGTGGCAAATATGGCATTAGAACGATTTTTAGACCACAAGAAATTGGAGGAAAGGATAAACATATTAGGAACGTGGAGAATTTGTTTAGAGGAGTGTTTGCTCAGGTAAACACGGTATTGCTATAAGTAATCATTTTTTAAAATTTTTTAAGTTCAAAGCATCTTAAAGTAAAAAATGTTGAATTAAGCAATATTAAGGTAATTTAGTTTTAAAAATTTTGTGATTTCTTCATTTTCAGGCCTTTAACGAACTAGAAGGCCTCCACTCAATCCTGAATCAATATGGAATTCATTCAGTCACTTTGAAGCCATACAACTCTGGAAATCGTTACCGACAAATTGATATAAAGCACACTATGCCACAAATCACAGAAGGCATCGTACGAAGTTTAAATAATATTTTGGAACGATTCCATCAAAGTTACTTCTTCTACTTACTATTGTCAAGTCAGCATTTCTTGTCAATCGCCTTCTTTTCACCAGCCATTGGCATGTTTTTGTTCGTTTTGGTACTGCATCAGTTTAGTGGATGGTAAGGCTGTTATTTTACTTTGAAAATTTGTTTTTAGACTTATTTTTTGTTACATTATTGATATTAGTAGCTGATATTAACAGCATTCTTTCAGGCTAGACACCAAAAAGTTTGTCATCCCAGGAGAGTGGATTTGTATATACATGTTCAGTGGCCTATCTTACTTTGCACATTGCCTGTTGGTATCAGACAGTGAAGTCGTGAACAATTTTATCAAGTTTTGTCATTCATATGGAGTAGATGAAGACTTTCATTATGCGACAATCTTTATAGCAACCAATTTGATGTTACCTGTGATTGTCACTAGAAAAATGTATGTATTGCGAAAAATATTAGGGTAATTTTTATATTTTAAGTAGGCTATTATGTCTTTGATGTTGATAATGGGAATTTTTGGTCGAAAAACTGGACTATTTGATCTTTTTCAGATATTTAAACGCATGAAAATCTAATATTTAATAAAAAACTTGATGATAAGCTTAAAATTGAGTCTGACTTGCCAAAATTTATCTAAAACATAAAAAATTTTGCTAAAAAGCGCAAAAAAGTAATAACGTTTCACGTTCGAAAAGCTTTTCCAGAAAGAAAAAACATTTTGAGAAAAATAAGAGAGGAAGATGGTGTGCCCGGTTAGCTCAGTCGGTAGAGCACCAGACTCTTAATCTGGCTGTCGCGGGTTCGAGCCCCGCATCGGGCTAAGGCTCTTTTTGCTTTATTTTTGTAAAAACAAATGTGGGAAAAGGTAAAATAGGGGTGGATAATATTGTAGAAATGATTTTTGTAGTGTAAATGGGTAATGTCTTTGTTTATTTTTTGATTTATTTATGTTTTACATGTACGTTTTTCAAAAAAAAGTTGGATTTTCGGCGAAAAACATTGAAATAGTGCCGTTTTTAAAGTCTTTGTGCTATTGTTTTGGGGTATATTGTATCATATTTACAGAAAAACACATTCCGAACATGCTACAACTCGATTTCTGCATTTGACGATAGCATTGAATGTGATCTTATGTACAGGACTGCTCAACTTCTCACTTACATTGTACTGGTGCATTTATATTTGTATTGCTCTACTCGGCAGTAAATTATTGTAAGTTTTTGTTGCTGTGTATGGTCAAAGGGTTAAACTAACTAAAGGATTTTAGGTTTCAAATTATTAACTTAAAAATTGATGTTTTTGAAATTTATTTTGTATTTTAGAAAGTGGAATAACATTATTACCAGGACGATTTTTTCAATTGTCTTTTCACCGATCGTATTTTATGCAGCCACAATTATGGTGGCCAAGGAGTATGACTATTGGCCAAATGAAGTGGCTGTGAAACAACTGGATCAAGGTAGGTTATAGCCTATTTTAAAGCTAAAAACGTAAACTTTTAATTTTATACAGTGGAAATGCTGTATTTTTCTCAAAATCTACTATGATAAGCTATATTTTGTAATTTTTAAAGTTTTTTTGCATTTTTTCAAAATTTTTAAATTAAAAAAAATTATCTTAAGGTCTGGACCTGAAAAATGTATTGATAGCCGTGTACAAAGAGGGCGAACGCCATCTTATAAACCATGTCCAATTCAACTCTATGAACTTTTTGGTGTTTGCTCTGTTCATTCAGCCAACCCACCTCGTTCTAACCTCGCTGCTGGGCAAAGAACCCGCTGTAGCTGATGAGCAACATAAAAAAACGGAATAACTGCCATTTTAAAATAGTATTGTTAATAAAAGCTTTAAGTTATTAAGTTTTCGGGACTAGACTTTGATTTTTTTGTTGGTAAGGGTTTTTTTGGGGGGTTCGCTTAGGGGTGAGAAACGGGCCGTGCCCAACTTTTAAGCCCTAAAAATTAGCTCAAGGCGGGCTGGCCGCTCCTTTACCTAGCCGGTTTTTCACTCTTATATTTGCTGGGCGGGTTAAGCTTTTTCTTAAGGGGATTGGGGTGGGTCAATTTTTTTTTGACTATTCCTTGAAAAAAATTTTTTGGTAGTTAAAGCAAAAAAAGATCATGCTTAACTAAAAATTTTTTCAAGCATTTTCCTTTTTCCTCATTTTCTTCCGGAAACCCGTAACAAAATGCCAAGAAAACGTTTTTCGCTTTAAGACCCAAAAAATAAATATATTTTTATAAAAAGATAAGACGCAAAGAGAAACTTGGCCAAAAACAACATCTTGATCTAAAAAAATGTTTTTCTAATGTTTTGCTTAATTTCAACAACACTTAGAGGAAGGTATTGTTGAAATTTAAGGGCATAATTTATTCTTGTGATCAAGAAATGCGAATATTTGCTCAAAATGTTACGAAATGTGCTTGAATGTTATTGTCTGAAGAGAGGTTGGAGTCTTGATTTTGAGGGTTTGAAGCATTGATTTTAATATTTTAATTTTCTTGAGTTTTAAAGTTTTTAAATCTGTGTTTCTGGCTTATTTTAAACTTGAAATCTAATTTTAAAATCAAAATCTTAAGATTTTAACATTTTTTAAATATTAAATGATTTTTTACCAATTTTCAATATGATTATTGGCTGTTTTGCCATTTTTTGTGTCTTCTCTGGTGGAACTCCTCTATAGGCCGCTATAACGAACTTCTGTACAACGAAATTACTTTGTGGCTACTATAATATGGTATAGTACTATTTACAATGATAATACTGAAAAAAGACACTATATGCACTATTGTTATAACTTTTTTTTATCCTTGTCACATAAATAGGCTTTTTAAATAGCTGCTAAAGTTGACTCAAAGCACGTTGATTACATTAACATTGCCTTCCCGTGCTTCTAAATTAACCTTTTATACTGTTTTCATTATTCATGCAAGTTACGTGTTTAGACAAAAAACAGTGTTACGTAGCAGAATATCCGCTTTTTATAACTCAATAGATTTGTTTAACGGACATTAAGGGGCGATGAATTTTCTGCTGAGAAACAGTAAATTTTGGGTTCAAACGCCCTTCTCCAATAACATTTTGTTTTTCTCTAGTATGAACATTAGACAGGATTGCCAGCTATAAGAAAACGATAAGAAGAAGGAAATGTTTTTGCGTCCTTTGATTACCCTTCTGGTTTGTCGGATATTAGAACTTCCTTCGTGGTTGATTACGGAAAAACAAGGCTTTACGGCGGTTTTGGGGGTTGGGTTTATGATAATGAGGTTTTGGGAGTAATTTATTGATACAGTGTAGCTTCTGTATAACAAATTCCTTTGCGATTTTCAAGTTGTCTATTATGAACTATTAGGTTGTTCAAATAATTCTGCGCTCCCTTACCCCACAAATTTTCTTTGAGAGGGGGCGCTGAATTAAGTGAACAATCTAATAGTTTCGTTATACAGTTTTAAATGCACTGTGTTGTGTTAGCTGGGGATTTTAAAGTTTCTTATTATGCAGAAAATTCTTTATAGAGGAGTTTGTTATACAGGGTGCGTGAAAAGTAGTGTTACCAGGTTTTTTAATCAAATATTTACTTTAACAACAAATATAACTAAAACAACAACTAACAATAGTAACATGTAGTGTACAGTTTTTTTCTTGCTTATCATTTTTAAGTATGTCGTTGTTGTTTTTACTGTGGACTTTTTTCAACGAGTAATCCGAAACTTTGTTGTCTACGCTAATGTTTTATAATTAACAGGCAGTCTCCAATTTTATTTTTTTGTGACGATTATTTACTAAATGTTGTTTTTACTTTTAGGATTCAGAGTTTTTTTTCAAAACTAACTGACCGTAAATTGTATTTTGAAAACTGACCGTAAACTAAATTGTTTATCTTTCCCCTTGCATCCTCCCCCACCTGCCGGGCGGTGGATGGGAAGGAAAGGGGGATATTTTTTTAGAAAAAAGGTAGAAAGTGGTCTTCTTTGCTGATTTTGTGATAAAAATTGAAAAGTTCATTATTTTGGGACAAAAACTGTGCCCTGTACCAGGCATGGCAATGCCCTGCCCTGTGTCCGAGCCTGCTTATAGACAAAAAAATTACTTTTGCTAGCCTAAAATGGCTCGTCCGGCTTTGTTTTATATGATTTTGCTTAATGATTTTTTTTGCTAATTACTTTTTACGTCGCGAGCGAAGGCTCGACGATTATCTTTTACAAACTGGATTCATGCGTATTCAATCAAAGGGTATTAGGAAGCGCGCGTCTGTGGTGTAATGGTCAGCATGGTTGCCTTCCAAGCAATCGACACGGGTTCGATTCCCGTCAGACGCAGAACAACTTTTTTGGCTTTTTACATTATCAATATTAAGTCATAAAACAAATTGTAATTTAAAAGTTTTTATAATTACTAAAATTAAAAGAAGTTTTGGTTTATGGTATTGTATTAGACTGTTTAACTTGGGAACACAGTTTGGCTTGTAGTATTTCTTTTCTGTTACAATATTTACCGTATCCTAGGTTAAAACTTGTTCAAAATTCACACTTCCAATGTCATTTGCGTTCACGCCTCAAAGCCTTCACATCTTGAGGCTTAAAAGAGGATGTTCAAATTATATTAAAACTCACATGAGTTTTATGATCTTTACATTGTTTACGCTAATTTGTTCGTGCACGCCTCGTTCTCGCGAATCTTTCTGGGTTATTTGTTTTTGTTGTGGTACAATTTTCATTTTCTTGCGGTAAGTGCATCTTTTAATTGGGGATTTATTATTGGTTGTTGCATGACAAAGCTCCACGCAATAAGTGCACGGTCTAGCCATGTTTTATGGAGGATTCTGGGTATGACTTGTAATTGTTCTTGTTTCTAATCATTAGTTGTTAACTACACACATTAGTTTTATCTATTAGCTTTGTAGGTAATGAGTTTGCTGGCCAAATTTAGATTGCTTTTGGGTAGATTTAACTTTCTTGGCCGAAGGATCGTCTTCAAAGAATCCCGCTTTGTACCTCTATCACTAATAACTTTTTGACCAAACTTGTCACACTTGTTTTGCCCCAATTATGTAAACTGAAAAAATGTCGTCATTTCTACAACAGCAATTTTAAAGATGTGTCTGTATTATTCCAACCGTGAATAATATCCTCTTGGTGTTTAGCCAATCATCAAAAATTTTTCATTAAAAACGTCGTGCCTTTAGGGTAATCTTTCGTCTTTAGATGTGGGTATCTGTGTGAATTTTTTGAAAAAAAAATGTAAAAGGGTGAAAGCGGTTTTCGATGCTGATTTTTGAAAATTAAAAAATTTTCTTTTGAAAGTATTCTGTGCCGATTTAAAAAATTTTAATTTTTTTACCATTAAAAAAGTGCTTTACCTGACCTCCTCTCATTGACTTCAAACTTTTTATATGGAAGGATCATGTAAATATAAGATTTTTAGCAAAGTACTGAGTTGCGTTTTCTAGGAAATTTCGAGAAAATCGAGATCAAAAAATGACTTTTTGAATTTCCTTTCAAATTGGCATTGTGTTTCAAGCTTATAACTTGTCATTTTTAGACGTTAGATGATTTTTCTTTAATATACTAGTAGAAAATTTTTAAATGAACATTTATTTTTTGGTTTGCAGGCATAGCTTGTCTGGAAAGTAGAAAAACATGCTTGAAACACAATGCCAAATTTGCCGAATGGGCGGGAAACCGAAAATACAAAACTCAAATGCGCGAGCTAAAATTTTTTATGAGTACTTTTGGTTGTACAAGGAATTCATATAAAAAGTTTGAGCTGATTCCGAGCGGGGCAGGTCAGATGTTTTCTTTTAAATTTATTTTTTCTTTACTATCCTTATGTTGCTTTTCTGAAACCATCCTATAAAGCATAGAAGCTTAAGCTTTCCTCTAACTGTGGATGCTGTTATACTATGTAAACCTATTCATAATACAACTAATGTATGAAACAATATCCATGGGAGCACTCGAATGTACATTATTATAATTTACTTCGCTAATGAACGTATTTGTGAGAAAGTTGAGGACATTTTTTTACTTTCTTGAATACTCTAAACTATCTTTTTATGTTTGCTGTGGTACTCGGAAAAAATAAGGAAATTAATTTTTTCACTGGAATTTGTATGGTCAGATCGCAAATATAATATTAGGGGAAGACATGATTTTTTTCTGTTTTAAGGATTTTTAATTTTTGGTTTTTACAAGTTGGCTTGGCCGAAGGGCAGAGTGTCCTACCTTACTCTGCTTTACACTACACTACTCTACTCTAAATGACCCTACGTTAGCTCATCCTATGCCACTCTACCCTATCTTGCTTCACCTTATTCTACCCAAACTTCACGCAAACGCAGAATTAAATCAATGTTTATTAGTTCGTTCACTTAATTCTGCGCCCCCAATATTTTGGTATAAGTCCTATATATTTTAAAAGCTCTGGTCTTACTAAATACGGATCTGAAAGTGTTTTTCCGTAGGGTTTTTCATTTTTGAGAAAATCGACCTCGAATCGCTCAAGATTTCTCTTGGCCAATAAATTTGAGGCCGATTTTCTTGAAGATGAAGAAATATACGGAAAAAATTTTTCACGTCCGTACTCAGTAAGCGCAGTGCTTTTAAAATATATAGGTCTAATCTCAAAATTGGTCGTCGATTTTAGTGGTTTCTCATGTTAGCTTACCTTGTCTTATCCTACTCTAGCCGGTAATGATTTACATTGCCTTATTTTTCAATATGTTGCATAACTTTACTCTAACCTAACTTACAGTGTCTTGGACCGCCTTATCTTACTCTATTTCACTTTGGCATGCTCTAAGAAGCATATACTTTTTTAAATTTCTTATTCTACCCTACCTTATTCTAACCTAACCTACCGCACCCTACCTTAGATTACCTTACTATACAACGCTTTACTGTGCCCTAGGGAATAGAAAAATTATTAATGCTCTGCGTCAAAGCCTCATTGTATATAAGTATTTATGGGTTAATTTACAGATGAAATTATGTTACCTTGCTTGACAGATGAACCTAGCTTTAACTTGGCAGATGTCTTATTTATGTTGGTGTTTTAAATTTGAAAATCTCGTTTTGAAACACCAATCTTTGAAGGAACAAAAATGATTTTGGATCTGTTGACTGGCACAGCCACCTCCTTTCGGTACAAGACTAGACTTATTATGGTGCCGGAAGTTGACCCATTCCGAGTCGGTTATTATTTCTATTTCTTGTTTTTTTAAGGATTCAAAATATTTAGCTTTTTGCTGACAATTATTGCCTTCTGATTATAATTTACAGGGGGTTTTCTAAGTTATGCACTAACTATGTCATTTCAGTCTAGTTCACAATTCATTAACATAAAAACTTGGACTTAGTACTTACTAACCATAATGTATTATGGTTTTTCGGGGGTTTTGGTCTCTTATTAATTATGTTATGAGGTTTATTAGCAAACCAGCTCAAAGATTAGTGTGATGCGTTAAACAGCATATTGTTTTAGCTAATTACTTTGAAAATTTTTGGTGGGGGTAGTTCTGAAAAGTGGCAAAAGTTAAAATAAAACTGGCTACCTCAATGTGAAAAATATTAGGTTGTTCAAGTAATTTTGTGCTCCTTTTCAAAGCCACTTTTTCGGGGTTAGGCACAGAATTATTTGAACGACTTAATAAAATGAAAGTGGCTATATATTTCATTTGAAAGCCTAAAATTTTGAAAAAACGAGATGAGATGCCCTTTTAAAGTGTAGTTTTAACTGTCCAGCTTTTAGCACAGAGGGCGTACTACAAGTTGGAGAAGCAAATTTACCACGCTGTACCCTATATTAGTAGAATTTTGGTACTATTATCGAATTTTTACATTCTTTGATAATTAATAGTATTAAAAATGATGATTTTGATATTAGTATTATTAATAGTCATGCTCAAATTTAGATGATTAGGATTAAATTTATGATGCAAGGTGTGTTTTTACATAAACTGTAAAAGCTTTTTAAGAGGATTTGTGGTACTTCCGCTTGTGCACTTTTTAAAAATATGTTTTGAAGTTTTGCGGTAGTAAAATAGCTTTATTTCTTCTTCCTACACAATATATATATATAACTTGAGAGGTGAGAGGGGATGGTGAGGGTTTGGTAAAGATCATGAAAAGAATCCGTTGTAGCTGTTCTCAATCGGCCCCATGCAGGTGATCCTGTTTCTAGAGCTACCGAGTTGTGATAAGGGGTTTCTCAAGAATTCAGGTTGTAGTCGGGAACCTGCGTGGGCCATTGCACTAGTAGTCTCGTCAACATTGAAAGTAAACTTAGATTTTACTTTAATTTGAAAATGAAATGTTACTGGCTACTCGGATTTAATAGTAGATTGAAGTGCTCCCTTTTTAATTTTTATTCATTTGTCAGTTATATATATACTAATCCTAGTGTTTATAGTACTTTTACAGTAATTAATACGGCAAACGAACTTTGAAAGTGTACAGTTTTGAATGACGATAATATCATCCACATGATATATAATCTTAAAAGTCGTATAAACGACGAAAGGTTGTAATACCTTGTTCCTGTACTTCATTTATGACGACTTACGTTACAATAAAGATTAGGACTACATTTTAAAAAGCGGTTTTTATCTTTGGTAACGAGAAAAAAATTGTAAAGTTGTACGAAACACCGCTTTTTTTGGTTTTATGGTGTTAAAGATGTACTACAATGTAATATTTTAGGGTGACAGATTTAGTACAATATAATATGTTAGGATAAGGGATGTAGTACAATGTGATACGTTAGGATAAGAGATGTAGTAGCTGTAAAATGTTAGGGAAAAAACATGTACTACAATGTCTTAGTATTTATATAATTGTACTTGTATATGAGGTTTTGTATCATAGGTTAAGAAATATTACAGTTGAGAATATATATAGGCATAGACAATTTGTAGAGGTGTATCTCTGAATTTGTAGGTATTATTTTGAAGTTAGCTTTACTTTTGCAACTTTATAACCTTATACAGTGGAACCTTCGTATAAGGAACCTCTATATAACGAAACCCCTGTATAGGAACAACTTTTGAATCCCCGGCTATCATTACACAGCGCATTTTAAACCTCTCTGTATTGAAACTCTTTATAACAAACGAATTTCAATTTCCCTAGCGATTCGTTATACAGGTTTCACTGTATATTTATATATTAGGATGTTAAAATAATTCTGTGCTTACTCTCAAAGGAAATTTTTGGCATTAGGGTGCGCAGAATTATTTGAAAAATCGAATTTAAGCATACAGCAACTACGTTAAGGGTGGGATGGGGTGGAATCTCTCTTTTTCTCAGAAAAAATCTATAGCTACGTCTCTGTAATCACATACGAGTTTATAATAAAGATAAAAAAGGCCAAAAGATTGCATTTACAATAAAAAATATACTCTGTAGGTACAGTAGTTTAAACTATATTTAAACAAACCTTTTGTTTTTAAATTGTAGTTTGAGTTTGTGGGAATATTATTTTTTTAAGTAATGTGTGAACATACATATATATATAATGCATTCAATACATAATTCAATGTTTTATATATATGATGTCGTTTGAAACGATTAAAATTTACTTTGCTATAGAATCCAGGGAATTTTACTTTTTTGCAACTTGCAGTGTTTTTTTATTGGCAAAAAATGATACTTTATAGTACGGTTTGTGACTGGCGCGTGATTTTGGGAGAGGCGGAAGAAGTAAATTTTTTTTAAAAATTTTATTTTTATTGCTAATTGATATAATGATATGTATTTTGATATTTTTTACGGTGATGTTTAGTAAATATCATAATAAGACACATTATTGTGATTTTCATCTTGTCATAATACATTGTAGCTGTTGTATAACGTATTACTCGGGGATTTTAAATTTCTTTGTTATCAAGTAGTTTCGGTAAACATTAGGTTTGTAAACGAGCCGGACCTAATTTTTGGCTTGGCTCAGCATTTTTCAAGTTTTCTTTGGTCCGGCCTTTTGTACATATAAGTTCACGAAAATAACAACAAGAACAACTTGTATTGTACTGATGTGTTAGCTGGGAAGAAAAGTTGCTCGTGTTACAAGGTTTTCGTGATAGAGGGGTTTTTTATACAGGAGTCTCATTGCATAATACCTAATTAATCGTTTTTTAAAATTCAATTTTCAGGCTAACAAAAGCCGAGATGCCAGTATCAAGGTCACCGATCATAACATCAGATTCGATTGACGAAAAACCAGATGAAGCTTTGGTTATCGCTGGACCAAAATACCGAAATGTTCGAAATCCAACAGGATGCATCATCAGTTTTATCTACTCAAAAGCGTCATTGGTATACCTATGTTTGGTCGCTATCATTACTACACTTAGCACTTACTTTTTTACTATACAAGTAGGTTTTCGTTTTAAATTAATACTTACATTTTGAAGTTTGGTTTATATTTTAAAGTTTTCTACTTATTTTTGGGTACTATAATATAGTATAGTACTATTTACTATATTAGTACTGAAAAAAAGATATTAAAAATTGTACTACTAATGAAATACTCTTAATAACTGGTACTTAAAATACTAAAAAATCACATTTTATTACATTTCAATTTAGATTAACGACTCCAGCGTCCTCTGCATGTTCAATGATTATTTACCGGTCGACCAGGAGTTGAAAGAACTATCACGACCTGTTAACTACGTAAGGAACTAAAACAATTAGATTTAGCAGGTTTTATAAGAAATTATCTTATTGTAACGTTCTTGCAAAGGCTATATTGCTAATTATTATACACTTACGCATATCTTCAGGTAATATAATGTATGTGAAGTGAAGAAGTGTGTATTATATAACGTTTTCTAATAGGTATCATTTTAGTATTGTCGCTTTTTGGAGTTTAGCGTACCAACCAATGTGATACAGTTGGTCTTTTGCATGGGAGCGCTTTTCTTTGCTCTGAATCGGCGGAGTAAATGGTTTTTTACTGTAAGTTTCAATTTTATAACGTACTCATCACGGTAGAGCCATTCTAAATTTAAAAAAATTTAAAAGTAACTTTAAAAATGCAGAAGTAGTTATCAATCTCCAAATTTTAGTGCTATCTAGTCCTCTTCATCTCCCTAATAATCGGCTGTGCCTTAATGATGACCTTATACACGATGGACCTTCAAAATTTCTTAAAACCATCAGTAGCCAACGTTCTAACCCGAGTGGTCGAAAAAGACGAAAAATTCTGTCAAGTTCTCGAACCAATGCTGGAATGTCGATATAACAGTAAAAATGACACTCGAATCATTGAGAAACTCTGTGAAAAACCACGGAGACAGTACCAAAACAAGCCTGATTGTGTGGACCATTTGACCACGTTTTTGGACCAAAAGTACTGGTTGATAGCTGTGATAGTACAGTACACGTTGTTGATTGTCATTGGTATTGTCATATTGCTACGATCGGTCTTTATTCAATGCCGGAGGGAAAGGAAAAGGGCTTCCAAGTTGTCATCAGCTCATTATATTCATGTCAATGGGTTTCAAGAAGCTCCTTGATGTTATCATTGGTAGGGAGTGATATTAGGTTGTTCATTGAATTCTGCGATCTATAACTTTGAAAATTTGTTTTGAGAGGGAGCGCAGGATTAAGTGAAAAACCTGGTAATTCTGGAAGTTATAGTTGGTTTTAATCTCATGGAACGCTAGTTCTCATTTAGTACTAATTATTATTGAGTACTAGTTTTCATGGATCACTGGTTCTCATGGAGCACTATTTACCTTACTTATTGTTGGTTTTAATATTTGATAGCAAAGACATATGATTAGAATGCTTATTGTAATGTGATTAACGTAAATGTAAGGCACAAGAAAGTCTTGTCGTTTTTTAACGTTTAACTAAGTGTATTTTGACGACAAGACTTTTTGGCGCCTCAATATAATCATATTTTCTTTAGCATTAGGCTATTTATATAATTCTGTACTGATATCTTCTTTTGTATTAGGTTGTTCAAATAATTCTGCGACCCTAACCCTAAAAATTTGCTTTGAAAGAAGGCGCAGAATTATTTGAACAACCTAATATTTTCACATTATTAGCTATTTTTAAACAATATTTAACGTGTATCATACTTATCAGTGTTTAGTCTTTATTTTTACTCATATTTTTCACTACTTTGTCTACAATATACTAGTAAAAATGACATTTTCAATCAAAAATGTTATATTACACTACTTTTTTAGCCAATTCAATCAAATTATATAGTAATAACTTAACCTTTACATTGTACATTTACGTCATATAACGAAATATTTGTATCTTATCATTTCCCTTGCTTTAACTACAATTCTTATCCCATTTATACGACAATTTGCCTCGAAATATAACGTGTACATCTAATTATAAGTTTATATCACCTGAAAACGTATTTTTACAGTATTATTTGTGTTTATAGTATTTTTAAGTTTAATTTGTATTAATATTGTACTTACTTTTATTTTTTTCTACTTTATAGTTTTACAATCTCATGTTACTTCAAATTTTAAAGATTTTGGTTAATAAAGTTATTGAATACTTAAAAACTTGGATATTTGATGAAATCGATGAAAATTAAAAAAAAAATTAAAATAGCAAAAAAATATTATTTTAGTTAAAACATTTCACTTCATGCCAGTTTTTAATAATAATACAGCTTTCTACAATAAATCCGATAACTTTGTGACACTTCGCCCATCTTTGTGACACTTCGTTTTAAATACGATTTGCTCGAAATTTTTTCTCAAATTTTGTATTCAAATTTGATATCTACCAAGAAAATGGATCTGAAGCGTGGATGTTTTATTATTTTTATTTTTGTTTTATTAAATTTGCATAATTTTTATGTATATTAATTTAGCTGACGTCAAAATGTCGGTAAAAGAAGATTCGGTTGTGGACGTTCCATTACCACCTACACCCGAAATGAACCACTGGGCAAAAGCCGAGCCGGCACCAGCTGTTTATCAAGCCGAACCGGTGGTAACATCGTATCAGGGCCAGCCAAGTGCATACCCAGTTCAGACTAATGTTTCTGTTGCTTATACTCAAGGTACTCAACCCAGTGGATTTGACACTCAAGCCGGACAAAATATGTACCAAGCACAAGCCGGTATGCCAACTGGTTATCAGACTTCGGCAGATGGATCGACATATCAAGGACAGTACGCTTATCAAGCCGCCGTACAAGCCGCAGCAATGCCGGGTATGGACATGAATAAAAGGGTAAGTTTTTATGAATTGTTGTATCTTTCTTTAGGTAAATCTTTCTGATGTCAAAGAGATGTTACTTTTCGATGTTTCAATGTTAAGGTGGCTTAAGTTGAACTGGATTTTATGTTGCTTTTGTTAAAAAGTTTATCTTATACTCGGTTGTGGACAGTAAGATGCATTTTATTGCTTGGTCTTGCTGCTTTTTATGGTTTTTTGTTAACGAATGATTTTAAAACTTACAAAGGGGAATATTTTTTGCTACCTTAAGTAAAAAATGAACTGATTAGGGTTTATTTTCAATTCAATTTATGTTAAACTGTTTGATATACTTTGGTGGGAAGTTAAGCTTAATTTTAAACATATTTTGGTGTTCTTTATGCGAGTGATAGTTTTTTTTCTATGGTAGTAATATATAGGATAATGTTTTCTTAATTGTCTGAAATTAAGGGTTAGGATTTTAAAGTGTGCTTCATGTTAGTTTGATTGAAAACATTATGTTATACCTCCTTGAAAGGTTTAATATAATTTTTTTAAAAATTTATTGTGGTTTTCCTTTTATTTTTTAAAAATAGTTGGGGATGATAATGTAGTTCATTTTCATTTCTTCTTGGTTTATTTAGTTTTGATTTTTCATAGTTAATAAACTTGTGTTACAGTTCCAGGGCTATCCAACAGAGTGTCCTTACAAATTACCGCCATTTGGACATTTTGTTGCTGATCCATCAGAGACAATAGCCAAGTTGGAAAATGAAATATATTATATTCAACAGAATTACCTCCCAATGCCTGAAGCTAATCGGCTATTACAAGAAGGTAGTTTTTTAATTTTTTAGAAAGGAAAGGTTTTTGCACTTTGCAACTTTTAATTTATAAGTTTTTCTGACCTCTAACCAAATTAGCCCAATCACTTTTTAGCTCATATGTTTAATTTTAGAGCACAAAAGGCTGTCAGGAACTTGGAATCCGTTCTGGTTGGACTTTAGCAATCGCCGGATTCCATATATTCGCCTTGAACAAAAAATATTTTTGCCAGAGCCTAGGAAAGGTGTAAGTTTTTGGACGGGGTTTTTATTGTTTGTAAAGCACTGTATTATGTTTTCAAGCTATTTCTAACATTTTATTTTTAAAAATCTACCTTACAAATAGCTTTCTGATAATTTTGACGTAAAAATGACTAGTTTTCAAGACAAAACTGCCGTTTTTTATAACATAAAATGACCGAAACATAATCCAATATTATCCACCTTGGAAAGCCTGTAATTTCTAATCATAATATTATACTTCCAAATATTTTTTGTTGGCAAGGGGAAAATGGGTTTTTTGCACTGAAAATGTCTTTTTGCACGCAAAACCGAGGGAAAACCAAAAAGCGCCGAAGTCCCTTTCGAAAAGAAAAAGAGAGAGTCGTGCGCGTCTGTGGTGTAATGGTCAGCATGGTTGCCTTCCAAGCAATCGACACGGGTTCGATTCCCGTCAGACGCAGAACAACTTTTTGGCTTTTTTAGATTAAAAATGTAGGGTTTTTTGTATTTATGTTGTATCTATGATTAGAAATCATTATGAACAGGACATTTTTTTGTTTTTTTGTTGGGTTGTTGTTGATTTTGGAGCTGTTTTTGATAGAAAATTTAGAGATTTTAAAAAACTTTTCAGCATAACGTAGTGGGACGACTGCTCGGAGTTAAGGGTCAAACCCTGAGGCTAATTACATCAAAATACTCGTGCAAGATTCAAGTATACGGTAGAGGGTCGAAAGGTGGACCACAGAATGAGAAAAAGTTTCAACGACATGCCGGTGATAGTCACTTTGATCAGCCATTACATTGCTCAATTAGCATGGACGGGCCGGCAGGCACAGTGTATCAACGAATGGCCGATGTGATCACGTTGGTGCACAAAATTTGCACTATGGTGGGTTTTTTGAGGTAGAGATAGGTTGTTTGAGAGTTTTTTGGCTTGTTGTTGAATTTTTTTTTGATTTTTATAGAAATGTTCACGGGGAGAGGGGAGGGGGGCCGCATGTTGATTTTTTAAATTTGAAGGTAGTTGGCTTCTAAAAATGTCATTTTCAGACAGAATCCTTTAGCTTCGAAGGAATCACAATAGAATTAGGTCACCCGAACCCACCTCGTTCCGATTACAACGAGCAGGGACAAGGCAATCAGTATGGCCAAGGCAATCATTACGGCCAAGGCAATCATTACGGTCAAGGCAATCAATATGGCCAGGGGAATCAGTATAATCAAGGAAATCAGTATGGACAAGGAGCTCAATACGGTCAAGGAAATCAGGATAACCAAGAAAATGGGTCTGGACAAGGACAATCGGATGAAAACGTTACGTCTGAAGGTTCGGGGGAAAGAAAACGAACACACGAGCATACGACAGAAGCTGAAGATGGACAGCCTGGACGTAGGGTAAGGTCTTTAGGTCTAAATTAGCAAAATACGAAAGTTTGTGAAATAACTTTCCTTACAAAACATAAAATGGCAAGAACTTTTTTTACAAAACAAGAAATGGCAAGAACTTTCTTTACAAAACAAGGAATGGCAAGAACGTTCTTTGCAAAATAAAAAATGGCAAGAACTTTCTTTACAAAACTAGGAATTGCAAGAACTTTCTTTACAATAAATAAATTGTTTAAATAACTTATATTTCGATTTTTCAGCGATCCCGCTTCGAACCGGTCCCTCCACCACCCCCTAACGGAAATGACCAAGGATTGGACAAGTCTGAGCCATCGGAGCCCGAGGCAATTGAATCAACCGAATAAGCGTTGGGTTTGAAATGGAAACTGATCTCAGTTCTCGGTCAAACGGGTTCGCAATATTATCAAATTTGGGTTGCCCCTTCCTTAATATAAATATTTTAAAAGTTGAGGACGAAATGTTGTTAATCTTCCCACTTTTTTATTTTTGCATTCGTCTTGTTGACTTAGAGTTGATGTTAAAATACTAAAAGTTTGTTTTACTTTCGATTTTAGGTATTAAATTGTCAATTTTAGTGTTCTGAACAACTTTTGACAAAAGATGCAATCGGTTACTGTTTATACTAGTTTTTCTTTAAAATTTGTATATTTCGAATACAGTTTTAGACCGCATTGCCCAAATGACCTTATTATTTGAATTATTGAGAGTGTTGTCTAGCTACTATAATATCCTTTATGTTACCTTATTCAAAGAGCCAAAATTGTATTCTGCTGTTTCCCCACGTTTATGTCGTTCACTATTTTGAATACTTATTAATTTCATCGTTGATTAACTAATTTATCGATTGGTTTGTATTGTTTTAGATGAATAAGTGTTGAAAGCTGATAAAATAAATAGTTTATTGTTTTAAGTACAAACTTTTTCGTTTTTTAAATTGTTTTTACTGTGGTGACACATTGAAAGCAATAACCCTTTAAAAATTGAAGAAAATCTACAATTTGATCCACTAGGTCACCTAAAGCAAGATAAGCTAAAAAATACGCTGTCAGCCCCTAAAGCCTGATTAAAAAGCTCAAGTTTAAACAAGTCAATTTAAACATAAACAAGGTCATAATTTATTTATAAGTTAACTGGGAAATTTTATAATGCTGAAAATCAACTTCACAGGAGTAATGTCTGATATTGAAGTAGGGAAATTGAATGTTTAGAAGGCTGTCGCGCGTTCCAACTGCTCATTAGCAAGTTGAAGTTCGCCAGTCTCCTTAATTTCGTTTTCATTTGCAGTAATATAGTTTTTGAGATCATCCCGGGCTGTCCTGACTTTGCGTTCAATTGTAGGAATCATGCTTATGGTCTCCTGAAGAAAATTGATGTTATGTTGATTACAGAATCCAAAAAGATAGTAAAGTAATATTTAAAGCATTATTACACTGTAGGCTTACTGTTAAGCCTAAAATTAGCTCTGCCTGATAGCTATGAAACTAGTTATAACTAATTTTAAGTAAATGACGTGAATAACATCAGAGGTGGTAAAAAAATCATTACTCTGGCAGTAAACTATCTAAAATCCAAAAAGAAACAAAATACTTACTTTCCAGACTTCGTCCAACTTTTTCAACTCATATGCACTAGGATCTTTGGCCTCGAGTTCAGTATAACTTGCCTTTTGTTTCTCGCCTTCCTTAACATAGTAATCCACTTCTTTAATCAATCTCTTCAACACGTTCGTCTTGATGGTAAGTTGCTTTACCACTTTAGCATCAGTCATCTTAATCAGAAGGGCGTAAAGGCACTAAAACGAAGAGATAAACTTGTTATACACGAAGATAAACTTGTTCTCAAGATATTTAACCAAGTACAATTTCGATACAGCAAAATAGCTTGTAAAGAAGAAAGACAGTCATTTATACTTGCTTTTTGTAACAAAACAACAAAAAATTACTCATTCTCCGCGCGAACATTTCGAAATTTTAAAAATCTGCAAGTTTACAAAATAAAATTAGCGAAAAACAGAATGCCAAGAGATCGTTTTCGGGTCGAAACCAAAATTATACAAAGTACCGATAAAATTAGAAAAAGTTTGCCGAAAAAGGGCCAAAATTTATGAACAACTTGTTATTTTTGATAATTTTTACATATTAGATAGAGTTTATATTGTTTGTAAACAAAAATATGCGGGAAAACGGAAGTTGGGGTTTATGGTCAACTTGTTTCATGAATAATATATGTTTTTGCGCTCGAATGAAGTTAATAATTTTCATTATGGGTTTTAATGTTTTCTTTTGACTAATGATATAATTTTGAGTTGTAATATTTTTTTTTATTTTTTATTTTCAGAGAATTGTTTAGAAATTATATTGCACTTGCCGAACGGATATTACCTTTATTTTTTTTTGATCATAACATTTTTTAAAGAAAATCTAGGCACTTGAAAATTTGTGTGCTTATAGAAAGGTTATTTGGCTAACTAATGTGATAAAACTTTTTTCTTAATTGACAAAAGTTTCAAAGTTATATCAGTTTTGCAGTGGGTAACTTAACACAACATATTTTTGTAAATTTTCTTGTTTTTTCAATGTCAATCAGACAAAGTTTTATAAATATTTTATTCATAATCAATGTGAATTTAAAATTCGATGTCGTTTTGTGTAGAATGTTAATTATTGGCCAGCAGACAACAAGCGCAACATGCTAACATCATTGCCAAACAACAACATGCGTCGCCTTCATCATGGCGCCTAAAATCGAAATTTTATCAAAGTATTTTCAATAATAAGATAAAATACTTGTAAAATAGTATTCTTAATCTTTGGTTTTACTATTATCAGTTAGGGATTTTAAAAATTGTGTCAAAAAGGTTGTCAAAGTTAAAAAGGCCTATCAAAATAGCTGTTAATCGATAAAAATTGGGTAAAAAGGCTGTGTATATTAGATAGATCTATTCTTTTTTTGCAAAATATTTACTAAAAAGATCCATTAATTCTTTCGCATTTTCATTTTTAAACTTTTTTAATTTTATAAAGCCAAAAAATGCGAAAAAACTAATAGATCTTAATTTATTATTATATAAACAACATGTTTTTTGGCTAAATAAACCTACCGATAAACTACAACAGTGTTTTGTGGCGGATATCCCATGCAAGGCTGTGGTGGATAGCCCTGTGGTGAATAATATGGCTGTGGACTGTGAACCGCGTAGGCTGGTTGTACTGGGTAGGCTTGTTGTCTACACATTTGTCAAGGAAAAACGACCGGATTGTGACTGACAGGAATGGGACATAGTAGTTTTTGATTCGATCTGAACAAAAATTTTAAAATCGAATTTTGAAATTTTTTTGGGAAAAGATTAGGTATAGCTATGCTTTGCAGTGGCTTTTGATAGTAGATTGTAGGATTTTTGAGAAAAAATACAGTTTTTTGTGTTATTTCGTTAAAGATTTACAATTTCTGAGCGATTTTTTATATAGGTGTTCCACTGAGTATTGTAGTAGCTGTTGATAGTAGATTTTAAGATCTTGAGAATAATACAGTTTTTTGTAACTTATATTTAATGATTCTAGATCAAAATCATCGTTTATACTTTAAAAAATGCACTTTGCTGAATGTCTGAGAACTTTTGGACCAGGAAAGCCCGAATAGATGTACCTTAAAGGCATTTTTCGCATCTATTTGGTTCAAAAGGTCCCAGACTTTCAGAACCGTGCATTTTTTAAAATTTAAATAATTATTTTGATCCAGAATTTTTAAAGATAAAGTACGAAAAGCTGTATTATTCTCAAAATTTTAGAATATACTATCCACAGCTACTACAATATTCAGTGGAATTTCTGTATAAATATTCGCTCGTAAATTGTAAATCTTTAACGAAATAACACAAAAAACTGTATTTTTTTCTCAAAATCCTACAATCTACTTCCAAAAGCTATTACAACATAGCTGTGCATGGCCTTTCTAACAAAAAATTTTATTTTTATAAAATTTTTTAAAAAATGAGTCAAAAATCTTAATATTTATTTCTATCAGTCACAATCCGGTCGTTTTTTTTGGCAAATGGGCCAAGATCAGTCTCGTCGGCGACCACTACCACCTTATTCCCCACAACCAGGCTATGGTGGACAACCAGGATCAGGCTTTAGTGGACAATCAAGTTATGGCCCACCACCGGGCTATGGAGCACGTCCAACCTATGGGGCACAGCCGGTTTGTCCACAACCATGTTATTCACCACAAGTAGTTTATGCACCACAGTCGTACATGGGGTATCCGCCACAAAACACTGTTGTAGTTTATCGGTAGGTTTATTTGGCTAAAGATATGTTGTGTTATATGGTAATGGATTTGGATCCGTTAGTTATTTTGCGTTTTTTGGTTTTAAAAATTAAGAATGCTTGAACATGAAAGTGCGAAAGAATTAATGGATCTTTTTAGTATTTAGTTTAGGAAAAAATATTAGATCTACCTAGTATACCCATCTTTTTTACTCGCTTTTCATCGATTAACAGCAATTTTGATGGACTTTTTTAAATTTAACAGCTTTTTTAACACAATTTTTAAAACTCCTAACTGATAATAGTAAAACCAAAGATTAAGAACATGATTTTACAAGTAATTTATCTTATCATTATAAGTATTTTGTTAAAATTTCGATTTTAGGCGGCATGATGAAGACGCATGTTGTTGTTTGGCAATGTTAGCATGTTGTGCTTGCTGTCTCTTAGCTAATAATTAACATTCTACACAAGATGACATTAGATTTTAAATTCACATTGACTATGAATAAACTATTTTTAAAACGTTGGCTATTTGATATGTGATAAAGTTGGAACGTTGTTTTATATTACAGTAGGGGCTAAAGGCGAACTGATTTTACTATTTTCTGTATAGCTTCCTTGAACTGGGCTATATAGTCTTGAAATTTTTCGTGATGTTAGGTCATTTATATTGTTACCGATGTAGCAAAAATTGGCTTGGAATTTGTAGGGGTTTACTGTAGTTTTACAGTAACTTCAATTTTAAAAAATTTTTTTATTTTTCACCTAGGTTATGTGAAAAATGTAATACTACTACAATATGTTTAATGATAGTTTATTGTGTTTACTATAAACGTAGATTCGAATTCATTATGTACACATAAAGTTGAGATTTCAGCGCGCGGGTTAGATTGAACGTGAGGTAGGGTAATATAAGGCGATTAATTTGTTGTATTGGTCGCCTCTTATCCGTACCATCCTCTTCTGCCGTATCCACCAAAGCCTCGACCGTATCCCATACCTCTTCGGCCGAATCCTCGCCCAAAGCCTCCGCCACGACGGCCCCAGCCTCCCATGCGACCGAAACCGCGGCCGATGCCCCAACGGGCGTCGGAGACGACGAACATGCAAGATAGGGCGACGAATAGGAGCACTAGTACGTTTAGGTTCATTATCTGAAAGTTGAAGGTATTATTAGGTGTTGGCAGATAGGTGAAGGTAATATTAGTATATTGGCAGATAGGTATATGTCAGATAGATCAGAGAAAAGGAACTTTTCTGAAGTTTTCTTATAAGATACAATTGTAGTACAGTACGATATTATACCATAATATATTAGGCTGCTCAAATAATTATGTGCCCCATCTCAAGAAAAATTATTTTGGTTTTGAGGCACAGAATTATTTGAAAAAACTGATAGTCTAATAGTATCATATAGTACGATACTATACTTAAAACTTATAAAAAACGTTTAGTACGTAGTATAAGGTTAAAAACTTCCTTAACCTACTTTCCTTAACCCTATACTACGTCGTTCTTTATGATAACAAGGGAATATAAAGACCGGAAAAAACATGGTTACAAGAAAATTACCGCCCCAAAGGTTAAAAAATATTTTTGCGACAACAAGAATAACATCTAATCAAGTGGTAAATAAAATTGCGAGTTTATCTAATAACAGTATTTTAAATTTTTAATAATACTGTTTTTCAAGGTCCATTAAAGACCTATACCTGTTATCAAAAAGTTACAAATGAAAAGAAGGCTTTGTGTATATAAATTATAAGCTGAATTAAAATGACAGTTATTAAGACTTAATTGCCATGTTATGTCTATCGATAATGCGATAACTTCCTCTTTTTTTCCTTTTTAAAATACAATTTTTGTGAAGTTAATTATTGTGCTAAAGATTCTGTTATCTTCTGTACACAAACTATGTTTTGGAAGTTATAGACTGCTTCTAATGTAAATCTTAATAATTTAGCTCATAGCCTACTAACAGAGAAGCCTACAACCTCCCACAGTGGTTTCTTTTCGATATGTGAGGTTGTAGACTTCTCTTCTAACATTATCTTCTAACATGTAAGATATTAGAGCGAAACTCCTGTATAAATAATCGCTCCGGGATTTGAAAGTTGTTCGTTATAAAGAAGTTTCGGTATAGAGGATTTTTAAATGCACTGTGTAGTGGTAGACGGGGATTTAAAAGTTGTTCGTTACACGGGAGTTTGTTATAGGGAATTTCTACTGTAGTTTATCTAATAGCTTATCAATGTATTACAGTAGAACTCTTTTATAACAAACTCCTCTATTTAGAACGAAGATACTGTATAACGAACAACTTTTAAATCTCTGTCTATCATTACACAGTGCATTTGAAATTCCTCTATACCGAAACTCCTTTATAACGAACAACTTTCAAATCTTCGAGCGATTCGTTATACAGGAGTTTTACTGTAGTTATAATTTAGTTAGACAAGGGCAAGAAAAAGGTAGGAAAAAAGTAAGTCTTACTATACTTATCTACAAAATAAAACCAAAATTTAATTTCCAAAATACTTACCTTTAGCGTTATTACAATACCAAGTTGTGACAATGTCTGATCACCGGAAAGAAGGTGTTTATATACCCAAACCAAACGTATTGTATGTCACGTTACCTGACGGTTTGTCGAAGGTTCGATCTTTCATCAATCAACAATGACGTCAATTGTGAGGGTGGAACGGTGGAAAGTGACAAAGAACAGTCAGGGTACGGAAGATACGACGGAATAGAGGGTAATATGCTTAGTTTTAGCGGTTTTAAGAGGTTTTCGGAAGGATAAGGGATGAGGTTTTGTGAGTCACGAGTTTTTGAATTTTTTGAAATTTATTTTTTTACTGTAGTAGACTGTTTATCGTCGTATCTTTTGACTGTTATTACTAGATAGTACTATATCTATTCTGAGCACGAATTTGATGAATTAGAATAGAACAAGTTTGCCAAGCTTTTCACACTTTTTTTACTTTTTTTTTATCTTTTTAAAAAAAGTTGTTTAGGAAAAAAGGTTAAGAAAGGTATTTACTTCCTTCTTTAAAGACGTAATTAGACCGTCAACTAAATAAACTTCATCTTTCTAATGACCTTTCACGTTCATAACTCAAGAAAACGTATTTCTCAATAATTTTTGTTTATCAAAGTTGTAATACCGTTTTGTTTCTTGAACAATTTTTAATTATTGATATTTTATTTCACATAAACATCATTTCAAAATGCTTTTGTAAAATTTGTTTATGGATAATATAAAATTTTCTGGTTGGTCTTTTTAGGACAAAAATAAACACTATTTAACGAAGAAAAAATTTTAAAGAAAATATTTATTAATTAATTGTAAAAATTAACAAGTTCATAACAAAATAGACAATAAACTAGATTAAAGTGACTTGGCGGTACTGTAACCGAGATTCGAGTAGACTACCAAAGCTGATGCGGCATAAGCGACAGAATAAACGACTTTTGAGATCACCAGCGACCATGAAACTACATTGTACTGGCTTTGGAGGAACCTGGAATTTAAAAAATTAGTTTTTCGTCAAAATTTGGGCTGATATCTAGTATAATATGGAATTTTAGTCGTAACTTTAAAACTCATAGATGAATAACAAAATTGCTCAAAGCAAAGTTAGAAAAACTTTAAAACTTACGACAAAACACCTTCACGAGCCCATCCGATCAACACAAAAGCCATGGCAATCCGATAGATATTGTTCTTGTCGTTTCTCTTGCTCAACCAAACAAATGTCGCTAAACCAACATAAAAGGCCATGTCTGCATTAGCTTCAATTCCACGTTGAATATAAGCCCAGGAGAAGGCCATTTTTCGAGCCCCAATGAACAATGGCAACAAATGTGAGGCTACGGAATGAGCGAAGGCCCAGCTGAATCCAGATACCAAGAATCTGATCTCTCCACGCCCTGTGGCCATATTAATCGCCAACCATAGTCCAACAACGTCAAACAGATCCCCAGTGTTCAATAAGAAGTGTTGGAACTGAAAAAGGTTGAAGGTGTTAAAAGTTAGAAATAAAATTAGTTGAACCATTGTTTAGCTGATGTAGACTACGGAATTTTAGCCATAAAAAATTTCATTTTAATCCGAATACCAAGAATTGTATATCAAAAGATTCACCAGGTTCTTACGAAGCTTTTAGAAAACCTCAAATTTTAATAAGGTAACCTCCATAAAAACTTTATTAACTTGACCAACCACCTAAACAAAGAAAACACACAAAATTAAAGAACTTACTCCAGAAGCAGTGAAATTGTCGGGTGCCGGAAAGAACGTAGCATACGTTAACAATTTACAAAACTGTGTGAAGAAGTACACACCTCCAGCTTGTAGGAATTGGAACAACGAACTGTATTCGGATAAGACGGAATACTTGTAGACAACGAAATATGGAGCAAATGCCAATACGCAACAATTCACAAAATGGAAAAACGTCATGGCTATTACTCTCTTATTAACTTTTACCTAGGTATCTACGTTTAGTCGAGTATTATTCAAAACTGCGAGTAAATTCGGTCAAAAAGGCCAAAGGTTTTCTATAAATTTTTCTTTCGACTATTTTTGGAGATGGCGAGCTGCGAAGCGCAGGGTTATACGCTGAAAGGTGTAGGAAAAATTATTCGGAAAGTTTCTCGTGGAATCTATTGAAGATCCTGAAGCTTTTTGGCTTCTGAAGATGGGGATAATGTTTGATTTTTGTTTCTTTTGGATTTGATTTTATTTTACTTTGTTTTTTGTTGAGAACAGAATACCGTATGAATTACATTTCAGTTTGTTAGTGTAAGATAGTTCTCTGCAAAAATATGAATTAGAGATCATTTACATTTCAAACCATTAATAAATTCATTATTCCGTGTATTATCGTGTGTTTTACATTTAAACCTTGAATGTTTTTATCAATATTGCACATGAAAATCAACTCCCAATCTTTTAGGTTCTCAAGCATGGAATCGGATCCGCCTGACAATGATCCGATGAACCTGAATTCTCCGGACTTTGATTCAGAAGCTTTTGTTAGTCATTTAATCAGGAAGAAAGGATTGGATGAACTCGTTGCAGTTGAAGAGAACATGGTTCAAAATGTTCGTCGATTGGACAATGAAATGCAGCATCTGGTCTACGAGAATTACAACAAGTTCTTGACGGCCACAAGCACGGTTAGAAAGATGCAGACTGAGTTTGGGAAGATGGATGAGGTGAGGGTTTGATTTTTGTTTTTTATTTAGGACGAAAAATGGTTTAAAGATGTGATGGTTAATATCGAAACAACAGATTTTTGAAAATGGCTTTGGGAAATAGTTTAAATTGCTATTTATATAGTTTTTGGGGTTAATTTGAAAACTTAAATCTATTTTTTAAAGTTCAACAGATTATTTTTATATAATTTACAACTATTTATGTTTGAATAACGTAGATATTATAAAGAATTCTATGTATTTGTCAATTCTTGTTAAACCACAACCTTAACCTTTATGAAACTTTATTAAAGTCTACTCTACCTTTTTTGTAGGAAATGCGGACAGTATCGGATAAAATGGCAAGGATATCAGCATTATCAGGTCAGCTATCAGGGATTTTTCGTGAGAAACGAGAAAACGTTCGTAAACTAACGGATGCGTCAAAAACGGTTAAATCCTTGAATTATGTTGTTAATCTGCCTAAAAAGTTACAGGTGAGAGATGAATAAACGTAATTTATGTATTGTTTTGTTTTGTGTGGCTAACATTCGGTTTTGGTGTATAATAACTTGTTTGATGTTGGTGTTTTTGGAATTTTGTTTCTTTTTCTGTTGGTTTTAAGTAATACGTTTCATTAATCATAAAAGTGAGTACGTTTTCTGAAAGTTTAGTGATTGTATCTTGATTAATGATAAAGTTATGGTTAGTTGAAAAGTCAAAAGACAAAGAGTTTGTTTTTGATTAAAAAATGGCGATATTCCTGTGCTCACTTGCTGGTATTACCTTTAAAAAGTGCTAGTAAGACAATTTTAATTATTTTTTAAATTTCAGATTCATTACGAAAAGAAAGAGTACAAAAAAGCGATCAAAGCCTACAATGCAGTGAAGTGTCAATTGGAAAAAGTCAAGGATTATGGGTCGATGAAAGGCATCTACAAAGACTGTTCCGAAGTCATGAATAAGATTGAAAAGAGGCTTCGAGCCAATTTTTCATCGCCAATAATTGCATCTGAAGAGTTTGTGGAATCTGTCAGGCTACTTAATGCACTAGGAGTACCATTGCCGAGCTTGGAGCTTGAACTGGGGAAACAATGGACCGAACAGCTGGAGAAGCAACTAAAATCACTTGAAATTGAGGCCAATTTGGTTGGGGATGAGAAGAAAAGAAGCTATAATGACATCTTGGAGTTTGTCGAGAAAGGTGTTTGTCCATTCTTGGCTGATTTGTCACTAATTGCGTCGCTACACACGGAGCTATTCAACACGGTAAGGGTGGGGATGTTGTTGTAGGAAAACGTTGATCTTGGAAATTTTTTTTTGAAAGATGTGTTAAAGCAAGGTCTTTCGTTACAAAACAGAAAATGGCAAGAACTTTTTTTACAAAACAGAAAATGGCAAGAACTTTCTTTACAAAACAGAAAATGGCAAGAACTTTCTTTACTGAACATACAATGGCACTAACTTCCTTTACAAACCCTTATTTTCAGTCAGCCTGCTCAGCATTCGTCCAAATGCTCAAAGACAATATGCAGACTCTGAAAACAGTGTTGATTACAAGATTTGAGCAAGAATCCAACCCACGCGAATGTGCCTTATATGTCCGTGCATTAGACAGGACTTATCGAAAGATCAGCGCTTGTTCCAAACTACTGCCACATTTGGACTTTTCGATTGAAAACACTTCAATCGTCGTCGATGCTGCACATCACCAAATCAAAATATGTCGAGGAGGTGTTTTACAAGCTGTTCAAACGGCTTTGGATGAGGTAAGGGTTTTATCTTTTTATTTCTGAAAAATTTGGACAGCGTAAATGTAGGGTAGAGATCTTTGTTTCTAAGGGTTTGGAAACCGGCTCGGTTCCTGCTCCGGAGCAGGAGCCGGAGCTAAAATTTAAAAAAAAGGCGGAGTCGGAATTTCTAAACTTTAGTAAGGATTAAAGTGTCTCTTTTCGGTATAATATGGTAGGGTATGGTGAAGGTATTGAAGGGGGGGGGGGAATAGTAATATAAATTGGTAAGCAGTACGGTAGGGGTATATTATGGAGAAGTAGGGAAAGATAGGACAAAGTAGGGTAAGGTAGGGTAGTGTAGGGTTGTATAGAGTAGGGTACGGTAGAGTAAGGTAAGGTAATGAAGGTAGTGTAGGGTAGGTTGAGGTACGGTAAGGTAGGGTAGGATACGCAATGGTTGGATAAGATAGGGGAAAATAGGGTAGGATAAAGTAGGTTAGGGTAAAGTATTTAAAGTAGGGTGTGCTAGATTATGGTATTGTAAGCTAGGGCAGGAAAAAGTATGAATAAAATGAATTGAGAAGAGGTGTAGACTGAATTTTTTTGAAGAAATAAAAACACAAATTATTGTTTATGATTACTAAAATGCTATTTTCAGGTAGTAAATGAAATAAAAACCAAGTCTCCATCGAATTCGTCATCTTCAAGTCGTTTCGGCAACAACTTTTTGCAACCCTTACTCGGCAAACTGGATCAGACCTTTTTGGTGTCAGTCAAGACATCATTGGCTAATTTACTATTGTTTACGGCTAGTGACATTACTTTTTTGACTAGTGCTGATTCTGGTAAGAGGTTTTTGACTTTTTTAATGGGGGTGGTTTTTAAAATAAATTTTTTTTGAATTATGGTGTTCAAATAATTCTGAGCCTCTTCTCAAATAAAATTTTAATATGAATTTTTTCAGCCCATTCCTTCTCCTCATTTGGTGTCGACGTCCACGAAAGTGTTGTAGTAGCCTCACTGAAAGACTTGGCCGGATATTCAACCAAAACCTCACCTAACCTAATATCTGATGCCAATTTAATCCTCGGGGTGTTTTTACATGGAATAACAAAGAAGAATCTGAAGTACTTGATGGACTTGTGCCAAGAACAGTATAAAATTAGTGAAGAAATTGCAGAAGCCTTATTGACACGCCCTCCGGCTATAGTTGAAATTATTGACGAAGCGGCTTTGAAAGTTTTGGCCAAATTTGCGGAACAGAGCGGCCAAAACTTCTTTGAGGTAGGTTAACTATAAGGCCTTGTTATATATTTTATATAAGGGTTTTTGAACATTGGGTTGAGGTGGTTTGAGATTCGAGGTATTTTATTCATCATGAGCTTCTGCTAGGTAGTGATGGACGAAATTAAGTGTTTCTGGAAATGTTTATTATCAAATTGTGTGATTTATAACTCAAGTGAAAGCATAAAGTCTGTGCTACAAGATTGTGTTAGGTTTAAAAGAAAAAAAGAAATATAGGATCTCACAATTTTATGTGCAATTTCACCTATTCCTAGTGTAATATAGACAATTCTTGCAAAGAAAAAAATTCTTTGAGCTGTTTGTGGTATGTCGTTTTATGAGCCGCTAAAAATTTCGTAAGCTAAGCATCAAACTTAAAACAAAATTTTTTTAAGTATGAGAAAATTTGTTCACTGTGAGCTTCTAAAGATTAGGTAGTGCAGGACAAAATTAAGTGTAGTAGAAAAGGTTATTACCAAAATATCTTATATGTAGCTTAAATGAGCTAAAGTCTTAGCAACAAGATAGTACTAATTTCTCAAGAAAAAAGTTATATAGGATATTACAATTTTGAGTTAAATCCCACCTATTTCCGATGCTAATTTATAGGTTGTATAAAAAGTGTTGAGCTATTAGATTTTTTTGCTCAATAACAGCAATTTATTTAAAAAAAAAGTAATTTTGGCACAATGAGCCTAAAGTTTTTCAAGCTTTTTTGATGCCGGTAATTGAAAATTCAGAACTTCTGGAGCCAAAGATAGTTTTGGTGGCCTTTTTGATATTCTTATAGAAAAGATTTTTTCAAATAAGAAAGAAATAGTTTACGTGTAATCTTAAGTTTGGTATAATGTGACAAGTAACTCTTTATTTTCAGACCCTAAACGCAAATTCAACCCAATGGCCGACGATAAAGGAAAGCCCAAATCAAGTTCGAGAAGAGTGTAAAGCATTGGTCAGAGAGGTTCAGGCTTTGGATGAAAATTTACAAGTTTTGGTAGGTTTATATTTTTAAATTGTCAAAATGTGACATTTTTTTGGGATTGTAAACCATTTTAATAATTGCTAAATTCCTGGCTAGCGATGTATGATTAGACTTGTAAAAGGGCTGGACCCAATTTTTCTGTCAGGATGTTCATACTTTTTAGCATTTTGCTTTTTAGTCTACAATCAAACCTTGTTTTCAGATGGACGACAGCACGAAGAAAGAGCGAACTCCAGATTCGATGCGAAGCCTCAGCCAACGCCGACTTCAACCCAACGCTGACGCGTTGAGTGGTGCCCTGGAACGAATGTGGGCGGACGCAGTGGAAGAGTTCGCCGCCCCAAAACTCGATTTCAAACGATACTCGATCATTGGTTGTGTAATAGACAAGTGCCTGCGGCTCTTCTTGGAATGGGTCCGCAAAAACAGCTTTAGCCGGTCCGGCGTCCAACAGATCCAAGTCGACAGTTTCTACCTAAAACAAACGTTGTGGCGCTTTGTGTCAGATGAAATGGCCATGAATGTGCTGATCGATGAAGCCTTAACCGCTGCTGTGAATTTGTGTGAAGATCCAAAGCTTTTGGAACCGGCCAATGTCAAGGAGATCTGCAATCGCGCTGTTTGAGGTGGGTGGAGATTTTTAATTTTTTTATGTTGAGTTGGGTAATGTGGAAAATTGGTCATTATTATAAGTTAGAATGAGAAATTTTGTGGGCCTAGACATTAAAGGGAGCCCACTAGGCAGGCCAGGCCTTCCTCTGTCGGAAATATTGAGCCCAGCGCGTTTACAGATAGACTTAAGTGCGTTTATATCTGTGAACATCACTGTATATCTAGGTAGGCTGGTCCCAAATTTAAAGTCACCAAAAAAAAGATCCCAAAAATAGAAAAAAAATTAAAAATTGTGTGCACCGTGCACATGAGATCTGTAAATCAACAAAAAAATTTTCAAAAGGCTAAAAATATTTGATAATTTTTTAAAAATTTTAAGAAAAAATATGTCCTTATGGCAAAAAAAGTATTTTTTAGTCTTTTTGCCCTGACTAAAACCTCCCGCTTGGCAGTGGGTATTGACACACTTTAAATGCACGGTTATTCTGTGTAAATATTATGGTAAAAAATACTAACATGGGAAGTCACTTAAATCGTACCTCGACTTTAGGTCGAGACCTATATATTCTTAAAGCCCTGTAATCACTGAGTATGGATCTGAAAACCGTTTTTCCGTATGGCGCTTAGTTTTCGAGAAAATCGACTTTAAATTTTGACCGTATCTCCAAAAGGAAAGCGCGCGAGAGTCTATCGGAAATAACGAAAATAAATCAAGTAGCGATTCTGGCGCAAATGGTAAAGCGTTCGGTTTCCGATTCAAACTACGTAGGTTCGATTCTGGAGCCTCTGAATCATTTTTTAACAAAACTTTCAATATGCATACTTATGTAATTTTTGTAGTTTTAAAAAATGAAAATTGACATAATTTAGTTAAATAAATAAAAAATTATTAAAGAACATTACCTAAAGCAATAATATTTTAAAATAAACAAAACTCATGCTTTTTGTGCATTGTGCTTTGGGTGTCACCCTCGCACTTGTTGTGGGGTTCCTGATGTTCGATTTGGACACGGCGACAGCATCGATGCTGCCTGCAATGACCGAATCGTGAAGACAATGTTGTAATATAGCAGATGGTGATTTCGACGATGAATCAGAGGAGGACTTGATTGAGGATAGGAATAATACGGCGGATCCAACGTACGAAGATGTGACCGACGAAGATAGAGGAAAAATATATGTCGTTAAAATTATGCAATTTCATCTAACAATGATATTACAAAAATTACATAAATTTGCATATTGAAAGTTTTGTTAAAAAAAGATTCAGAGGCTCCAGAATCAAACCCACGTGGTTTGAATTGGAAACCGAACGCTTTACCCTCTGCGCCATGCCGCCACTTGATTTCTTCTAGTTATTTCCGATCGAGTTTTCAGCGCGCCTTCCTCCTTTTAGGGATTCGGTCAAAATTTAAAGTCGATTTTCTCGAAAACTAAGCGCCATACGGAAAAACGGGTTTCAGGCCCATACTCAGTGATTACAGGGCTTTAAAAATATATAGGTCTCGACCTAAAGTCGAGGTACGATTTAAGTGACTTCCCATGTAAGTACTTGTGCATATTATTGAAAAAAATCATTATGAGAAGGCTTTAGATTGTAAAAAATCATTATAACAAGATTTAAGATGATAACAAGTCATAAAGACAATATTTAAGGCGATAAAACATTGTTATGGCAAGATTTAAAATAGTTTTTACCACAGTTAAAGCAAGCCAATTTCAGGCCTTCGCAACTCTCACACTTACTGTAAATATATGGCAAAAAACTGTGATTCGAAATGACTTCATTCCTATACAACAACTTTTAATATTTATTTTGTTATTACAATACTAACTATTAATTCCATTATAAACAAGATTTATACCTGGATAATATGTTCCAAAAACAAAAGGGAAAGTTAGTATATTACACTGGAAAACCTAATTAATACAAGATAAAACACTATATGTATGCTAGTATATACTACCCTACGGCAATAAAAAACACTATACCTTACCCTACAGAAATAAAAAATCTACACAATCTAACTTTTCAATGACAAAAGTTAGATTGTCTAAACAACCATTTTCCTATCAATTTTGCAATTAAAATTGAGCGCAGTAAAGTTTGGGTAATTATTTTTCAAAAAGTTGAACCTAACCGTGTCCACAAACTTGTAGTCCCTCATTGACAGCCGGTTGGCCCGGTTAAAATGCGTTCGATTGTATAAAATGCGATGCCAACAGTCGATGGCTCCAAAATCCACCGATGGCATGAATTTGTTGGCGAAAAAGTGGGGTTGGTCTTCGATGTTGGCCTAAAACAAGTTGTAAGGCATGTAAAAGTAGTTGTTATTTGTCTTGAATGGCATTGTATAGAAGCGCTTTAGTTGGCGTGGACAGTAGGGATGTTTGTTTCAAATCATACTGAGTAAAAAGTCAACTTTTCTTTAAAATTTTGAAAAACAAGTCAAAGTCAACATAACGCAAATAAAACCTCACTTTGATGTCTTCCATGCCAAACAAACACAAGTAGTGTCTGTACATGCCACTTTTACACTTCCCACTGTCCATCCAAATCGACAGTCGCGTCATGTAGTTGCTTTCCACCTGTCCCCGCAGGCAATGCAGCGTAAAACCCCCAGGCAGTCCCACCGCATCGTTTGAATTCAAACTGCCGATGAAGTTCTCGTCTACGCCAAACGCATTCCATTCAATTCGGTCGACAAAACGGTCGATATTCATGTTTGTTAACATGAAATCGACCGCTTTTTCGCGACAATGTCACTTGAGGCAACGACTTGGCGAACAGCATGACAGGTGGCTGGCCGTTGTGAAGTCGGGTGTTGCGATGGGCTAGAATGGGTCAAGTGTGGCAGTACGTCTCAGTATGCTGTTAGAGTTAGATAAGGTAATCTGTTTGAGATGAATCATTAGACATGAGGAACGGACCGGGCCAAGCCCGTTTGCACGTAAAAAAATCGGACCGGGCCGGCCGCAACAAAATTTAGATTGGGCCGGGCCCTGTTTTTGTTCCTCATCTCTAGAATCACTGTTTTGAAGACCTACGTATTGAGAAAGTGATTAAAAGTCAAAAATGACAGAGTTATAAGAACGAAACACACAATGCCAATTTGGCGGGAAATTCAAAATTTAATTTTTTAATCTTGGTTTTTTCGAGATTGACTGGAAAGCGCGATTTAAATCGTACTTTGCTGAAGATCTTATATTTACATGATCTTTCAATATAAAAAGTCTGAAGTCAGTCAGAGCGGGGCAGGTCGGGCACTTTCTTTGTATAATTGCGAGCTGAATTCACATTGTTTAAGCATGATAGTACGTACCGTTCTTGAACAAATTCATAGCTTTAAAAGACCAGTTGACACCGGGCTGTATTCGCTTAATACTCTGTCTGTACGCTTGAACATCGTTGGTACCGTTGTAAAGTTGTAGAATGCGAATTAGCTCCGAATTCGTTTTGATCTGTATATCGTGATTCTGAAACATAGCTTTAATAAGTCTAATTTACTATAGTGTTACTTGTACTAGAGTGGAACTTTTGTATAACGGATTTCAAGCTATTCGTTATACAGGGGTTCTACTTCTGTTTTACTAGCAATAAGTTATTAGACATGAACTAGTATAATATGTAGTATAGTAAAACAAAGCACGCTTGCAATCACACAAACCTCTTACTTGTAGTACAAAAACATACTTCCAATTGTGTTTCGTGATCATACGAAGACATTCCATCATAGAACGCGTCCCATTGTGCCCTTCCGAATCCATCCGATACTCGACTCGTGTCACGATGACATTCGGCAAACAGGCCGAAAGCGCGTGAAGCCGAGCGTGAAACACCTTCGGCGCTTTTGCATCGATCGCATAACAGTAAATGTTCTGCGGCGAATACGAAACGGCTAACTCGGATTCGAGGAACAAGTAGTCCTGGAAGAATTTGAAATTTTGAAATTTTACTATTTTTTCAAATTTTCCAAAAAAATTTATAAAATAACAAGGTAAATACCGACCTGCCTCGCTCTTGACTTTAAACTTTTTATATAGTATGACATTGCAAATATAAGATCTTCAGCAAAGTACTACATCGCGCTTACCAGGAAATCTCGAGGAAAGCGAGATTAAAAAATTATTTTTTAAATTTCCCGTCAAATTAGCATTGTGTTGCAAGCTTATAATTTTGTAATTTTTTAACTTTTAATGGTCTTTCTTTGATATATTAGTATAATACCTTTAAATGAACCTACATTTTTTTAATTTGTAAGCGTAGCTGGTCTGGAAGGTCGAAAAAGGGCTTGAAACGCAATGCCAAATTGGCGGGAAATTTAAATATTTAAAATTTAAAACTCAAAAGCGCGAGCTAAAACTTTTTATAAGTACTATTGGTAGTACAACAAATTCATATAAAAAGTTTGAGCTGATTCTGAGCGGGGCAGGTAAGGTACTTTCCTTGTATAATAACAAGGAAGGTACCCGACTTGCAATGTTCAGATTTCCTTCAAATTTTTCCAATTCAAAAGTCATGTAAATGTAAGATCTTATCCAAATTTTAAAACCATTCTCTTTAAAACTACAGTAACCTTTACCTTATAAACCAACCGAACATAAGCCAGTGGGAACAATATCTCTTTGGGATATAAAGTTCGGTGCGAGAAAAAATGTCGGGATTTAATGGCAGCGCACGTAATTGCCAGCCCGTCCAATGTATGCGGATCACGGTACGTTATCCGATGTGCGCGATACTTGTGAGGCTTCTCTATATATTGATGACATTGCTCTTGAGTCAAGCTTGTTAATGGGCGATAGTTGGGCAGGGCTAAAATGCGTGCTGTAATTATTAATATTACCCAAGTTAGATAAAATTAGGGTTGGTTGGGGGTAGGTTAATCGTTAGTACTGGGAATTGAAAAGGTATAATATAGTAGATAGACAGTGCCTGTGCGAGCCATTTTGATGCCGAGAAAAGTAGGAGGGAGAGGGGGGGGGGTAGTTTAGGGTGGTGTAGAGGTAAGGTATGATAGGGTAGGATTAAAGGTGGCTATCGGTCTGGTCCTAAAGCAAGGACCGCGGCCCTAGTTTTTTTGACCGGGCCGATTATGAAAACGCATCTCAACGGACCGATGCGCCAGACCCATCCTGCCCGGACCAACAGCCAGCTCTAAGTAGTATACGATATGGTGTTGTGTGGTAATGTAGGGTAGGGTATAAAATAGTAAGATAGATTTAGGTATGATAAGATAACATTTTTTGTTATTCTTACAAAACCAAATATCTGTAACTACTTCAGAATCATGAAATAATAATATTTAGTCTGTCTTACTTACCGTTTATTATCAATAAAACGGCCGGAAAACAAAAAGCAGGCCGATTTGGCCACATAGCAAAAAAATAATTTGTTTTATCCGGCTTCTTATCAAAGCCTCGTGCCGATTGTTTACTTTTTCAACAATCAAAAGTACAAGAAAGCCAAGTTTTTTTTTATTTTAGCTAGTTGAACACACGTGTTTTTTAGTTTTGACAGCTTTCCATTCAACTCACAAGGAAAGTACCCAACTTGCCCTGGTCAGAATCGGCTCAAAATTTTTATATCGATTCTTTGTACCACCAGTAGTAGCTTTGCTCTTTTTGTTTAAAAATTTTAGCTCGCGCTTTTAAGTTTTAAATTTCAAATCTTTGGGCTTTTTACGTACAATTTGGACTATTTGGCATTGTGTTACAAGCACTTTTTTCGACTTTACAGACTACGCTTAAAAATTTTAAAATGTTGGTTCATTTTAAGGTTTTCTACTAGTATATCGAAGAAAAATGCTTAAAAGTCAAAAAATGGCAAAGTTATAAGCTTGAAACACAATGCCAATGTAGAAATTCAAAAAGTAACTTTTTGATCTTGATTTTCTCGAGATTGACTGGAAAGCGTGATTTATTACTTTGCTGAAGATGTTGCATTTACCTGATACTTCTATAATAGAAAGTTCGAAGTCATTCAGAGCGAGGCATGTCGGGTACTTTCATTGTTACTGATCGTTAATTAATTTTTTCATGAGTTATAAACCCCTGAAGGTAGGATGACATATGCTTTTTCCAAAAGGTGATAGTTTTATTTAAAAAGAAACAACTAGCAAAAATAAAAAAAGGTGTTTAACTCCTTTGTTAGAATTCTTCTGTTACCGTCGTTTCGTTGCAACGTAGATTATTAGAACAATAATGCTCAGACACAATAGCGACCCGCCAATTGAGAAATCTAAAAAATTTTTATGTAAAGCTTCAGCAGTTGTACATTTCAAAAGAACGTTAAAGTTTTGTAACAGACCCCCCCCCCGCCAATGGAAACCAAAACAAGATTACTATCGGTCTGACTTTTAAAAATTGTGACATAAATTTTGTTTATTCGAGAACTTTTAATAGGCCGTTGATAAGGTTGCAATCTTCTAATAGAACTTACAAATCCAACCATTGTTTTTTTTGATCTGTGGGTGAGGCAGATGTGGTGGTCGTTGGCTTGAACTCGTTATGGAGTTCCGCCAAAAATGATAGGTTCGTAAAGGTAGGGGTTGCCGTGGTTGCGCAACCATTTTTTTAAATTAACAAGGAAAGTGCCCGACTTGCCCCGCTCAGAAACAGCTCTAAATTTTTACATGAATTCCTTGTACCCTTAAAGAACCCATAAAAAATTTATTTGTCGAGTCTTAAATTTAAATTATTTTGTTTTTCCGACCTTTTTGGCTAATTTGGCATTGTGTTTCAAGCGCTTTTTTACTTGATGGACTTGTGCCAAGAACAGTATAAAATTAGTGAAGAAATTGCAGAAGCCTTATTGACACGCCCTCCGGCTATAGTTGAAATTATTGACGAAGCGGCTTTGAAAGTTTTGGCCAAATTTGCGGAACAGAGCGGCCAAAACTTCTTTGAGGTAGGTTAACTATAAGGCCTTGTTATATATTTTATATAAGGGTTTTTGAACATTGGGTTGAGGTGGTTTGAGATTCGAGGTATTTTATTCATCATGAGCTTCTGCTAGGTAGTGATGGACGAAATTAAGTGTTTCTGGAAATGTTTATTATCAAATTGTGTGATTTATAACTCAAGTGAAAGCATAAAGTCTGTGCTACAAGATTGTGTTAGGTTTAAAAGAAAAAAGAAATATAGGATCTCACAATTTTATGTGCAATTTCACCTATTCCTAGTGTAATATAGACAATTCTTGCAAAGAAAAAAATTCTTTGAGCTGTTTGTGGTATGTCGTTTTATGAGCCGCTAAAAATTTCGTAAGCTAAGCATCAAACTTAAAACAAAATTTTTTTTAAGTATGAGAAAATTTGTTCACTGTGAGCTTCTAAAGATTAGGTAGTGCAGGACAAAATTAAGTGTAGTAGAAAAGGTTATTACCAAAATATCTTATATGTAGCTTAAATGAGCTAAAGTCTTAGCAACAAGATAGTACTAATTTCTCAAGAAAAAAGTTATATAGGATATTACAATTTTGAGTTAAATCCCACCTATTTCCGATGCTAATTTATAGGTTGTATAAAAAGTGTTGAGCTATTAGATTTTTTTGCTCAATAACAGCAATTTATTTAAAAAAAAGTAATTTTGGCACAATGAGCCTAAAGTTTTTCAAGCTTTTTGATGCCGGTAATTGAAAATTCAGAACTTCTGGAGCCAAAGATAGTTTTGGTGGCCTTTTTGATATTCTTATAGAAAAGATTTTTTCAAATAAGAAAGAAATAGTTTACGTGTAATCTTAAGTTTGGTATAATGTGACAAGTAACTCTTTATTTTCAGACCCTAAACGCAAATTCAACCCAATGGCCGACGATAAAGGAAAGCCCAAATCAAGTTCGAGAAGAGTGTAAAGCATTGGTCAGAGAGGTTCAGGCTTTGGATGAAAATTTACAAGTTTTGGTAGGTTTATATTTTTAAATTGTCAAAATGTGACATTTTTTGGGATTGTAAACCATTTTAATAATTGCTAAATTCCTGGCTAGCGATGTATGATTAGACTTGTAAAAGGGCTGGACCCAATTTTTCTGTCAGGATGTTCATACTTTTTAGCATTTTGCTTTTTAGTCTACAATCAAACCTTGTTTTCAGATGGACGACAGCACGAAGAAAGAGCGAACTCCAGATTCGATGCGAAGCCTCAGCCAACGCCGACTTCAACCCAACGCTGACGCGTTGAGTGGTGCCCTGGAACGAATGTGGGCGGACGCAGTGGAAGAGTTCGCCGCCCCAAAACTCGATTTCAAACGATACTCGATCATTGGTTGTGTAATAGACAAGTGCCTGCGGCTCTTCTTGGAATGGGTCCGCAAAAACAGCTTTAGCCGGTCCGGCGTCCAACAGATCCAAGTCGACAGTTTCTACCTAAAACAAACGTTGTGGCGCTTTGTGTCAGATGAAATGGCCATGAATGTGCTGATCGATGAAGCCTTAACCGCTGCTGTGAATTTGTGTGAAGATCCAAAGCTTTTGGAACCGGCCAATGTCAAGGAGATCTGCAATCGCGCTGTTTGAGGTGGGTGGAGATTTTTAATTTTTTTATGTTGAGTTGGGTAATGTGGAAAATTGGTCATTATTATAAGTTAGAATGAGAAATTTTGTGGGCCTAGACATTAAAGGGAGCCCACTAGGCAGGCCAGGCCTTCCTCTGTCGGAAATATTGAGCCCAGCGCGTTTACAGATAGACTTAAGTGCGTTTATATCTGTGAACATCACTGTATATCTAGGTAGGCTGGTCCCAAATTTAAAGTCACCAAAAAAAGATCCCAAAAATAGAAAAAAAAATTAAAAATTGTGTGCACCGTGCACATGAGATCTGTAAATCAACAAAAAAATTTTCAAAAGGCTAAAAATATTTGATAATTTTTTAAAAATTTTAAGAAAAATATGTCCTTATGGCAAAAAAAGTATTTTTTAGTCTTTTTGCCCTGACTAAAACCTCCCGCTTGGCAGTGGGTATTGACACACTTTAAATGCACGGTTATTCTGTGTAAATATTATGGTAAAAAATACTAACATGGGAAGTCACTTAAATCGTACCTCGACTTTAGGTCGAGACCTATATATTCTTAAAGCCCTGTAATCACTGAGTATGGATCTGAAAACCGTTTTTCCGTATGGCGCTTAGTTTTCGAGAAAATCGACTTTAAATTTTGACCGTATCTCCAAAAGGAAAGCGCGCGAGAGTCTATCGGAAATAACGAAAATAAATCAAGTAGCGATTCTGGCGCAAATGGTAAAGCGTTCGGTTTCCGATTCAAACTACGTAGGTTCGATTCTGGAGCCTCTGAATCATTTTTTAACAAAACTTTCAATATGCATACTTATGTAATTTTTGTAGTTTTAAAAAATGAAAATTGACATAATTTAGTTAAATAAATAAAAAATTATTAAAGAACATTACCTAAAGCAATAATATTTTAAAATAAACAAAACTCATGCTTTTTGTGCATTGTGCTTTGGGTGTCACCCTCGCACTTGTTGTGGGGTTCCTGATGTTCGATTTGGACACGGCGACAGCAAGCATTGCTGCCTGCAATGACCGAATCGTGAAGACAATGTTGTAATATAGCAGATGGTGATTTCGACGATGAATCAGAGGAGGACTTGATTGAGGATAGGAATAATACGGCGGATCCAACGTACGAAGATGTGACCGACGAAGATAGAGGAAAAATATATGTCGTTAAAATTATGCAATTTCATCTAACAATGATATTACAAAAATTACATAAATTTGCATATTGAAAGTTTTGTTAAAAAAAGATTCAGAGGCTCCAGAATCAAAACCACGTGGTTTGAATTGGAAACCGAACGCTTTACCCTCTGCGCCATGCCGCCACTTGATTTCTTCTAGTTATTTCCGATCGAGTTTTCAGCGCGCCTTCCTCCTTTTAGGGATTCGGTCAAAATTTAAAGTCGATTTTCTCGAAAACTAAGCGCCATACGGAAAAACGGGTTTCAGGCCCATACTCAGTGATTACAGGGCTTTAAAAATATATAGGTCTCGACCTAAAGTCGAGGTACGATTTAAGTGACTTCCCATGTAAGTACTTGTGCATATTATTGAAAAAAATCATTATGAGAAGGCTTTAGATTGTAAAAAATCATTATAACAAGATTTAAGATGATAACAAGTCATAAAGACAATATTTAAGGCGATAAAACATTGTTATGGCAAGATTTAAAATAGTTTTTACCACAGTTAAAGCAAGCCAATTTCAGGCCTTCGCAACTCTCACACTTACTGTAAATATATGGCAAAAAACTGTGATTCGAAATGACTTCATTCCTATACAACAACTTTTAATATTTATTTTGTTATTACAATACTAACTATTAATTCCATTATAAACAAGATTTATACCTGGATAATATGTTCCAAAAAACAAAAGGGAAAGTTAGTATATTACACTGGAAAACCTAATTAATACAAGATAAAACACTATATGTATGCTAGTATATACTACCCTACGGCAATAAAAAACACTATACCTTACCCTACAGAAATAAAAAATCTACACAATCTAACTTTTCAATGACAAAAGTTAGATTGTCTAAACAACCATTTTCCTATCAATTTTGCAATTAAAATTGAGCGCAGTAAAGTTTGGGTAATTATTTTTCAAAAAGTTGAACCTAACCGTGTCCACAAACTTGTAGTCCCTCATTGACAGCCGGTTGGCCCGGTTAAAATGCGTTCGATTGTATAAAATGCGATGCCAACAGTCGATGGCTCCAAAATCCACCGATGGCATGAATTTGTTGGCGAAAAAGTGGGGTTGGTCTTCGATGTTGGCCTAAAACAAGTTGTAAGGCATGTAAAAGTAGTTGTTATTTGTCTTGAATGGCATTGTATAGAAGCGCTTTAGTTGGCGTGGACAGTAGGGATGTTTGTTTCAAATCATACTGAGTAAAAAGTCAACTTTTCTTTAAAATTTTGAAAAACAAGTCAAAGTCAACATAACGCAAATAAAACCTCACTTTGATGTCTTCCATGCCAAACAAACACAAGTAGTGTCTGTACATGCCACTTTTACACTTCCCACTGTCCATCCAAATCGACAGTCGCGTCATGTAGTTGCTTTCCACCTGTCCCCGCAGGCAATGCAGCGTAAAACCCCCAGGCAGTCCCACCGCATCGTTTGAATTCAAACTGCCGATGAAGTTCTCGTCTACGCCAAACGCATTCCATTCAATTCGGTCGACAAAACGGTCGATATTCATGTTTGTTAACATGAAATCGACCGCTTTTCGCGACAATGTCACTTGAGGCAACGACTTGGCGAACAGCATGACAGGTGGCTGGCCGTTGTGAAGTCGGGTGTTGCGATGGGCTAGAATGGGTCAAGTGTGGCAGTACGTCTCAGTATGCTGTTAGAGTTAGATAAGGTAATCTGTTTGAGATGAATCATTAGACATGAGGAACGGACCGGGCCAAGCCCGTTTGCACGTAAAAAAATCGGACCGGGCCGGCCGCAACAAAATTTAGATTGGGCCGGGCCCTGTTTTTGTTCCTCATCTCTAGAATCACTGTTTTGAAGACCTACGTATTGAGAAAGTGATTAAAAGTCAAAAATGACAGAGTTATAAGAACGAAACACACAATGCCAATTTGGCGGGAAATTCAAAATTTAATTTTTTAATCTTGGTTTTTTCGAGATTGACTGGAAAGCGCGATTTAAATCGTACTTTGCTGAAGATCTTATATTTACATGATCTTTCAATATAAAAAGTCTGAAGTCAGTCAGAGCGGGGCAGGTCGGGCACTTTCTTTGTATAATTGCGAGCTGAATTCACATTGTTTAAGCATGATAGTACGTACCGTTCTTGAACAAATTCATAGCTTTAAAAGACCAGTTGACACCGGGCTGTATTCGCTTAATACTCTGTCTGTACGCTTGAACATCGTTGGTACCGTTGTAAAGTTGTAGAATGCGAATTAGCTCCGAATTCGTTTTGATCTGTATATCGTGATTCTGAAACATAGCTTTAATAAGTCTAATTTACTATAGTGTTACTTGTACTAGAGTGGAACTTTTGTATAACGGATTTCAAGCTATTCGTTATACAGGGGTTCTACTTCTGTTTTACTAGCAATAAGTTATTAGACATGAACTAGTATAATATGTAGTATAGTAAAACAAAGCACGCTTGCAATCACACAAACCTCTTACTTGTAGTACAAAAACATACTTCCAATTGTGTTTCGTGATCATACGAAGACATTCCATCATAGAACGCGTCCCATTGTGCCCTTCCGAATCCATCCGATACTCGACTCGTGTCACGATGACATTCGGCAAACAGGCCGAAAGCGCGTGAAGCCGAGCGTGAAACACCTTCGGCGCTTTTGCATCGATCGCATAACAGTAAATGTTCTGCGGCGAATACGAAACGGCTAACTCGGATTCGAGGAACAAGTAGTCCTGGAAGAATTTGAAATTTTGAAATTTTACTATTTTTTCAAATTTTCCAAAAAAAATTTATAAAATAACAAGGTAAATACCGACCTGCCTCGCTCTTGACTTTAAACTTTTTATATAGTATGACATTGCAAATATAAGATCTTCAGCAAAGTACTACATCGCGCTTACCAGGAAATCTCGAGGAAAGCGAGATTAAAAAATTATTTTTTAAATTTCCCGTCAAATTAGCATTGTGTTGCAAGCTTATAATTTTGTAATTTTTTAACTTTTAATGGTCTTTCTTTGATATATTAGTATAATACCTTTAAATGAACCTACATTTTTTAATTTGTAAGCGTAGCTGGTCTGGAAGGTCGAAAAAGGGCTTGAAACGCAATGCCAAATTGGCGGGAAATTTAAATATTTAAAATTTAAAACTCAAAAGCGCGAGCTAAAACTTTTTATAAGTACTATTGGTAGTACAACAAATTCATATAAAAAGTTTGAGCTGATTCTGAGCGGGGCAGGTAAGGTACTTTCCTTGTATAATAACAAGGAAGGTACCCGACTTGCAATGTTCAGATTTCCTTCAAATTTTTCCAATTCAAAAGTCATGTAAATGTAAGATCTTATCCAAATTTTAAAACCATTCTCTTTAAAACTACAGTAACCTTTACCTTATAAACCAACCGAACATAAGCCAGTGGGAACAATATCTCTTTGGGATATAAAGTTCGGTGCGAGAAAAAATGTCGGGATTTAATGGCAGCGCACGTAATTGCCAGCCCGTCCAATGTATGCGGATCACGGTACGTTATCCGATGTGCGCGATACTTGTGAGGCTTCTCTATATATTGATGACATTGCTCTTGAGTCAAGCTTGTTAATGGGCGATAGTTGGGCAGGGCTAAAATGCGTGCTGTAATTATTAATATTACCCAAGTTAGATAAAATTAGGGTTGGTTGGGGGTAGGTTAATCGTTAGTACTGGGAATTGAAAAGGTATAATATAGTAGATAGACAGTGCCTGTGCGAGCCATTTTGATGCCGAGAAAAGTAGGAGGGAGAGGGGGGGGGGTAGTTTAGGGTGGTGTAGAGGTAAGGTAT